CAGCTGGAGATCAAAGACACATCTGTTGGACTGTTCAAGGTCAAAAACATGTCTTTAAGATTGGTCCAGATCAAACACACATTTGTAAGACTTGTCCAGATCACAATATCTCTATGATATTTGTCTGGATCAAAAGACATGAGATTTGTCAAGATAAAGACATGTCTGTGAGAGTTGTCTGGATTAAAGACACGTTAGAATCGTCAAGACCAAAGACATATCTTTAAGACTGGTGTCCAAATCAGATCAAAGATACATATCTCCATAATACAGGTCTGAAACATATATAGAAGAGAAAGAGTCGAATATTAAAGTCAAAAGAATATCAATGGAATAAATTTATCTCTAAATCTTTAAAGCTTGAAGATAAACTAAGTGTATTACCACACAAACTTTGTAATAGAAAGGTTCTAAATTAAATGCTTTTCACTCACACACTTAATCAAGGTAAAACAGCTTGACTCCACTTACTAGCACCCTGTACAAGTATCACCTGTATAACCCTTCAATAATAGTGTAGGTCCAACCCCTTACAGAAGTATGACACGTTGAATACATGTAAATTCTGAGTACTGTGTAGCAATACATAGCACTTAATACACCCACATATACACTTGTACATTTACTTAGTATCACCATATAGGCGGTACCCTCAGATGGCTCAAGTATACATAAATATTAGCAAGTATGCGTCACTGTAACCACCAATATCACAGTACACTTACATATTAAAAACATGCAACATATAAAAGACTTTCAGCTGAAAAATACTATCTACCATTTTCACATCTGTTGACATATCTACACATTTACTCACATATATTCACATATAGCCACTGTCGACACACCAAAACACTACCTACAAGCAGCGAATGTACATACGCGCAGATGCAGCACGGTCAACAACATCTATACATATCATTACTTAATGTTTCACTTATATACATATAAAACAGGCCTCCCCATCATCTACGTTTATATACACATCATATATATACAAATGACACAGTATATACATTTAAATAAAGCTATTTGTTTGACAATATTTTTTTATAGACAATATTGCGATATTTACAAGGGTGAAATTTACAGCTAATGGAGCAACATACAATATGTCAAATATCTGCCAACAACAATATATACAATATAGACGTACCACAATATCTCTGTATAACAGTGGAAATTTTGCATTTATATGTACACACCAGGCTCTATAACACCTTATATTTGTATTAAAATTGTATATACAAAGACCATTTTCTATATCTTCTCTAATGATAAAATACATATATACAAAATTTATTTCATTTGAAATGATATCAATATTTACAATTTCATCTATCAACGAATAGTACACGCTAATTACATATGATCTAATTAATTAATTATTTAAATGTTAGTAAGCATACCAATACAAATTCATTTCTGGCAGCAGGACACTAATACAGACTTATTACTAGGCATCATACATGGTACACAAACCTAGAATATATTGTTACGTGTATACATTGTTAAAAAAATCAGAACCATGATTGTTTTTCAAATCTTTTGCTCCTTAGATTAAAGGTTAAATAGGTTATTGTGACACAGAGTGGACATGTAAATAAATCTTTGATGTCATCAATAGAAAACAAGAGTGACTGATTAGCCAACAAGCATTCACTGTAAAATGGTAAAAATTTTTACTTAAAAATTTCATTGGAAATATATCATCATGTTGAACAGTTGATATAACAGTTATTCTATAGCATTTCAGAAGTGTCCAAACTTACACCAATTACCCGAAAGAACATGAAACATCTTCAGCATACACATCTGTGTGCCCATTACCAAGATAACAGACATTTTCAGCATACAGATCTGTGTGCCCATTACCAAGACAATAGACATCTTCAGCATATAGTTCTCAGCATGCTAGTTATTTTGGCCTCAAATGAAGATAAAGCCTAAATAGGTTCTTTTGATGAAAGATATTTAAATGGCACGTTAATGGACACTTCCTTGTACACGATAAATAAATTTTAATATGAAAGTGAAAATTTCTCTGATAAAGTACTGAAGTAGCATGGTTATTGTTCATGTCACGTGACCTGTTAGGGTACACCTTAGATAATATTACATAGTGTATTCCTAAGACCATGTGACAATGTACACCCAGATCATGTGACAACATACAACCCACATCATGTAGGATAGCATACACCTCAGATCATGTGATTAAGTGTACATCTCAGTTCATGTGATTAAGTTTACATCTCTGATCATGTGACAAAGTGTACACCTCAGATCATGTGATTAAGTGTACATCTCAGATCATGTGATTAAGTGTACATCTCAGATCATGTGACAACATACAACCTACATCATGTAGATAGCATACACCTCAGATCATGTGATTAAGTGTACATCTCAGATCATGTGACATGTGTACACTGCAGTTCATGTGACAAAGTGTACACCTCAAATTGAGTGATAAAAAGGTACACCTCAGATCATGTGATTAAGTGTACACCTCAGATCATGTGATTAAGTGTATACCTCAGATCTTATGACATAATGAAAAGCTCAGATCATGTGACCTTGTTTAGACAAAGAAAGTTGAAAATGAAATACATTACAATCTCTGTACAAATACTGATTACTACATATTGACTACAAATATACTGATATAAATATTAATAAATACTTTCCAGTGTGTTGGTGTCCATTGTTTACAAAATCATGTTATCATTTTTGGTTATAATTTCTGATTAAAACAAATTCAATTCATTGTCATATATAATCTTATATGCTAACGATTGTTTTCTTATAATGCAATTCATTGAAATAGTCATTTATTCAATCTATTTATGTGACATAAACTTGTCAACCAAACATGTAAACATGATGTTGAATCAATCACCAATCAGTGTAACTGTACATAATTATCTTTGGTTAGTTTTGACTAGAGGACACTGTGGTAGGTATACTGTTATCTCGTCTAAAATCTAGGAATAGTATGGACTGTATATACGGTCATAGATTCTGTCACCAATACAACACAGCACATGATGGAAAGAAGAGACATTAAATACACCGATATAGAGGTGTATACATAATATTAGTTAATTAACCTACATGTATCTCTTTTATACTGTAAGGTACCTCGTTCAATTTCCTGATCAGTTTACATATTGATGCAGACGTTCATACAAAGAATATCTGCGAAATTATTTCCAAAAAATATTGCATCAAAACATTATCAAATTAAAACAATATCAGCAGCACAGTAGATATTGAACTGTCAATAATCATCAGAGCTGTAGATCAATGACCCAATGTGTTAAGAATTTTGAGAGAAAGCAGTAATACATCTAGATCTATTGAGCATAATTCCTTAGTTGCAAAAACATGCAATTAAGTCAAATTAAGAAAACAGTAAAAGATAACGAATCTTTTCTTCGATGGAGATATGACAGAGCCATCAGGGCAAGAGCTTGACTTCCTGTGTGTTAATTAGAGTATGGAGCCATATGCCCTATCACATGGTTTATCAACTTCAGTTTCCTAACACTGAATGAAAGTGCTTGTTGGGTCACTGTACACATCAAACAGATCAGTTCAATTCAACATGGCAGAACTAACTTTAGTTAAACACAATGCTCACCTGTAGTATTCTTTGACAGGTGAGAACATTACACATTTCGAATCTATGAACAAAATTTCATTTTAAACATCAGTATCAAACAGATATAAAGAGTGATGTTCTTTGCTGTTCAACAGCAGAAAGTAACATATTAATATTATTTATAGAACTATAGTATAAAACACTAACAAACCTACTGTAACACAATATATGTAAAAAGTGACAAAATTGCACAGAGCAAACTGAACACATATGGTAAGATGCTGGGAGTATCTACACAGTGCTCACTCTGTAAACTTTCTGTGTCACCCAAAAACATTAGCATGGTCTGGTCTCACCTATCAGTGGTACCAGAACACTGACTCTAGAGAGGTCTGATGTCACCTATCAGTGGTACCAGAACACTATCGCTAGAGAGGTCTGATGTCACCTATCAGTGGTACCAGAACACTATCGCTAGAGAGGTCTGACATCACCTATCAGTGGTACCAGAACACTATCGCTAGAGAGGTCTGATGTCACCTATCAGTGGTACCAGAACACTATCGCAAGAGAGGTCTGATGTCACCTATCAGTGGTACCAGACCACTATCGCAAGAGAGATCTGAAATCACCTATCAGTGGTACCAGAACACTATCGCTAGAGAGGTCTGATGTCACCTATCAGTGGTACCAGAACACTATCGCAAGAGAGGTCTGATGTCACCTATCAGTGGTACCAGAACACTGCCACAGCATTATAGCGAAATTTTCCATACAAGAAACAGAATTAAGAAAATTTCATGGAGGTTTCTTCCAGGTGTGGAAGGTAATTAATTTTCATTTCATGTTCAGAATTTTCTCAAAATTTTTTGGATTTCAGAAATATCATTTTAAACCAATCAACTATAGATTAGACTTTACATTGAGGTGATGAGTATTCTTGATTACATATTTAGTGTGCAATTCTAATTGTAAACCAAACCCCTGATCCTGAGTAAATGTAATATTCAGTGATCAACAGAAAATGTTAATGAGATCAGCACTATTCCCCAGTATGTCATTCTATGAAAAAATAATAACAAATGAGGTATTTTAAGTAAAACAATAGGTACAGAATGAATATACAAATCCTAAACATGGGCCTCTCAGAAAGCAAACTTATGAAAAGTAACATACACAAATTAACAATGAAATTTAAAAGCACTTACAACAGAAATATATAACTGTGATCATTCAATGGTCCTACTTGACATACCTAGTGCTACACTGATAACCAAACAATTGCAGTTTTACCTGAAATTCTGTGTCTTTTGACACACAAGACCAACATATCAGTCTTCTAAAACTGAAACTTTTATGTTAAATCTTGAAAACTTACATACAATATCCTTTATATCTCTGGTAACACATGCATGACACATTTCCAAATGAGGGAAATGTTTTGAGCAACATGAAAAAGGTCTCAAAGTTCAGAAAACTGAAGATGTTTGATAAAACTGGTGCCTGGTCTCTGTGTCAGCATGTCTACAGAATCTGGTTTTTAGGATAATAATTACCGAGATAAACACAATGTTTTTATCAGTCTCTCGTTTTCTACAGTTGACTAGATCCACAACAGGCAGAAACATCTCGTTAGAATTACAGTTGTGTACACAATAAATCCCAGGAAATGCTCGTTCAGCCATGAAAACACTTCCTCAGACATCACCATGGTAACCATAGTTACTAAATATCTTACCATCTGTTGCCAGCACTACTAGCATCTTACTATGGCTACATACCCAGCAGCTGTCTATAACTACTACATAACATAGTAGCCAGATCTATACACTTCCATTTTAGAGTGCTTATGGCAATTCTATAGTATTTGGTACTTCAAGTGGCTGGTGAAGTCTACAAAAGTTTATATGTCAAAACTTTACTAATAATTTAATAACTAGGTGAGACAGTAACTTTGGTATTCAAAATACACCACAAAATAATTGAAGCTCTGGTTAAAAAAACAATCCTTCATTCAATGGGTTCCAGCTTCTTTTTACTGTCTTTGCGTTTGAAACTTCCTGCCCGGTTCTTGGTTTGGATGGTGTTAGCAGAGCCATGCCTCATACGATTACTGGCCGCAGTGGCACCATTTTTCTCTGCATTATCTTTATCAGTGGGGGAGTGCATACTGCTTACACTGAGGCTGGACATGGAACTGGACAAGTTCAGATTGGATGAGATCCCTAGGGAGCTGGGGTAAGGGTTAAGGATGTCAAGGTCATCGCCAGGTAGACAGTTTTCCACCATCATTGCCTCCAAACAGTTAACCAGTAGCTCAGCAGTGTCGTTACTTTGGGCACACTAAAACAGAGAGCAAAGTTAGAGCTTCTTTAATAATTGATTATTGTTGGGGCATACATAGAGCTTCTCTGAGCTTCTTTAGTAAGTGATTATTGTTGAGGCCTACATAAAGCTCCTCAGAGCTCCGTTAATAAGGGATAATTATAGGGGCCAAAACAGAGCTCATGTATTTGGTAATTATTATAGGGCCCTAATAGTATTCTTATATCTGGTTATAATATTGTAGGGTTCTTAATAAAGCTCCTATATTACATTATTACTTTAGGGGCTCATATATAAGATGATCATTGCAGGCAGGTTAAACTGTTTTTGTTGACTTACTTTGGCAAATGTACCAGCAAATCTCCAGAGCCCTCCAAATCCAATACCTGTTAATGAGAAAGTATATATACTTACATATATTACCTAGTCTTCCTAGGTAGAAAAGTAGGTGTTTGGTTGTTTGTAGGTAGGACAGTAGATATAACTTACTTTGTAGGTAGGACAGTAGATATAACTTACTTTGTAGGTAGGACAGTAGATATAACTTACTTTGTAGGTAGGACAGTAGATATAACTTACTTTGTAGGTAGGACAGTAGATATAACTTACTTTGTAGGTAGGACAGTAGATATAACTTACTTTGTAGGTAGGACAGTAGATATAACTAAGTTTGTAGGCAGGACAGTAGATATAACTTACTTTGTAGGTAGGACAGCTGCTGCTGAGAGGGGTCCTCAGCAGCTATCATATTTTGAATAATACTTTGGACAGCATTGAGGATTGCCTGATCATGACATAATAACAGTACATTGTTGATTTTAGCGTCCAACAGGCTGTGTCTGTAATAAAGACATTGTTAAGTATAGTAACATATCTATACCACAACACCATGGTGACAGATCTATATGTATAGCTCCTTTTATGCCTCTGACATTGTTTTTATCACCAACACATTTTCAATCCAATATACCAATTTTCAACTTAATCAGATAATTTCCTAATTTCAACCAATCAGAAGCCTCCAAAGTGTTTCCATGGTAATGGTTTCAGAACACCCAACATGTCAAATAATAGGCTATAATTAGCTATAGCATTTGATCAAGTCCAGCCAGTTCTTCTCAAGAAATAGTGATAACAAAATTTGTTAATGGATCGACAGATGATGGCCCACAGAATACGGACGAAGGGCAATTTGAATAGTCCACCATCTAAGTATATAAATTTCCTTCAAAATTAAGACTATAAACATTCATAACATGGCAATACATAGAAAATTAACTTCTTATGAAAAGACTTATTTCAAAATCACAAAAAAAAGACTGATCTGATGTAGTTTACAGTGGCAGTAAGATAGGAAAGATGCTACTAAACACAAGTATGTATATCTGTAACTTACATGACAGGGAACACTTTGGGGAAGACCACAGACGCTTCAGCTAAATATTCATAGATAATTCTTGCCTCATTCTCATCCGTCGTATTTCGGACAAGTGTTGCCTGAAAATACGAAGTGTTTTTTTTGTAAAATTGGAGTCCTGATTTTGTCCTTTTCTGTTGATATAATTGTAGAGAATGCTTTACTTATTTCATATAGTTAGGTTGCTTGGTATGAAATCATAATTAAGCAAAAAATTTGAATTTGCAATACATATTTTTATATCGATCTAAATCTAATTTCTTCCCATCAGAAAAACAGTACAAAATAAAGACAGCACTGTGATTGGCTTGAATAACAATACTTTTCCTTATCAAATTTGAATGTCATTTACATAAAATTCTTTCCAGCATGGTCATTCTCAATATTAAACACAACTCACTATATAAACTGTATGATATACTTTTGTAATTAATATCCAACACATCTTACCAGAACTGTAAGAACTAAAACTTGGGTGGGGTAGTCTGTCAACACTTCAGAGTCAAGAAGCACATTATTTTCATTAGAAACAGAGCCACGCCCACTCCGAGGCTGAGTCATGCCAGATTTGCCAGCTTCCTTTTTTGAGCCAGGAATGGGCATTGAGCTGCTCCTAGTTTTGTAAAGAGGTGGTCTCTGTGGCTCAATGTCCAGACTCCGCCAGCCTTTTGGACTACTTGCCTGCTGTAAGGATATATAGGGGTCACATACACATTGCAGAAAGTCCCTTATCTCAACAATTTCTTTTTAAGATTATGTCATACTTTCAAGCTTTGTACTATAAAATTTCCAGTATTATCAGTAAATGGGCAGAAGTTGCATGTTTGCTGTGGGCATGGTATATCGTATATTTTATTTTGTTTCATGTTGTATATATATACAAATTTACAATTTGTTGAACTTTAACACTACAAATTTTCCTCCTTAAATGGAAAACCCTCATTATTCCCACAGCACATCTGGATTAAGTTTTAAGTCTTACCTGTGCTTGTTGTAGATGAGTGACTTTGGAGGTACGACATGCATTGTTCATGGCATTCTGGTCGAGGAGATCACAACTTTTTTGCCTTCGTGTGATAGGAGTGTTTATAGGTGGTGTGCTGCTTTGGGTGGTAGGAGGCTGGCAGGGTGGGGCGGGCACTATCTGTGTTGAAGGTATGGTCGTGGGTAGAGCTGGCGGTGGGGCTCCCATAGCTGAGCTTCCAGAACTGCTGCTGCTCCCTGGTGTTGTCTGCTGGGCAAGTTCAGCACTGAGACTGTCACTAGAGGGCGACTCTGTCATCATGTATTGACTGGTACGGTGTTTTAGGTGACACCTACTTCTTACCTCCTCAGATACAAACACCAGAGCTGAAACAGGACATCGGTCCGTGGTTATTTCTGGTATTAGCAGAGTCATTTAATGTTGATTTCACTGATGTTTAAACAGGTATTCTTCACCAATGTTTAAACAGGTATTCCTAGAAGCATTGGTATTCTAAAATCTTTGATATATTCTGGTTCAACAATATCCCAGATCTTTTCAATTTAGAAAAAGACTTACACGTTAGCAACATTAAGTACACAGGAAATACAAATGAAACTTATTAATGAGCATGATCATTCAGAATTGACAATTTGTAACATATGTATAGATTAAAGAATATATTTACCTGCCAGGTAAGGAACTGTCTGAGGCGTCACCTCAAATTTATCCCTGAAATTCAGTAGAATATTAAGTGTTGTACATAGTTCTGACAAATTATCTTTAAGGGTATTTGAATATGTATATCAAAATGTAAGGATTTCCTCTAAAAACTGAATAAAATCTTTCTCATCTGCAGACATTAAACGATCCTTAGAAGATCTATAATCAGTTTCTTTGTAATGTGTAATTGATGATTTTTTCGAACAAATCTAATGATTTTTACTTTAGCAAGCATGTGGGAGTTGTAAAGAAAATTCCTTTAGTGATGAGTGACAAAAATGTTGTAAAAGAAAAACTCACAGAAGATTCTATTTATCAGAAAAGATATCCTGTGAATTTTTATAGAGAAGGATATTTTCTAATGCTCAATTGATATATAAGACATCTGTGGCATTATAGTGAAAGTCCTTGCTACTATATGGTATCTGTTACGACATCACAAATAAGACAATAAAAACCAAGTTAATGACAGTTTTTTTAAGTATTATCAAGTGTGTGAATAACTCAATTTAATACAATTTGTTAAACTGACTGCAGAAAAGTCAAGTGATATCTTGTTATTAAAGACAAGATAAGCACAATTTTGGAAAAGAAGAAAAAAAAAATTTCAATGAATCAATGACGCCCTGACAGTTTAAATCTCAGTAACCAACAACTTGGTTCATTTATAGGTACAAATAAGGAAAGATAAGGAAACTTTGGCTCAGAAACACCAACCAAAGGATAAGGGACATGATGTTCTTACCTGTTTGTAGATTTGACTGTAATGGATAAAAGCTGATTGAGGACTCGAATTGTTCTGGATACAGTGGTTGGGGTTGGATGTCGGAACCCTGCCAATATAAACAATATTATATATTAAACAGTGACTAGCTGTAAATCAAACAAAATTGAAACGAGGTATTGTACATTATGTCTTTTATTATTAATTCTTATCAAAATAGAATGCTTTCATCATTTTGTCATAATGTAAGTAACAGTTACAGAAAACATATATTATATATTGAACACAGTCCATTATAATACTACTGATAAAACAACGTCCCTCAGGCAGGGACAGTGATACTGACCATAAACAAAGGCTATGTTAATCTGCCAGTGAGAAGTATACTGAGACAGAGTTAGAAAATGTACCTTTTAGTAGGTGTCCAACCAGAGCAAAGTTAAAATTATCTTTAAAGCTCAGCCCCATGGCATGGTCCAGCTGTTTGAAGTCCCATTCAAGGGGTTCCCTAGTCTCCATCATGATGACCTCCAATGTCTGTTACACATGACATACAAGTTCACAATTATAAACCAACAAGAATGGTATGATATAGTACTGATATAAAATCACATATTTTGTTTGATCTTCTTGAAATAATCAATCCAACACAAAAAAATTATATTTGTCATAATCGAAAAATTTGTTATCAGTCAAGAGTAATCATGACCTCTGACCTACCTCTCGGTCAAACAAGCCCATGATATCAAGGGTATGGAGATTCTGTTCTAGTAGAGCCAGTCCAGCAGCATACAGAGATACCTCGTCAAGCTGAAGGACAGATATGGCCGTCCAGAACAGAAACTTATGGATGGAAGAATCCTGGAAATTCAAATTAAACAATGACATTAATTAATCAAAGAGATGAGGCGTTCAACAAAATTAACATCTTAGAAAATGGATTAAGACGTAACCATTTGTCAACCAATCAGGGCTATGCCTATGTTCCCTCTCAATGATTAAGTGTAACATATTTTTGATTTGCCCTCCTCTTAAATTTGCTCTCCCTCATGGATAAAATGGGTGAAAGTTAAACAGGGGGTGAAAATCTCCAGGTTTACAGAAATACAATTGATTAACTGTACTACAAGTAATTTCTTCAAGATACACAAAATAAAAACCTAATCTAAATATCACTACTTTTATATCATCAGCTGTGTTAGAAAATCATTGATTTTTTTTTTACAACAGAGCATATTGGAAATAGATTGTTTCTGACAATATAAAACAGATGTACTTACAGATCTAAGTAGGGGTTGAAGTCGGGTCAGACACATCACAATAGCTTCAATCAAAGTCAAATCGTTAAACGATTCTAAAGCCTGAAATAAAGATGACAAGTGAAATTATTTCAATTACAACATGTTTCAATACAAAGTCAGAACCAATGGCTTCATTTAGGAGCAAAATAATCACTAATTATAGTAAAATAACGTATCCAGATTATAAGCTTGAGAGACTAGTCCTTACCTTCATCATGATCTTTAGAAGCTGTTTGATCTCGGAGTCAGTGACAGTTTTACTAATACAACCAAACACAATGATAGCCCTGGGCTGGAGGGCAGGATTATACTGGAATGCAAATCTGTAAGAAAAAAAGGAAACAATACGGCTATACCCTACTACTTCTTAGTAAATCACCAACCATTATCATACAATTAAAGTTCTGTAGATGGTTAAAAACATTGAGAAAGATTTCATTATTGTTTTTTATCCTTTTTGCTACCTCTTACTTTGTCTTCTGGCTGCAATACTCACACTGTGTAACAACATGAACTCAATATAATTACAAAATTATTTTGTAGGAATAAGATATTGGCAAAAAATATGAGCATCAAATTCACAATTACTTCACCACTTTCAAATTCATTATTTGATAATAAGCAAAAAGATTCCGAGTAAGACTAAGAGGAATATTATCCCTTGTTTTCCTACAACAAACACTCTTACCTTCTGGACAGATCTGTCCACTGCTGTAGCCAATCACAGTTAGGAATGTCCTTCATACATGCCTGTAATAGTCGTAAATAAACAACAGTAAACACACTTGACAAAGTAACAGTAAATACAGTTATCATAATAACAATAAATGCAGTTGTCATAGTAACAGCAAATGCAGTTGTCATAATAACAGTAAACACACTTAACATAGTAACAGTAAATGCAGTTGTCATATTAACAGTACATGCAGTTGCCATGGAAAGAGTAAATAGTTGTCATGGTAATTTGTAAAGCTGTTCATCACTCAATAAACAACAGTAAACACACTTAACAAAGTAACAGTAAACACAGTTGTCATAATAACAGTAAATGCAGTTGTCATAGTAACAGTACATGCAGTTGCCGTGGAAAGAGTAAATAGTTGTCATGGTAATTTGTAAAGCTGTTCATCACTCTTCTTATATCTTCAGAATCTAATGAGAAAAGTAACTATACCTCCATAATTTCTAGTAAGGCATCTACTATTGTCTCTAAGGAGCTGAGAGACATCTTCTCGTGTTCTGGAGCAGCCATTGTAAATGATCGGTCACCAGGCCTGTAGCTTGTGCGAAACGCACTGACAGCTGCAGACTTCACCTTGCTGATTCCAAACAGCTGATAAAACTTTGGCAGGGAGAACTCAGCCAGGCTCAGCTTCAGGACTTTCAGTGTCGACTCAGCTGTGGACAAAGAACAAGTTAATCAATGATTGCTAAGCTTACAGATAGCAGCCATTGCAAAATACTCAGTTAATGTATATGCAGAATAGAAGGGATATAGAATGTATACTGTCATATGTGTCCTCTGACCTAGCTGATGACCCCTTTAACATGTGAAGAACACGATGTTATGATACTAAGTGTTAAATATGAACCAAAATGGGAAACACTCTATACCCCTTTTCCAAAAATGGTGGGGGTCATAAAAAATCTGCATTAAATTCCTGTAACACAAATCTCGGAAACCTAATACAAATAAGAGGGATATGGAATGTCCGCCAAAGAACTTCAATACCTTCAAAAACTTACTGCAGAAACATTTAAGTTTTGGGGTGCCAGACCAAATCCAAGAGAAGTTATTTATAATCAGTGAGTTAACAAAGACGGGGCCAGACATAAGTCACCATCGACATTACTGCTTAATTTGTACCTTGTGCGTGTGCTCTCGACCAGCTTCATGCTGAGATGAATCAATACTTCTAAATTTGTTATAATATCTTTTAATGCCATCAGAATGTATCCTTCTTGTCTGTATGTAACATACTATCCACAAGCCAGTCTCTGCCCACAAATAAGCCCCCTTACTCAGTTTTGCACAATCATCAATTCTAAAACAGTAAGCTAATGTAGTTCACAAATAGACCCTCTCTAAACTCTAAAATTAAACTTTACACTAGAGAAGGGAGCTTCTTAGATAACAGATTCATAAAGCCTTGCATCCGAAATTACAACAGCCTGTTCTATAGATTTTCCCCACATGTGAAGACATTTTAGAAGCCGATGAAATAATAAGAAGACATTATACCAAACATTCGTCTCCAGATGTCTTCCCTTATTACTCACCGCTGAAACTGAGCTGAGAGCATGTGCACAAGGAATGGATGATATTGATGACAAGTCCATGTGTTGATGCTCGCAGTGACAGCGGTCCAGTACACACGAGTAGAGTAACAATGTGAAACAGAAACGGAAGATGACTTGCCACTGTAACAGAAATATATGCATCCATTTCACACATAAGATAAACTGTGAAAAGGTTTCTTCAAGCAGAGTTAAAGCTGAGTGAATATTAGGAAGAAAGTTTCATTTTTTTGAACACCAGGAAATCAGTACTTTTCACATCATATGCATGGACATGCAACCGTCCAATTAAGTCTCCCTACTTCAGAGACAGGGTTTCACTTAATATTTACTTTAACTTAACTTTAGTGCTCACTTCTAAAATCAACAGATCTCTACATCATGTAATTTGTGAAAGTCACTTTTTTCCTTTTTGAAATGTTCTCAGCTATTGGTATTTTTTGAAATATGATTTTATCAAATAGGGGTTACTATTAAAAGCATTTCTAAATTTCAGCAAACATATGTTGACAATTATAACTTCTTAATGCCAAAGCTGGTTGAGACTTCTGAGGTACAGGTATCAAAATAAAATAGGATCACTGAAGTCATCTTTAGGTCCTACATATTGTTGAACGTCAAATTGAGATTCTTACCATCCAGTGAATTGTTGAAGGACAACATGAGCAGGTATCTGGCCAGGATGGCAATATCATCCCACATCAAATGTTGTTCTAATGTTGGTGTTGGGGAGGTACAAGTCTTGTCTATCAGCTACAACGTATATCACATAGTTACAGTTAAAGTTGATAAAAGTTAAAGAGTGCAGCTGGATATTATGGAAATCAGTTCTTACAGAATCTAAATGATCTTTCCATTGTAAAAAAAATATTCACTTCGTCTATTTAAACCAAATAAAAATATTTTAGCATAGTTTCTGTAAAACTAACTCCTGAGTATATTTCCTATTTCTTATTTGAACAAAAATATATCATAAAGTTACCAGCTACCATATTTATGTCTACAGAGGAACCAAAAATTCTAAAAAAACAAGGAAATACATCTCAGTTACAATTTAACAATAAAAGTGATCCTCACCCTACATAGACGACCTATGACCTTCCGTGATACAAGTTGTACATTAGCGGAGGTCAAGGCCACAGCAGTGTCAGCCATTATTTCTGCCTGTATAGAGCCTAGTCCTCCCGTTACACTTCGCTGTAACATATATTTGCACAATATAATATCTATATTTTATGATGTAGGTTAAGAATTTGAAATATTCCTTGACTTCTTTACACAAAGACATTTCATTTTTAACATATATCTGTATATATAATATTATCTAAGATTTCCCCAGTAGACTGTCCTTGTGGGTGTGAAAATTAACCATTTCTATGAAATTGCACAACAAATTTTCAGCAAAATGACTTTTTAGAAGACATGTTTGAACTTCACAACCAAAAATAATTTTGTCTTCTCAGCAGCATGAAACTACTGCATATCATACTTCAGTAGAGCAGCAACACACATATATCTATTTGTTTATATCTAGCACAAATACAGAAAGTCTATTACGTGCTCAAAACTGTACATTTTAGATGTTTGTTCAATACCTTAATAAAGCTGTCCAGGACCATGTCCAGTAGGTCAGCCACCTGACCAATGTTGCCCCATATCTTGGCTTGTATTGAAGGATACATCTACAAGGGAGAGAACTCTTTGTATTAGCATATATGTACCACAAATAGTTTTAATACTTAAATGTTGTTCTGATGATAACCAAAAATCAATCAATAACAATTTCCTCTCAATCTAAATTGGTTAATTCATATGTCCAAGAAATAAGACTTGTAACATTTTCCCATGAAATCAAGTGCCATCAAAGCAGCATCTTTTGAAAACCTGCACAATTTTTAGTCAGTAAAAACTATTTTACAGTAGTAACAAGTAACTTGTATTATTAAATATATTTTAAATTTATCCATAAATATTTACCTCCACTTCTTCTATTGTCATAGTTATGAGTTTGTCCAGAATTAGTGCCACTTTCTGTCTTTTGTTTTCATCTGAGTGTTTACAGAACCTAAAAGATCAAACAGACTCTCATTTAAAAAAGTATTTTCTTACAGAAAACAGTTACAGAAAAAAATCCAAACATGGAAAAAAATAAAATCAAACTAAGTTTATTGTTATCAAGAAGCAATAAGATCGCAAAATACCTGTTAAAGGAAAATTTATCACAATAGATTTGAACTTAATTTGTCTCATAGTTGAAGTTATCTCCCCATACCTTGTAAGATTTGGCAGCCACGGTGTGATGTACTCTAGGCACAAATGCTTCATCTCTATGTTGGAGTTACCAAAACCCTGAATACACTCTTCCAGGAATTCTAGTGTGAGATGAGGCTCATTGGCTGCTAGGGTTTCACTAATGGACTTAATGAATATGGTGTTGTTGGCCGGGATACACAAACCTAGTGATAAATCATACATATCATTGCTTTATGAAATGAGAGACGTTTTAAAGATGATCTTATGAAGGGAGCATTCTTTGTGGTGATCATCTTTCTGCTGTACACAGTAAATACTTTCTTCATTGCGCTGTTATAAAGTCAATGTAACGTCAAAATTTGTGATATAACTTAAGCATAATATATGGAAATGTTGCTCCTTCTCATTGTCCTACTGAAAGAGTCCTACAATTACAGAGTTTCCCTTATAAAATAATCACAATGATATTTAATTAGAATTCACCATATTTTATAAAATATCAAATCCAAGCCACTTACCTGTTGTTTCCAGTAGCTGACCTTCAATCTTGAGGTCAAATGTCTGTGTGAGGGCACACAGTAAATTGTAGGCAGCAGATCGTAGACTGGGATCAGAGCTACCTAAGTTGAGCAGAGCCTACAATGGAAGTTGTACACATACAATGGTTTTCCTCTTACTGTTACACCAGGATGTGCAATATCATCAAAAAGAAAGAAACTATGCAAATAATGTACATCACTTATATTTAACACATAGAACACATGTACACCTTTACATTAATCAATGTTTACTATATATTAGCATAGTTGTCTCCCTTATTGATAACACCTGACCACATAGAACACATGTACACCTTTACATTAATCAATGTTTACTATACATTAACATAGTTGTCTCCCTTATTGATAACACCTGACCACATAGGCCACATGTACACCTTTACATTAATCAATGTTTACTATATATTAGCATAGTTGTCTCCCTTATTGATAACACCTGACCACATAGAACACATGTACACCTTTACATTAATCAATGTTTACTATACATTAACATAGTTGTCTCCCTTATTGATAACACCTGACCACATAGAACACAGGTATGTAAACTAACATCTGATCAGGACATTAATCAATGTTTACTTTAAAGACAATACCTTTTGATGATCAACAATTAATACATAGTTTTAAAATGTCTGCTAAGATTGTCAGAAAAGCCCTCAGATCACAGGCCATCTGAATGTCATTAAAGAGCAATTAAGGAACACAAAACAATAATTTTTCACAAATCATCTTATAATATTTAATTTTGTTAACACAGGACGAGTACAAATTGATACTTACCACATTGAGCAAGGTACCAGGGACATCTTTAGGTCGTATCTTGGTATGGACTGTCACAGTGTCCTGTCAAATATAGTTCCAAGTTTATTTCACATATTCAACTCATTCCTAGCCGTTACTTGTACAGATTTCACTTTCTCCGACGAAAGTACTATCTATTGTTTTAATTATAGTAATTGTATATTGTCTTCATATTTAAAACATTTATAAATACACTGTCATGTCAATATTTGTTATTAAGTATACTTGTATCAATATAAATACTTTTTCACTGACCACTGGCTGTGATACAATCCCTAAACCATATTCTTGCTGGAACATAAGTACTCAACACCTACCGGCTGTGAAAGCTCCCATCTTGTTCTGATATGGATGATGTCATGTACAATGTTATCACAGTCATTGTGGATAAAAGACAGAGGTCCACTCTCATTGGATATCGTTAGGGTGAATTGGTTATCGTCAACAAGGCAGACCTTCAACCAGAAAAAATATATATACAACTTTATCAAAATCATAACTAGATTATAAAAGTCTGTAGATTACACTTTCTGTTACTAATTTTATGGTTCTGTATAGAATCTATACAACATGTATGTCTAAACTTCGCTGTAAACTAACATCTGATCAGCATTTGCAGAATTTGATGTAATGATCACATGGGATATCAGTAGTAATTAATATGAACCAAATCTCTAAGTTTTCTCAAAATGTGACAATGATTTGGAACAGAACATGAGGAGATTGACGGATGAACACAGGTAACAATAAGCCCTCTGCGAAATGGTGATGGCACAATAAACATGAATAATGACAAGGAACCAATAAAAGGTTTACTGTACCATTAAATCAATTTAATTCCAAGGGTTAGAATCAACTTATCTTCTAATAACCATTATTCACATTATCTAGCCACTTGTGATTTCTAATTAAACACACTAGCAGCTTGTGATGTCTAATTAAACACACTAGCCGGTTGTGATGTCTAATTAAACACACTAGCCGGTTGTGATGTCTAATTAAACACACTAGCTGCATGTGATATCTAATTAAACACACTAGCTGCTTGTGATATCTAATTAAACACACTAGCAGCTTGTGATGTCTAATTAAACTCACTAGCTGCTTGTGATGTCTAATTAAACACACTAGCTGCTGGTGATATCTAATTAAACACCCTAGCTGCTTGTGATGTCTAATTAAACACACTAGCTGCTTGTGATGTCTAATTAAACACACTAGCTGCTTGTGATGTCTAATTAAACACACTAGCTGCTTGTGATGTCTAATTTAACACACTAGCCACCTGTCATGTCTAATTAAATACACTAGCCATTTTTGATGTTTTCTTAAACACACTAGCTGCTTGTGATGTCGAATTAAACACACTAGCCACCTGTCATGTCTAATTAAACACACTAGCTGCCTGTGATGTCGAATTAAACAAAATCAGCTGCGTTTGGATGTCAAATTAAACACACTAGCTGCTTGTGATGTTGAATTAAACATAATAGATGGTTGTGGTATCTAATTAAACTTACTCTTACTTTATGACACCCTAATTTTCTCCCTGTATATTTACCTCCTCTATTTCTGAAGCATAATAGACATCATTAAGTAACACCTGATGTCCAAGAACTCTCAGCTTCTCTGCTGAAGTGATCTGGATGGCATTTGGACCCACCTGAAACAAAAAAAACATATCTTACTGACCATGATGAGTTGTATTTAGTATAAATATGATGCAATTATCACCCTGAAATCTGTGATATATGTATCTTACCAGAGACAAAACATGTCAAAAGTAGCTTGTTAAATACTGAATATTACAAAGTATGACTGCTTATACATTACTACGGTGCCCTCCCACCACAAGCAATGGGAAAGGCACGCTGGTTAACTAAGGGACAAATAACCTTGCTCCATAAAGGGAGATGAAGAAAGATTTCTGTTAGCACTGTGCCAACAACTACTGCAAAAAAATTGATAATATTCAATTTTTCACTAATCAAACATCATTTCTGATTGATGACCATAGGATGAACTTTTCAGTATGCTAGTAAGGTGAGCCAATACTGACCTAGTTCATTTTTATAAACTTACCTTGAATATGACATCATTCTCAACTGATTGTGACCTAACACTAACCTTGATTGTGACCTTGGTGTCCTTGTGGGATAGTTTGAGGGCATTGTTGGAGATTTTGAGATCCTCCTCGAGTGACACTGTGGAGCCAGGTAACTTCTGTTGGTCAGGATCTATATACTCATTAAGTCGTGCAGGATGGTCGATAAAAAACAACTTTCTATTTCCCTGAAATGTGACAATGTTATTATTATTATTATGACATTCTTAACGGCCTGTCAACACATAAAAGGTCATTAGGGCCATCAACTGGTAAAACACACAGCGATCCAAAAGGAAATAACACTAAACAAACCAAAAGGTAAAAGACAAATGTTAAAAATCTTAAATGGGTTTTGCTACATTTCAGAAGCTCGTTATGTGAATTATAGAATTCTTACAGTATGGTCTGACATTCCTATACAATGTCTAGTGTTTTATCTAAACACTTCAGCAAACGAGAACAATCAAAGAAAGGAATTGGTAAAGTGTTCCTTATTGTGTTATACAACGAATTCAGCTATGAATACAAAAGTACATACATCAGGTATTGATCTTATATTAGTGTTTAGAAGGTCTACACATGTAAAGACCTCAGTGGTTTGTGTAATGACCTTGAGATATATGTACTGACCTTGGTAGTTTGATAATCTTGGTGTACATGTTATTAACTTGATGTTATGACCTTGAAATATATGTTATGACATTGGTATGTTATGACCTTGACATATATGTAAGACCTTGCTGTATGTGTTATGACCTTGAGGTATATGTATGACCTTGCTGTAAGTGTTATGACCTTGTGGTGTATGTAAGACCTTGCTGTATGTGTTATGACCTTGAGGTGTATGTAAGACATTGCTGAATGTGTTATGACCTTGAGGTATGTGTTTTGACCTTGAGGTATATGTAAGACCTTGCTGTATGTGTTATGACTTTGAGGTATAATGACCTTGGTGATTAGGAACTCACCTTTAGAGGGGTGAGTATCCGATCATGGTATTTGGTATACTCTCTCACCCAGGAGTTACAGTTATATATATAACATGCCACGATGTTCTGGTACACAACCTCTGGCATCACCACAAACCATTTGGACAGGAAATCAGTCTGGAAAAGTAACATAGCACACCTCTAAACAAAACCTCCTCAGCTAACTGTGTGTATTACTTACCCATCAACCAAATTTGTATTTTCATTTAACATTTTCTATATCTGGTCAAATTTCATCTCATTTAAAACATTGGTCATTGATAAAATTAATAAGTAAATTTATTCTAATTTTCATTTCAAGACCATATTAAGGCATACCAGTAAGTTTTCCTCTTTATCAATATGTTTACATTACACTAAGTCAGAATGTACTGAATCAAACTTAATGATGTGCAAAATAAAATTTTTCAATTGAAAGTTTAGTCATAATATCAACTAAAGCTAAGACAAACATATTTCAACAAATCACAAAACAATGACAAATATACACAACCTTAGCCTACAGATATACCTCATGCTAGAAATAACTCATACCTATATATAATTTCCATTTCATATTATCTGGTACAAATAAATCACATATATTTACCAATATACAGTTTGAATAAAACCCATTTATAAACAAAGATATACAAATTTACATGTAAACATACCTATCCTACATTTACAAACAAACATGTCTATGTTTATACAAGCTGTACATATATTACACTTGACCTAATTAGCACACCTGACTTGGTAAGCCAATCACACCCCACTGGAAAGGTTCATTGGAAGTCTATGAAAAGACTGTTTACATCATTTGATCTACTAATACCATACATAACCTTTGAACTCTTTGCCTCCGACATAATCAGTCAAGTGACTGACTAAAATATTTTTATTTCAATTAAAACAGTGTTTTCTATTACGATGAAATATGTCTAGAGGACAGAGTATTGATAAAGTACACCTCATTTGTATTTTTCACAGACAGTGTGCTGATTAGGTTGAATACAGTATATTACATATACAAATAAACACAGGTACACATGCACTCTACATTACATACAACTGTCTAGGTGTCAGAAATCTACAATTATACAATGTGTATAAATATATCTTACATATTTACACTTGTACCCATGTACTCTACAGTCCATATATATACAAAGATGTATATTTCTAGGTGTCAGAAATCCACAATTATACAATGTCTATATAATATATTTTTAAATACATTTACAATACAGAGTTTACACGTTTAATTCATATCTAGATACAAATATACAAAAAAACTATTAAAAAAAATCTTAATACATCACATGTTTACAAAACAAGACTTACAAACAACACCTACACATATACAACATATTTACACAAATAAATCAATGTATAAGTACTTACAGTACTTACTCTAAAACGGTTCTCAGCACAGGTGTGTGTGAAATCTATGACCAGCTCAAATGGTTTGTTGTAGAAAGGTTTTAACGTCAGAAGGACATGATATATCAGCAGATCTCCATTAATTTCTCCAACCCTATAAAAGAAACAATTTTTACACTTGTCTTTTATCTAAAGATGTCCAGAATCTGAGATTGAAGTTATCAGTACTCATCTCAAACACCAATTTACATTTTTTTCCAACTTGGTTATAAATACTTACGATCAATGATGACCCTCTGACAATATTACGTTACCTGGCACTTTTCCATACAGATATCAAAGTAATCATAATAATATAAAGGTTTTCAAGTTGAAAATATCTAAATCATGTCTTCACTAACTGCAGTTTCTGCTAAATATGCTAGAATGAATTTGACACTAAGAATAAGACAAGAACTTACTTATATCGTCTTGCTATATAATAAAATACTGGATTGCCCGCTTTACTGGTACCAGCCTGGTAAAATATGTGTAGATTTTTAAGTGATTTGAATTCATCCTTTTCATGCATGTTGTGTTTTGACATGATTTCTTCAAATTTTGTACTTGTCATGTCCATACTGCTCCATCTGGTGGCAAATATTCCAACACTGCAAAAAAGGAGAAATAATTCTATGAGATAAATCACATCAAACATTGTTAGCACTGCACAGAAATAACTAGGGACAATTATTTCAAGGTATCTTAATGATACCATAATTTTTTTTCGGGGAAAGTAAAACCAATTCAATGATTACATGTGAAAATTTAAATATGAAATTTTTCTGAGGTGATTTTTGTGCACTACAAGCCTAATAAGAGAAGGTGTAACACAGCTACAGACCAAGTCAAATAGGCTTCTGGAGATACACAAGGCTTTGGAAAGTCTTCAGAAATTCACCCAAGGTCTCTTTTTTCAATAATAAACTTTATTTATTTCACAACTTATATCAATCACTCTTGTTGGCTCAGATGGAAGCGCATGCGGGGTCTTAATGAGGGAGGAAACTGGAGTACCCAGAAAAAAACACGTGGTCGGGCAGGTGACCCCCATACCTTTTAACAGTCATTCTGGGAATTGAACCCATGGTCCCTCAAGTCTGCAGAAATTTAAAATGAGCATCATGTAACTCATCATATTCTTCCTGATATGACTTGTACTTACTGAGAATCAAGTGGTCTATGCTCTGGAGGTCCTAGATATGCTAACAAGGTTGCCATCTTGTCAAATGGCCGTCTACCAACTGCCTTGTGATCTCTGTGAAAAAATTTAACATTTCATTTACATTTATAGCTTTTAAGAACTATCTGGCAAATTGTTTTTTTTTTCAATCTCAACTAAATGCATTGATTCAATGATTAAGATATAAAATAGCTCTGGGATTTATTTCATATCATTCTTCAGACAAATTTAGATTTCATGAACAAAAACCTTTTATTTCCAAATTCATATATCCTCATAGGGACAACATTGCTAACTCAAGAAAACCTCTGTGTATTCAATTCAGCTAAGGAATATTGAGGATCTAGAGCAGGTTTTGATATTTCTATGGAAACCAACAGCTCAAATGTTATCTTAGTTACAATCAATATATAGCCTTGTAAAATTCTTAAGGTCTAACCTGCTACTGGACAAGTAGTCTCCTATCTTCTCTTGGTTGTTCCATAACAGTCGATGTAGGGCTAATACATTGGCATCATTGATGAAAGAGAGACTGTGGTTCCCTTGGTCAGGAATATCACAGTCTGATGCTATCTCCGTGAAAAACCTGTGTTAAAATATTAGTTATAAAACATAACAAAAACACTTAGAGTGATGGAAAGATGAATTTTTGGAATAATTAATTTTTGAGATGCATTTATACTGCAATGGACCTGAAAGGTAAAACTGCCTCAATAAGTACCCCTTTTTAAAACCTTTTTACTTCGATGGGAATGAGAATCAGTTATTCTAATTCAAACCAGGACCTACTGATACAATATTCAACAATTTTACCAGGACCCACTGATACAATATTCAGTCATTTTACCAGGACCCACTGATACAATATTAAGCCATTTTACCAGGACCTACTGATACAATATTCAGTCATTTTACCAGGACCTACTGATACAATATTCAACAATTTTACCAGGACCCACTGATACAATATTCAGTCATTTTACCAGGACCTACTGATACAATATTCAGCCATTTTACCAGGACCTACTGATACAATATTCAGTCATTTTACCAGGACCTACTGATACAATATTCAGTCATTTTAACTGATACAATATTCAGTCATTTTACCAGGACCTACTGATACAATATTCAGTCATTTTACCAGGACCCACTGATACAATATTAAGCCATTTTACCAGGACCTACTGATACAATATTCAACAATTTTACCAGGACCCACTGATACAATATTCAGTCATTTTACCAGGACCTACTGATACAATATTCAGTCATTTTACCAGGACCTACTGATACAATATTCAGTCATTTTACCAGGACCTACTGATACAATATTCAGTCATTTTACCAGGACCTACTGATACAATATTCAGTCATTTTACCAGGACCTACTGATACAATATTCAACCATTTTACCAGGACCTACTGACACAACATTCAGCCATTTTAATTCTTTGCCTCCCATTCACATTACTAATTCAAATTGTATTGGCTGTGTCAAATGTTTCAAGTCTTTTCAACTATTGCGAGTGGAAACTATTCTATGTAAGTAGTTTTATAAAGTACTTTGTTTATTTGGCATTTGAAGGCAGGATCTCTCTGTAGATGATGACTACCTCACTGAGCATCATGCGGGAGGTCCATTTTCATCAAGAGCAATGAGGATTAGGTGTCTAGCCCCAGGATATAAACATGATGCCATGATGAATGAGACCGAGAAACACAAACCAGTGTGGGTGGAGACTGAGTTACACACCTGGGATTTTCACCTGTTTCCACGAGTCCGATTCTCTACTAATTGACCTTTTTCTAGACTGCTTTATTAAACACTCTCCACATGTGCTTTGATCAGTACCCAGTGCACTTAATAACTAAAGATTGAACAAGGAATATCTGCAAGGTGTTAAAATCTAAAAAGGTCTACCAACCTTCTACCAGCCTCAAAATTGGTCTTGAGAAAGTCATTGAAGGTTCTCATGTGGTTCTCCTTAGTGAACAAAAGGTGGTTGGCAATGTTCTGCATGATCTTACACATGAGTGTGAGACCTCGTTTAATCTTTGGTGTCGGCTCTTCATCAATTATCCCAGATTCATATGGCGAAACTGAAATATTAGTACAAGTCACACCATATTGAATCAGAAAGACAGAGCAACATACACATCAGTATATCAGTTGTTTTTACATTAGAGAAGATAGGATAGATAATCACAGATATTCTAACCTTTGGTTTTAACTAAAGTAAGGATGAAAATTTCATAAAATTTTTACTTTTCTCTCAAATACTCTAAAATCATTTATGAGGCAAACCTAAAATTTTTACCCTAAGAAGTTGTTTGAATGTGATATCAGTATATATATATATATCAGACCCCTACTTGATATTGAATAATATACTACAGGTTCGACAATGGGATAGGTATAGACACAGTATGTTTAACAGTATTCCATTGGAATAATGATAGGTATAGACACAGTATGTTTACCAGTATTCCATTGGAATAATGATAGGTATAGACACAGTATGTTTACCAGTATTCCATTGGAATAATGATAGGTATAGACACAGTATGTTTAACAGTATTCCATTGGAATAATGATAGGTATAGACACAGTATGTTTAACAGTATTCCATTGGAATAATGATAGGTATAGACACAGTATGTTTAACAGTATTCCATTGGAATAATGATAGGTATAGACACAGTATGTTTACCAGTATTCCATTGGAATAACAACTTTCAGATACTAACATTCTAGATAATATTCCTTTGTTTGTTGAGTTTGTCACTCAGTAAACAGCCAGAATTATTTTGAGGCAGGTTCTCAATAATAAACCAACTCTGAGTTGAACATGGCCCAAGTTGAATTAAATTGGAGATGAATTCCCTCAAAGATTTAACACTAATCTTGTTTTCAATTTTGGAAATTTAGAAAAAAAATGGTCCATAATATTAAGAAAAGACAAGTTATAAAAGTTCATGCACCATGCTATGTTGTTTCGTATAGAAAGAAGTAAACATTGAGTTATAGACTGTCATTCCCTACTAGTGAATGCATACCATGGTAACATGCTTGATATATATGTCTACTTGTCTACAGCTGATAGGCATCAGAAACTGACAGGTGGTAGTTAGCAACATATCTAACATGTTAAGTTGGAGTTCGTAGATTTAGATTTAAAATATGCTTTAATCAGCTAATTCATTCCAGACTGAAGACTATGTTGTCACCAGCCAGTAAGGAATAGGGCAGCCTTACATCACAATAATATATATAACCCATTATAAATACTCTTATCTGTGACCAGTTGTTGTCACTTTTTAATTGAATTGAATTTAATTGCTAGTAAATATATTTCTCATCAGTACATAAGAAGTAAAGGGCCTATGGCTTTACAGCTGAAGACTAGCTCACAACATGACCAACAGGTTCTGTCAGGTATCTAGGGGAATTCTTGACTTACTGTCATGTATCTAGGGGCATTCTTCACTTATTTGTTCCTGATATATGTTACAAGGATTTACTTTGCTATGTCACATTATTCAGTGTTTACTATTTAACATCTAAACACACCGAGAGCTCTGGAGAATTAAGAGGGTGGTTCTCCACTGGTGGGACATCCCCAACTTTACACCTGAACTATATACGGTAAAGGTATGGCTATTGTATATAGAGTGGACACTGTGTATAAAGTTTGGACTTCAGTGGCATCACTACACTGTAAGTGTATAACATTGTATAACAAAATATGTCTGTGAGGCACTTTCCTTCAGAATTAAAACCTTTTGTGAAAACGATATATCTTAATTCCATGCTTTGTCTATAGTCAGGGAAACAAGTTTTTTAAATGTTTAATTTTTGACCATTGTAACTCAGATTGTCTACTGTATCGTTATGGAAATAGAACTGTACCATACTGTAGCTAGGCCTAAAGATTGCTAATTTATAGTATATATCATTTCTATTTCGATATCTTAATCATTCCTCTGTCCTTATGTCATATCACAGCAACTAGACCTACATTGTATCTACAACTATATAGATAGAAATCACAGAATTATAAACTTTGCACTTGATAAATAGAAATAACAGTGTCATCTGTTAGTATATCTCAAGAGTCTGTTTGAACATCTATTTTAAGAAAGTATAACGGCAGGTATCTACATATGCGATATACTGGATATCTTTACTAGACATAAATAACTTGGTGCCGACAAGGGAGACTACTACTACTACTACAAGACGGCCTACATGATCTTCTCCAAAATGTTGAAACAAAGGAGTACACTTCAACAAAGATATGCCTACTTTTTTTTCACCAGAAGAATCCTGTCACAGTGACCTACATTTTGTACCTGGGTATCTACAAACTAGGTGCTTCTCTATAGATCTATAGGATTAGCCATTACACACACAATCAAATATTTTAGTGACTACACATATCCACTAGTGAATGTCAAGGTCGTTCAGAGTTACCTATGGCAGGGTTGATGAAGCGTAAGAAGATGACAGTTCCGATGACTGTCCATACAGCGTCTGCACTGTTTTGCTGAAAACGCTGTGTGACAACTTGATGCAGGCAATGGCACATACTCCGCAGCTTGGTCGGAAACCTGACAGGAGGAGAGATCCAATGGTTACACAGGTCAAAGGTTACAGTAGGGGAAGTAAAAGGTATATGGGTTATATATGTGACAGTGATCTAGTTTGACATACCAAGGGATTTAGTTAGGTATATATCCACATATCAAACATCAGAGGTCAAAGTTCTGGGGTCAATAGGTCAAAAGCTACTGTGTATAGTTCATAGGTGACCTTGAAGTAGGAATCCAGCTGGGACACATATACACAGTCCTATATAGGTTGTTCAGGTCAAAGAGCAATACAAAGTATTTGAGTCAAAGTCTATTCTGATGGACTGAGGTTTAGGTAAAGCATAAAGGTCGAAAGAGAGCAGTAGCTTTAGTGCCAAAGATTAAAAGGTGAAGCTCTGGTCTGACTGGACCAGCATGCATTCACATCAATTCCAGATATTCAAAAATAAGTATTTGCCGAAATCCATCAACAAACTTTCCAAACATCTGTTCATCTGCCCACCCATATTTTTTTTTTACATAACATCACCTAATGTAAAGAGCTGTGATGTCTTAGATAACGTGCCGCAGCTGTGTTCTCCAATGGTTCATGTCATATTGGAAGTTTTTGGTCTACATTAGAAGTATTTGTTCATTAAAGATGTGTTAATGTTTAATAGAACAAACAAACTTGTATTAAAACATTCTTTTTAAGGGTCTATCAATTAAAAAAAATTATTTCTCCAGAATGGGAAAACATCGTGGTATCTGCGATAATAACAAATGATCAACCACATGATTAAATCAAAGTGTTGGAAGTACAGTAAACAAACATTAATGAAAAGTACAATCATATGTTTAATTAGGAATTTCATAATATGTAGTAGATTTAATCAATGAAGCTCATGCTCTTTTATATAACAAGAGGCCCAAGGGCCTTAACGGTCACCTAAGTTACAACGGTTCTTGTAACAAAACAAAAAAAGAAAGAAATCTAACTTAAGGCTTCTCATCAAGTTTGAATTAAAAGAAATTTCACTCAATATTTGAATTTTTCTGTATAAAATCTTCCATGCAGGAGCAGCGGAACATCTTTAAAATTTCAGTCAGTTTGACCCACTTTTAGCCCCGCCCATCAGCCCCAAGGAGTCAGTAAAGGTCAATATGTGCATCTCATCAAACAGCTTATACTAATGAAAAAAAATTCTTATCAAGTTCAAACTTTTTCTGAAAGAAAATAAACAAATTATGCTTGTAATTTTTCTATATAATATAAAGTAATTTTTACTCCCTCCCCAATAGGAAATGGGAGACCCTGGGGTCATGAAATTTACAGTTTTTATAAAGCACCGCAAGACACCTCCATCCATGCAGAGTATTTGGTTCTATATTATCTCGGTACCGAGAAGAAATTTTTTTAAATTTCAGTCAATTTGACTTATCAGTTCACCAAGCTTTTCACCCTTACATGCTGCAGACTCAATATTGGGTCCCTGGGCTTCTTGGATTTATTAAAAAAAGAAGTTGTTTTAAGGTTTTCCCATACTTGACCCCTATAACACTGAGTAAATGTCACGGTTATTAATTTCAACAAACCTGGTGGCTCTTTATCTTTATATATTTCCAGCTAAAAATCAAGTCTCCAGGCAGAGGCAGGCCTCATGGTTATAGAGAAGAATTGTTCAAATTATTTTCATATACTTGACACCTATGACCATGAATAAAGGTCAAGGTGATTCATTTGAACAAACTTGGTTGCCCTTCATCCCACAATGTTAGAGACCAAATATCAGGTCTCTAAGTCTCTGTAAGCTACAGAGCCAGTTGATCAAGTCCATGCACCTCCTGGTTATTGAGAAAATGCAATTTGAAGATTTTAGCATATTTACCCTCGTAACCTATACTTCGCCTCAGGTGACCTAACAATCCTATATACCTGTTTGATTGTTTACATGCCACAATCATTAAATGTCTCCATCAGACAATGTACAAAACAGTGATTTTCGAAAAAATTTACATGATATTACTGGTAGGCATCATCTTAGGGCCACTCCAGGCAAGTTACAACTAAATCCCATAAAAGAGGAGGTGGAAAAGAAATTTGGAATGTATAATGTTGACAACCCTAGAGGATTGCTAGAAGGTGACTGGTCTACAATCTTAGTTTTTCAGGTAGAATCCATCTCATGAGTTCTGTCTGTGGTAGAACTATTTTAGGAATTTACTGTCACTAATTTGGAATAATTTACCTCCTACAGCACTCTGTCTTTTCAAACTTAATTACAACATATCTAGATCATGTTATTTTTGTTTAAATTTTTATTCAAATAAAGTAAGAATTGATAGGTTATTACACTTATAACGGGCCAAAACAGGATACCAATGTCTATCAGTAGCTAGTTGTTTTATAGGTGATGCACTTGTACTTCATCAGTTACAAAGGTCAGGTCCATAATTCAATTACATTTTGTTTCTTTTACTGCAATCTGTATATTCGTCTGAGTCATGTTCTATAAATAATAGATGTTCTATCAACTTGTAGTTACAGTATAGTCAGTCAATCCAGACCAATTAATATAATTGTTGGCATAATGTCAGAATATCTATTTGAAGTGCTTTTCATTTTGAATACCTGATCTATTGTTTACATAGATTTATAACAACTACACTCATAAAATAACTTTGTGAGATACACTATTATGATTAGATACAAAAGTTAATATTGAATAGTTGTGTGTCAAAATATTGAGGAACAAAATGCCTTGCTTTCCAGGGACACATTACAAAGAATCTGTATTAATGATTTTGAATATACATATATCAAATATGTATGCAAATTTATAAGTTTCAATGTGAATGTGAATAATTCCTCAACAAACACATTCATGTAGATTATACTTGTATTTGATCCTCGATGATTTGTGATGGAAGTGGACACTGGACATTTTTAATTGAAATTATTGTTACAATGAATGGTGATAAGTTATTGATATGATAAGTAAAATAGGATTAAGTTTAATCATCACTTGTGATATTTTATTTTGATTTAAATTAGCCTAAACTTTGGTGCATTTATTTCCAGAGCTAAGAACTTAATTTCACAACTTCCATATTTTTTAAAACATCATTAACATTACACTTGTTACTCAACAGATTATATGGAATAAGTATAAAATTCTTACACCTGTGAGTAAAAAACCGGGAATATTCTTTCTAGACAGAGATAGACTACCTGGTATTGGATCTCTGGCGCGACTATGTACACAAATGTTCTTTCTAGACAGAGATAGACTATCTGGCATTCGATCTCTGGTAAGACTATTTACACAAATGTTCTTTCTAGACAGAGATAGACTACCTGGTATTGGATCTCTGGCGCGACTATGTACACAAATGTTCTTTCTAGACAGAGATAGACTACCTGGTATTGGATCTCTGGCGCGACTATGTACACAAATGTTCTTTCTAGACAGAGATAGACTATCTGGCATTGGCGCGATATGTACACAAATGGACAGAGAAGACTATTTACACAAATGTTCTTTCTAGACAGAGATAGACTATCTATGTACACAAATGTTCGATCAGAGATCTGGTAAGACTATGTACACAAATGTTCTTTCTAGACAGAGATAGACTACCTGGTATCCGATCTCTGGCCCGACTATGTACACAAATGTTCTTTCTAGACAGAGATAGACTACCTGGTATCCGATCTCTGGCGCGACTATGTACACAAATGTTCTTTCTAGACAGAGATAGACTACCTGGTATCCGATCTCTGGCGCGACTATGTACACAAATGTTCTTTCTAGACAGAGATAGACTACCTGGTATCCGATCTTTGGCGCGACACAAATGAACTTAATTGCACGAATAAAACTTATGGCAGAAAAACAAAATGGTGACAATTAATGCAAGCCTTGTTAAATAAAAATGTAAAAAAAGGCATAGACCTGATAAATTTTAGTTTTTATAAAACACAATGTCCGAGGGGTTGCCTATTTTGACAGATGAGTATGACTCTACGCATACTACTTTCTGATGATACAATTTTCACAAAGTATTTATCATTTTCAGTGTTTTCATGTGGTCTAGGAAATTTGTAAACTAACTTCAAATTAATTGCTACGGAAAAGAATCTTTTAAACAATTGTTGTTAAAAAACATTATTTTAAAATCTGGAATTGCATTAAAATGATCAATGTAAAGCCGCTGTGAGAACATGCAAGACTATTTGCAAATTGCATCGGTCCTCGGTTAAGACAGCTGATCGCAGTCTATTGTGAAATGTGTCATACATAGAAAAATAATAAAAAAACAATTAAAATCATCCAGGAAGATTTTGAAATGAAAGTGAAATGTTCATTTTAGAACTGGTGTGAAGCAAGGGATTATAGGGTCTAATGTATTGCTCCAAATGGGATTTAACTATTTACAGGATCGGGCAACAATTTACAGGATCAAGAAAGAGAAGAATAGTTTCAATGGTGAATATAAGTTTTTTGGTCAAACATGAAACATCACAAATTATCGGCAAATGGAAAGAAAAATAAATATATACATTTTTTGCACATGTATCCTACCCAATCCTGTAAACCGTCTTACAGATGTAAATGTGATAATGTTCACGCATGTGCACCCATAACATTACTGGGCATGGGAGCTGCCATGATATATGTAACATGAAGCTAGTATAAATATGTGTGTTCTTAATAAACCCTTAGCTGCGGTAATATGTTCTTTACCTAAATAATTTGATGGGTACTCACAAACAATATAAAGAAAGGTAGGTGACTGAATTTTATAAAGCATTTTGTTTGAAGCGAACGTTTGAATGTCAGCCATATTGGAATGTGGCCCTTAGATCGAACCGGAAATAGTACAGATGGCATATTAGTAAAAAAGACTGCCTTATAAGGTAATTGCAGTTAAGCTTATTTTGGATTCTAACAAATGAACATTAATGTTCGTTTAAAAACATGGCGACAGTAATGTTAAGAGAGAGAGCTGATATTACAGGTAAACCAGCTGGTTTTCTTCTCTAGTTAATTCAATAACATTAGTAATGTCACCACGTTTCTATAACACAGGGTTGGCTCTGAGCACATCTCTGCAATCACAAAGCTGTCTTATAAAATACTTTTGTTCAACACTTTCCTCTTTGTTTCCCATTGATTTTAATTTTTTTAAAGAGTTTCGCTCAAAAGTGAAAACAGTTCTCTCTACAAAAATTTGTTTAAGATTTCAGTTAAAACTTTCTGAATAGCTCAGAGCAACCCTTCGTTCTCAACTCCTTAAGTATGAAGCAGCATATGATATATGTAGGGCTGTGTATAAGTTTGGTCCCCATGGCAACAGGCTGGGGACGCATGGACGATGCAGGGGTGTTGTCTCCAACCGTCTTTACCTAATGCTGGATTGAAAAATCGGAGAAAGATAACAGTGCCTGTTGCTAGGATACTGTGGTGGGGGAACCTCAGGCTGATCACCTGGTATACACAATGGCACATCACACGCAGCTTGGACGGAAACCTGCTGTATATAAATGATGTCCCACATCGTCGGATGTCAGTATTGATACAAACCACATATGTTATACCAGGCAGCAGTATACAAACCATGTTCTGAGCATCTGGTCATCGCATCATTAATCAAAACACTATATTGTCACACAAGTTCCCCCACCCCCACTTTTACAGACTCTATTCCGTAATCAATTATTACACTGGTATGCAAGCCAATCAAAAATGACATAACCATCAACATGTCATTGGCTAATGTTATGTGACGACATATATTATTAACCGGTAGAAATGCTTGTTTCAAGAAAAAAAATATAAACTGAAATATCAAAATCAAATACATTTTCAAAACCTACACTTTCATCAGAAATGGTCTAAAAACATGTACTGTTAAAGAGTTTGTTATCACAAACAATGACGAAATGATGACTCCAACAACACAAATCATCATCTTTGAGAAAAGGAAAAAAAAATTGTTGACTTATTTTGTTATATTATAAAATAAGTAAAAAAATTGGTAAGAATGGTAAGACAGAAGAATAAAACCTACTGCTGGGCAGATCCCACCACTACATTGAAGACTTTCTGGGTGATTATCATTAGGTATTTCTTGTTGTCCTCTATACTCTCGCCAGTTTCCAGTCTAAAATAAACAAGTTTTGTTATTACTATCAACATATATGTATATTCACACTTTCTTTCATTTCATCAAAGTAAAAATAGAACAAAATATTTCTTACCAAAATTAATTTCATTGGAATGCAAGTTTTCAACACTTTGATATTTAACAAAATGTATTGTACACACACTTATCAATGATCTAACTCTATAGAGTACTTTTACATATTCTATATACATCATAAAACATGTAGGAGTTTCAAAAAGTTCAAAGTGTTACAAGTTTGATACCAACTTGGAATTGAACCAGAACCCATGCATGGTTTTTAACTATCAGATCAGACAAGGTGGTTCTTTTGTAACGTTGGTCATAATAACCTTCATAATGCAAAATTTAGTTGAAAACAATATGGCTATACACATGAATTAGGAAATACAGCATTTGCTTATGTGACTACATTTATCTGACAGGCCACCAATCAAAAGTTGAGAAGTATTTTACCTTGCGGAGTCAATTTCATAAGAGACCTTCTGTTGTCGCTCCAACTGGAACATTTCCATGATGAGAGGATTAAGGAGCTCTCGAAGATAGTTCTGTCCATAAAACCGGAAACAGTATGCCATGATCTTACTAGCTAGGCTGTTTCCACGGAACAAGGTCTGCATACAATCTGCTATCTCCACCTAAATTTAATGAGTTAAATATATCACAGAACTTCTGGATACAGCCATACCTGTTCTTCCTCGCTTACTGAAACTTTTTTTCTGTAATTTACTTTTCTAGAACAACAATATTGACTATAGACTTAATTTGTATCATAAACTACAAGGTTTCCTGGAGAAAGAACCATTGCATACAAGGAAACTGCCTTTTGACAAATAGAAAGAAAAGATAAGATGAAGGTTAAAGATTGCTTATCAAGCAGAAATATATGTTACTGCTTTTTTAAGAACTTTAGGACAAATTTAAAATGGGGTGAAAATGAATAGTTATACATGAGCAAAAGAAGACCTAAGGAAATGTTCTCTGTAAACAGTAGCACAGTGTGTCTGTGATCTAGACTTGTCGTTAAGTGCCATGCTAATCCAATGAAACCTAATGTTCCTTTACAGGAATCTAATACACTGGTTTGTCCATTTGTATGAAATAGTTGAGCCTACACAGTGACATCACAACTCAGTGATACTGTGTATATACAATAAAGTCCGAGATAAAGAATTTTTGTATCAGAAAACAGAAATGTTCATTTGTCTAGAGATCAGGATATACATAAAATGATCAAAATCATGTGAGTACTTTCTACCAACCACTAGATTTTAATATGTATAATGAAATCAATATGGTAATGCATCCTGGCACAAAAACATTAGAAAAAACACCAATTCTGAAAGCAGTTACTGATTTACCATTGCAGATTTACTGCATTCTATTGGAGCAAACATTTTCCATGGCACATTAGGAATGGGTAAATTTAGTTTTATCATGAACACTCTTGTTCCACAGTTACCTTTCATATTAAAATACTGACCATTCATTGGCTAGATGGATTTAGAAATAGTCTAATAGGTCTGATACTTGTCACTGAAGGACCAATCAACATTTAGGTCAATACAGGTTAACTACTACACAGGTTGACAGGCATACCACACTCATACAAATACCACAACAAAATACATGAAATATGGGCGTCACATGATTACAATTCTATAAATAGGTGTCGGGTGCCTTTATTTGGATAATCCTGATTCCACATGTTATAGGACAAGACAACAAATCTCTCAAGGTGAAAAGGATACGGTTGTCATGCCAACACAGAAACAACAAAGAGTAAATACAACCCACTGCAACCTATATGTAGACTGGTATGATGACAGTGAATATATAAGTACAATTATTAACCCACATAAAGAATCCGACTGTCAATTTACTATTGCCTGTCAAGGGTGAAGCTTATTCTTCCTATGAAAATTAGACAGGGACAGGCAAGAAATCCAAGGTTACAAGCAAATATTTAGTCCCTTCATGCTTAGTTTGACTTTTTGATGCGTGTTATGCCATAGTGAATTTCACATTCTGACCCCCAGTGTTAATACATTGTATCACAAAGATAAGAGTCGTCTACCGAAAAGTTTTAAATTAGTTCAAAGGCAGTGAGTTGTTATGTTCCAAGAACATGAATTTCCTTTTCGATGATTGGGTTGGTGTAAAGAAATTGACAAAAGAATCCTATTTGTTGATGGTTTCATATTTCAATTTGTAATTCATGAGGATTTTGTTGTATGAATCACATACAGAATGGGAAAGGGTAAACTAGTTACCAGGGCAACAGCTTGGCTATCTGTTTAACATCACAACACAATCAATCACGATCAATTTGTCATAAAAACATGTAGTAGTCAGCACAACTACCATAGCAACAGATTATATATATAGAATCTAGTAAGTAATATCGACAGCATATCAAATACTGGTAGAGTGTATTACTGGAATAGATCATTTGTCTTTATTTAATGTTTAAACATGTGATGTATTTTTTTGTAACATTTTGTGCCGTGATAGAGAGGTAGATTGCCTTTGAAATTTAATTATCCATACTGTCAGTGGATCACATATATATAGTCATTATCACTTCATATAAATATAGAGAGAGAAAGAGAGAGATAGCAGTTATGACAACATGAAACATATTCAATATAAGGAAATGGTCTTGGTCTCAATACAAGGTCCTTCCTTCAGTTCTCCTTCCATGCTGCCTTGAATAAGAAAAGGGAGAAACAGGACAAGCATGTCCACGACTATATACAGCTCTTTATGTCATAAGCAAATGCCTGTTCTAATGCTCACTAGAGTCTAAATCTACCATTCATACTAACTGATGGGAATGATACCAAACAAAAATCATACATAATAATAAAAATAATATGGTAAAAAGAACAAAGGTTTGTAAAAACAAATGACTTTTTACATACCGGTACATGTGATATGTCCTGCTCACAAATGAGGGAGATTTGTCCCTGAAATGAGGGAGATTCAAGTCAGCACACGCGACATTTAATTAACTTTCGCTCCTCAGCATTCCACAATACCATTTCAAGCTACTTACAATATCAATTTTGTATGGTTATATAAACACAACAACGTTCTAAAAATGGAAAAAAATAATAATAATGAGCTTTTTCTCTGTTTCATGTTTTGTTTCATGTAAATTTAATCCAAACCCACGATAACTACATTTCACAAAAAAATTCCCCTTTTTTTCACATTATGAGTATTTTGTTGATCTTTTTTCGGGTGTTTGAGTAGATAATGATTATGTCATACACATGTAGCTCAAATGCTTTTTATCCCATCAAGCTAGGAAAATATATTGTTGCCTCAAAATAAAGGATTGAAATAGTGGGATACATGAGGAAATATCACATGTATGGTTGACGACAAGGATGAGAAAAGTGATTAAAAAATATGTTGATTTGAATGATGAAAATCCAGTCAATTCGTATAAGCAAACCTTTGTTTTGAACTTTTTACAAACACTTTGAATTTCTGCAGTTAATATGCATTTAATATACTAGCATAAACAGTGTTGGTTATCCTAGGAAAATTAAAGAAAATGAAGTTTTCATTACATTTTCCCTTACTTAGCACTATCTATCTACAATTTGGATAGAATAATACACATGATAATGCATGACCAAGTAAAATAATATTCTGCCATGAGTGATCTCCCCTACTTTATGTTTCCGCAATAAAATCTACCATGCAAACTAAAACCATGTCATAAAAAAATGATCTTTGTTTATTTTTATGTGGTAAACGTAGCAAGAAACCCAATGGGCCTGAAACTGTTATTCAATGCTCATAAAATGAAGTTGGTTTTTATCATTTGCATTCAAAGTGGGCACATCCAATCAAGTTTAACCAATCTGCAAAACAGCTTCTAATACTCAACCCTTAACACAAATAGCTATGACTTGGATTAGAGGTAAATGTCATTTTGTGTTCTCAAAATTTGTTGGACTTTCACCTAGAAACACTCTCCATCAAATATCCTGCCTCTGGGACATTTGCAGTTTACCACAGTAAGTTTTTTACAATTAACAATTTGACCCCTGTGACCTTTATCACTTTTGCAATCTTTATTGGGCTTCAACCTAATATCCTATTAACTAACCTATCAAAAAAATAGCATACATGTGTGCCTTTTTGGTTTAGCACCAAAGGTTGTTTCAAATTTTAAAAAATATGACCCTGTGGCTTTCAACATGGGTCAAGGTTATTTCTTTTCGCAAACTTTCTCAGGCTTCATTCCAGAAACCCATCAACCAAATACCATGACATTTAGTCTGTTGGTTATTATGAAGAAGTTGTTCAAATGGAAAAGTTGACAATGATCAAATGCTGAACGGATGCCAAACCACAGCATAAGCTCACCAGACCCTTTGTGCATGTTAACAATGTTCTCATGTTTTTTAAATCACACACTTGCAATAGAACCATTGAACAAGACTTTAATGTGTTGGTCCAGCCAATAACCAAGACAGTTACATGTGCTGATCCAGCCAATGATCATGACAATGTGCTGATCCAGCCAATAACCAAGACAGTTACATGTGCTGATCCAGCCAATGATCATGACAGTTACATGTGTTGATCCAGCCAATAACCATGACAGTTACATGTGCTGATCCATCCAATGATCATGGCTGTAACATATGTGCTGATCCATCCTATGATGTAATGAGTAGTAGTCTTCAAAAGCTTCTTGAAGGTACTTTTGTAAAATAATGTACAATCCACCACAAAAGGTCTAATTGCAATTATCAGTGAAATTCAATCTAATAACATTCCAGATTAGAATTAGATATTTATGCCACAAGGATATAGAACAAAATGGTATTCTTTCATCTTCTAGGCATTCAGATGTATAGAGCTTCATCAAGCGTTTAAAATGTGCCTAAATTTTGAACAAAGACTTCAGTAGTAATTAAACATTAACCACACACCATTTGCTATTTTTTTCACTACAAGACAACTCCTTGTAACACATGCTTTTTCCAATTTAATTTCTTTAAAATAATGACAAGTCAGATCAGAAAAAATGCAGAATTCTATTGATTTAAATGATTTTTAGATTTAATCAAAATATAGTTGGATCTTCAAAACAAATTTTATCAAAATATAGTTGGATCTTCAAAACAAATTTTATCAAAATATAGTTGGATCTTCAAAACAAATTTTATCAAAATATAGTTGGATCTTCAAAACAAATTTTAAAGAAGACTTAGTTGGTAAGCGAAAAAAGCCACATATTATTAATGACTATAAACTATGTTTTAGTAACAAACTGATGATATGGTGTCACATTTTGGTGAATTTTGATGGCATAAACCATTTTAACAAAAGCTATGAAAATAATTCATTTATATTTTTGGGGGGAGAATGTCAAAAAAGTGATTGAGGTGAGCTAAAAGAAGACAAGCTGTTTGTGTGTGATTGAGAATGTGCTGAAGAGAGAGAGGTGACATGCAGTGACGGGTTAACACACATGCAGAGAGAGTAAAGGACATACCTCTTTGGAAAACATATTCCATAACAGTTGGTACAACAGGTGCTTGGCGTCAAACAGGTTCACAAATACACGAGCCAATTCATCCTGAAACCCACCAACATGGCAAATCATCAAGTTTCTGATTACCACAAAATCACGTGTTCCTCATTACCACAAAATTATCACAACTTGTTCATCATTACCACAAAATAATCACGTGTTCCTCATTACCACAAAATTATCACATAGTTTCCTATTATCACAAAATTATCACATAATGTTTCATATTACCACAAAATTATCACATATTGTATCCTATTATCACAAAATTATCACGAAGTTATCACATATTATCACTCAATATCACAAAATCATCACTTGTTTGGTGTTACATTTATCTATTATCACACATTCCTTTCAGACATATGTCATCCACCAATTTAAGTGAGTAAACTACTTGAATATGTTCTTATTGAAATGAAGATTATATAGATAGTCAACTGAGTACCAAACATAATTCTCAGCTTTGGGTAAAATAACCTTAATTCAGAATAATAAGACTTCTTTGAACAAGACATTCAAATACTCATTTACTTCAGAGTTACAATCTCCTATGACCTCTGACGTTTTATAAAGAGTAACCCTAGCACTATGACCTAATCAAACTATGATTAGAAAAGTATCCCCCTAACCTTTGAATCACTAAGATATACTACTTGTTGTGAGAATATCACCCTGACCTTTGACATACTCCAAGATACTGCCTGTTGTAAAAAGAGTATGCTCTGACCTTTGACCTTGATGTCAGAAGATTACCTTGGCCTTTGACTTACTTGGTCATATCACTTGCTATAGGAAGAATATCCCTGACCTTTGACCTATTCTGACATGTTACCTGTTGTGAGAAAGTGCCCCTAACCTTTTACCTCTATCTAGACTAACCATTTGTTGAGTGGGTACTACAGTAGCCAGTGCCATGGCAATAGGCAGCTCTCCTTTGTCTCCTATCATGGTGACAAGTTCTACCAGACGTTCAAAGCGATCTGCAAGAGCAGTTTCTGCCAGTGTCTCAAACTCTGTGCCCTGCTGCAGAATCTTCGTAAGCACCTCCATGAAGGCTGCTCTGGTCTGGGGGTCTTTGTGGTAGCCAAGGGCTGTCAACAGATAACAACAACATTTTAAGCATAAATCACACTGCATCACCTTTGTTGTCTGAATACCACAAATAATCCTCTGTGATACTGTAAAATTTTCCTTTGTGATACTGTAAAATTTTCCTTTGTGATACTGTAAAATTTTCCTTTGTGATACTGTAAAATTTTTCTCTGTGATACTGTGGAATTTATATTTCCATAAGATGATACTTTCCATTTTTTTCCCAGGATGGCATGAAAACTCAAAAGTAGATAAGAAAAAAAAAACAAAAAATTACTGGTCTTGTTAATGACTTTTGTGAAAGTTGCATTCTTGTTGCTTTCAATCAAACATTCGAAATTTGAATCACAACAACATTTAATGTATTTAAACTAAGTAAAACAAGTGTAAACATAGGTTACCTATAGAATGCACAAGTCAAACAAGTGTAACCAAAGGTTACCTATAGAATGCACAAGTCAAACGTGTATAACCAAACGTTACCTATGGAATGCATCAGACCACTGTCTATGTTGGCATTGAGTAGATTAGACATGGCCTGTACAGTACAGTTCCTCAGTGCACTCAGATTAGATGTACTCCGCTTCCTGTTCGGGTCCATGGCCGTGTCTTGTTCCTCCTCTGAACAGTCATTCAGGAGGTTCATGAACAAGGTCAAGTATCTGGAATGCAACAGCTCAATGTTAGTGTTAAGATCCTAAAAATTAGCTTTAAAAAAAAGATGATATTTTCCTTTTTCAGTTTTTCTTAATGTGCAAAATTTTCAAGTAGAAATCCCATCAATGGAAAAGAATTACCCAAATATATTGCCTGCAGGAATATTTTTATCTGAAGCCAATAGTAATATTTATATAGGAGATTTCAGAAAAATAACTTAATGGGAAGAAAATCTGAATAATTTTCACATCGTATTTGCTGAATTTATCAATCCACTCTTTGTACATTTAAGGATGATTAGATTTCTCATTTAATCCAAAAGTCAAAACTCCAGCGAAAATTTTTTGCAGTTAATAACACACACACACATCAACATTCCCTTTCATTTAAGAAATACAAGTATCTGATAGAATCAGTGATCTATCCTTATTTCATAAACCAACATCTAGAGTCCAGCTGGTCAGAACAATATATAATGTATCTGACAACTTTAAGTGATCTCCCTTAGGTAACATTTACCTCCATCAAAACATCAATCAAGCATAAAACAGAGTCAGGGTACAACATACTTGAGAAAGAGTTGAGATTTGGCCTCCATCAGATCACCACGGTCACTCTCCTCTGGCTGGAGAGGAAGTCCGGCCAGCAAGGCTGCTACAGCTTCCATACTGGCTTGGTCAAGGTCTCTGTAGAGAACAGTCAAAATCTGGATTATTTAAACACAATGTTGTTCATATGATAAACTTATTATTATCAAAAACAAATTATTACATAGCACAGTTCTACTCCTTTAATACATGTGCTGGTTACTCCCAAGAATACAGGTGTACAAACACTGTTTACAGTGCACAATTAAGAATCGCTCCGAAGAAAAAACGGCTACAAATATATATTTACATCCCACACAATAAGAATCACTCTCAAAAATACACAGGTAAAAATATACATTTACACCACACAGGTAAGAATCACTTTCAAGAACACACCTGTATCAATACATGTTTACACCCCACAGGTAAGAATCACTTTCAAGAACACACCTGTATCAATACATGTTTACACCCCACAGGTAAGAATCACTTTCAAGAACACACCTGTATCAATACATGTTTACACCCCACAGGTAAGAATCACTTTCAAGAACACACCTGTATCAATACATGTTTACACCCCACAGGTAAGAATCACTTTCAAGAACACACCTGTATCAATACATGTTTACACCCCACAGGTAAAAAGCACTCATTTCATTTTTCTACATAAAATTCACTTTAATCTGATTGCTTCAAAAATTAAAACATTTTATGGAAGAAATTTAGCCTCACATATATCACACTTAAAACATTAATTAAAACATCAATTTACGACATTGATTAACTAACCAATTCACATATACGACAAGAAAACTTTAAACACTATTAAAGTGCATGGAGAAAATAAAAATTTGAATTGATAAAATTTGTTATTTCAGTTAATGTCTATGAAAACATGCATACCAAAACTTGAGAAAGGATAAAAACATTGTTTTTTTTACAAACATTAAGTGATGTTACTAGTATCTGTGTTAACTAAATACATAAGAAATACATGCAAAGTCAGGCATTTAATACTGAGGTTAAGGCTGAACTAAATAAATGAAGCTGTACATTCTAATGCCATGCAGCACACCAGTTCTCCAAAGCAAGGTCATCTCAGAGTTCAAAGTTTGCAGATTTATCCAGTTTCATTGTGAAGGAAGTATTTTCTATGGTGCAGTTTTATACAAATCTCTTCTATACCATCAATTCAAAGAGTATTTAACAGTAAAAACTCAGTCATTAATTAGTATACAGCCATTTTTGTGAATGATTTAAAGATTGAAATTCAGGATAGGAAAGTATTTTTAAGATTTTTGTAAGTAAACTTTTGAAAGTTTCATGTCAAAAAATTACAATCAATTAAAGCACTTTAATCTCAGTATCCTAGCACAAGTTTCATAGTTTCCACGAACTGACGAAGAAAATTTGGTAACTTCCGTTTAAATGACAAAAATCATACTAATGGTTTATTCCCTTAAAAACTGTAATGCACTATAAGTTGAAGAATTTCCTTATAAGTTACAGAATAAATTTGGAACAGATTCCATAAGATAGAACATTTGTATATCTAAAGAGATTGAATACTTCAAAAGAACAAAAGCAGTCTCAGTAATACATTAGTTAAATTATAGCTATTCAAGAATGATACTTGGAAACATTTTCACAAGTATAAACTTAATACTGTTCTAATTTACTGAATAATGAGTTAATTAATGAGTTAATTAATGAGTTTATTAATGAGTTAATTTAGCACAAGATAAATGTTCCATATCTTAATGCTTCAGATTCATAAAAAATGTATGCTGATTTTAAAGGTTTATTAATTTTAATGATTTATTAAAAACAATAAATCATAATTTACTATTTATGATTTATTAGCAAAGACCTTGCTTTTAGGAACTTGGCCTTATACTTGCAGGTGCAGGCTTGCAGTAGTAGAGCAGAGCAGTTGCAAGTCACTCCTGGGTTGAAGTCAAACATTTCCCCGTGGCCTTGTGGAGCACCCAACAGGGATGGTCATAGGATAGATAGATAGTGGATTGGCTCAGGAAACAAGGAGTTGATGGATGAGGTGGATGTTTATTAACGAATATTTATGGACAATGAATCTCTTTAAAATGATTGTTTTAAAAATGTTATACACAGTAAATGGTAAAATAGCTTTTGTAGAAAGTGTACGATTAAGGATAAAATTTTATAAAAGACACACTATGTAAAATATACCCTAACTTGACAAGTTTCATTCCTTTTTTGCTAAATATTAAAAAACTTTCTACAGAATGTATTTTTAGATGATGTACGAAAATACATACTAAGAAAACATTACCGGTATTTCCAAAATTTAACTGCAATCTCCCCATCACAAGATTGTCTATAATCTATTACTGATGTACAGAACAAAAAAGGATTACAAAATCATTATCATTTTGTAAAGATAAATTCACTATATTATGGCACAAATCCTGTTTTAAATACATTCCAATAATTTATTCAAATTTCATTACTTTTTTTTATCTATAAAACAAACAGCTTTTCTATCCTAAAGACAAGAAATATAATGTTTATTGAGCCTGTAACAGATTACAACATGCTGTAGGAAGATATCTCATAACTGTGACCATCAAATTGGGTCAAGGTCATTAAATTGATGAATCGGACATTTTGGCAAATTAAAACCATATGGCATGCAATTTTAGTTTACACCAGCAGTATGTATACCGATATATAAGATGAATGTAGTTTCTGGTATATGACAAAATTGTATGAGGGTGATATAACTTAGTAAAATGCATTGTTCTACTTTTATATAGAAATGACCATTGAGTGTGACAAGCTACAATCTCCTTGTTCGTAACCAGAAGTAATTCGCTATTCATAATGTTAGTGATGGGCTAATCTACTTGTTATAATGCTAATGATTAGCTAATATATTTGTTACAATGTTAGTGGTTGGCTATCCTTTTTGTTATACTGCTAGTGATTGGCTGTTAAACTTATTACCTTGCTATTGATTGGCTATAATATCCTACATGATATGCTGTTAGTTATTTGGGCTGTTTTTCCATATTAGTGCTTTTTGTTAGTAGATTAATGAGTACAGTTTCTATGATAGCATCACCATCATGATGAAAGATGTGCCTGATGTCATGTTCTGAAGTGTTGTGAATTTACTTCACTACAGAGAATGTGACGATTATATTTGTATAAAGGGACAAAGGGTGCAGTGAAAATTCAGAAAAATCTTCTACACCTGTTAGCAGTTTACTTATAATTTTCATTTTGTATTTCCCTTGGTAGAAATAATTGTAAATGTGTGTTCTACCTTCAAACAGGCCATTTTAACATAATATGATAGCATCATAATCCAGTAGTGACACATGATAAATGTATACATGAACTCGCATTCTGTTATATGGAATTAATCGTTGATGAATTGTATTTATTTAAAGTAAGTAAAATTCAAGACAGTACACACCGGCCATTCATTTAAGAAGTTGCTGTTATTTTAACACATTTGCTCCTTTGACTCAAATCATTAAAAATTTGAAGGGATTCGCTAGAATTCATTTGGGAAAACAGCAACCATAACACCCAAAAAACATCAGAGGAAGAACACTCATTCTCAAAGCTGTTTTCTTTTTTGTAGTCAATTGATTTTTGAAAATCTTACAAAAAGAAAGTGAAGTGATATGTTACTTTGATCTTTGATCGTGACTATCACAAATTTCAAGACGTTGATTGCTGCGAGACCTTCAGGTAGTTATTGAATTAGCGGACCTAGATTGACTTTAGAGATATTGAGTTCAATGTAAAGCATTGAGTCCTGAGCTAAGCTCATGTTGAAAAACATGTTTGAATGACTAAAGTTTCAAAATGTGGAGTGTCTCAAACTGATATGTTAAGTGATAGGTGATTTTAATCCTGAATGGTGACCAGAAATAATAATGTGTAATTGTTGAAGAATTTTAGTAGCCTCAAAAAAGTTGGAGTGACTGTAAATGTTCGCTGAATTTGAGATACATAGTGTTGAAATAGCTTGCATTACAAAGTATTGAGTGAACTCTAGTTAGTAAGTGTTGAGTGAGTCTGAGTTACAAGATTTTCAGTGAGCTTGAGATTAGGTGTTGAGTAAGCTTGTGTCACAAAATGTTGAGTGAATTTGAATCACAAATGTGGTGTGAGCTTGAGTCACAAGATGTTGAGTGAGCTTGAGTTATGAGGTGTTGTGTGAGCTGGATTCACAAGATTTTGAGTGAGCTTTAGTCACAAGAAGTTGAGTGAGTCGGACTTATGTGATGCTGAGCAAGTTTGAGTTACAAGATTTTGAGTGCGAGTCAGAATAAGCAGTTTGTAGATAATGATAGATGAACTGAGCATTAGTGAGTCAGTACAAGGTCTCTCAGCTTCTTTAGTCCAAACACTGTCAAATGTATAGCTGGACATCATATTACTTTCACCATTTATTTTGTGTTTACAGAATGCAGTGCAGTATACATTGGTTCCCACAAAAACACAACACTAGATTCTGATACCACAGCATAATTTGTTTCAAGTGTTTGAAAATTTCTATTAAACTCTTTTTAGAAGAAAATAAATGGAAAATAATTTTGAAGACAAAATTCAGCCAGCTTTTGGTTCTTGCACCATAATATGCTTGAAGCCTTTAATTTCTAGACCAGCAGATTGATTCCTAGTTCGGAGTGACCATGCACATTCCAACAGAATGACAGAGAAGCTGGGAGACAGTGCAGCAGTTACAGTAGATGATAATGATAAGCATCCTACGACCCCCCAGAGTATACGAGAGGGGCCGGGGCAGAAAGCCCGGGGTATACTCACACGACGGGCTGGGTTTGGAGAAAGAGTGGAGTAGGACTAGGCACGGACAGTGCCTTAGTGGAGCACTGACTCGATGAGGAGGACTGAGTGGGGTGTATATAACGCTGTAATCCCGACGATCGCACAGAGATATTCTTTTCGTGTTTCCTTTAAACAAAATGCAAAATCCCTTATATTCAATCCCTTATGGTCAACTTCCTTACTGTTAACTCTTCTATTGAATTCCTCATTATAAGCCTTTCTTCAGAATTCTTCACTGTTAAATTTTATATTGAGTCCCTTACTGTTAATCCTTATATTGGGTCCCTCACTTTAATCCTTAACTTCAGTTCCTCTTTATCAATCCTCACTCTCTCATATTGCGTCCCTCATTATTAAACCATTATATTGAGCCAATTATTGTTAACCCTTATGATGACCCCAATATTGAGCTCACCACTGATGAACCTTAAATCAAATTGCTTATATAAGGTTCCTCACTATTAAACCTTTCTACCGAGTCCCTCAATATTAACCCAAAAACTGACCTCTCTGCTGATAAATCTTCTATTGAATCTATCAATGTTAACTCCGGTATGGAGTTTCTCTCTATTAATCCCAAAATTGAGCTCCTTATTGATAAATCTTCTCAGAGTCTATCACTTTTAACTCTGAAGTTGACTCCATCACTAGTAATACTTATCTTTAAGTTATAACTCATCACTGTAGAATCTAACACTGTGTCCTACATTTCAAATCCTGATATTGAACTCCTTTCTAATAACCCTCATTTGACTGATATTGAGTCCCTGACTGTGAAAATTTACACTGAATCCCTCAATGTTAGAGCTTCTGTAGCGTTTCTCATTGTGAAAAACTTCAATTGAGTCCCCACTGTTAAAGTTCCACAGAATCCCTTACTGTTAAAACTTAAGCTGAATACCTCAGTGTAAAATCTTAAATTGAGTCCCTCACTGTTAAAACTTATAGAGCCCCTCACTGTTCACCCTTTAACGAATCACTTAACCTTGTAGTATACATGTATGTTTTCCAATCAAGTATCTATCTATAAGCCTTTAAATATGTGTGAACAATGAATAACAAAACAACACCTTCAGTAAAACATATCAATAAAAAAAAATTACCTTTTATCCTATTTTTTTTTACATTATAAATTAGAACAAAAAAATGTTGCAGGTGCATTAAAATGCTATCCAAACCAAACCATTATCAATCTCTTTGCCAAACGAATAGGCTATAATAGAGAACCCCAAAGCAAACAATGAAAAACAATACATTGCCAACTAATACCGCAATGAAATCATAAAAAGCTGAAATAAAGCCACACACAGTAATATATAACACAATAACACCAAATACTGTCACGAAAACTCATCTATGATATGGGCCAGTGGAGTTCTATGTCAATTTTACCAACAATTTGGTGGTCATTGGGTTCATATGTTTAACAGTTTTCCAGTAAATTGGAGAGAAATATTAAGCTAAATGATACATGTAAATATACCAAACATTAGTGCATGCTTATTTTCACAGGTTTAAAACTTCATGATTTCATATTTTGTGAACTTTTTCACAAAGATTAAATGTAGAAGAGAGTCTGTCTCATTTTTTCTGCTGTTTGAAATAGTTATTATTTTTTCATTTTCCACACATCATTTATATTCGACCATGAACTGAATCTATTTCGCTTAAATTGAGAAACAAGTTATATCATCTCGTGTTTACTGCTCTTGTTGGCCCCAACAAAGGAAATGAAAGGTCTTGTTGTGGGAGGAATGCAGAATACTCAGCTATAATTAATATGGTCAGGCAGGTGCCCTTTATACCTTTTATGTCCTAGGTGTAAGGTAAATGTTTTACCACTCTGACCCTCATTTAAATTTATCATCTTATTACTCTGATTAAATATATACAGAAGTCATCAAAGCAGACTGAAAAACAGCTTCAAACATACATTTATTAACATTAACTTTGAACTGATAATATATCTAAATTCTGAAAACTAATTCTTCCTCTTTTACAAAATAAAATTTTGAAGCTATTCAAATTTAGTATTTGTAAACTGAATCGAAATAATGATGTTCAGAAAATCTTAATTGTTTAAATGCAGCATGAAAATAAGTACTTTTACAGTCCTAGTGCTAGAATAAACAATACTGTATGAGGTATGTTAAAGTATTACCTCTTGATAGTCTAGATATCAGCATCACAGATAAAAAGCCAAACTTAACAAACCACACAAATAAAAGCTTTACAGAGATATAGTGGAAAATGTTTTCATTAAGAATGACAGATATAGAGATCCAAGGCACATATCAAAGATGTTTCATGTAGAGAAAAAAGGAATAAATGAAAACAAAATAACATCACTAGATTAAAGAATAAACATTAAATTAAATACAAATATTCCTGCGATATTAACTGTCTGTTACAATCACTTAAAAATCTCCTTCAAGTGTTACTAACAAACTAGAAAATCTATATGTAGAATGACAAGTCACAAACTGTATGTCTGTACTCTTGTGACAATAATTGGGTGTCTCTTACAATCACTTAAAAGTCTCCTTCAAGGTTTTACTAACATCTATATGTGGAATGCCAGGTCACCTAAGTTCTAGTGTATGCCTGTTCTTCTATATCACTAATACTTGGGTATGTCTAACGATTACAAACAGAGCTCTTAATCTTGATAATTTTTTTAATCCCCATTGTACATCTACTCACGGGAACTGAAAGTTAAGAAAACTTTAACACCTAATTAAGAAACTATCTGTTGAAATAGATTGTTAAATGGAAAAAGCAAACAGACAAAGTTCATAGTAAACTAACATCAAGGGCTATATATATAATAACTACAGATATATCTCCTAACACTCCATACTGATTTCACAACTTTGGTTGTGTTCCAGACAAAATACTATTCTCACAGCTGAAGTTGTGGACCCTGACAACAAATATTGTTCTCACAGCTTTAATTGTGGCTCTCTGACCATAAAGACTGTTCTCACAGCTGAAGTTGTGACCCCCTGACAATAAATTTTTTTTTCAAATCTTTAGTTGTGGCCCCTGGACAATAAAGACTGTTCTCACAAATGAAGATATGAACTATGACAATTAAAACCATATGCTTGTTTGTTTGTGCTGACCAGCTCTTTCATCTATATCTTAAATATAACATATCAGTCCTAAAAAAAGTAACAGGCCTGCACAGTCACTTAAAGTCTTAACCAAGACTTGATGTCAGAACCAAAAAAATATCAGTAAGTCTCTATAGTTCATAAATTAAATATGTACCACTAAGAATAGTTCAAACAGCTCAGAAATATTTTCTGTCAAAATAACACACTATACATGTTGTTATAAACACGTGTCTTAAGTTATAGACTTATATATAACCATCAGATATACATTCCTAATGAGAGGCCCGCAACCACTCAATCACATGTACCATATGAGCAACTTTTGATAAAAACAAAATAACAAAATTTTCAAACCTCATCTCAAACATGTTTAAATCAACAAGATCTTAATGCACAAAGTCACAAATCATTAGTAACAGAACAGATAGTACTGGACCCTGACAGTAAACACTGTAAAAGTACCTGGACATACTACAGATGTCACCGATGTTCACTTGATGTGAGTTACCCATGATCCAGTCTGTCAGATATTCCACCAGTTTGTTCCTGAATTTCATCTCCTGTCGGAATGTGAGGTCGTCACGGCGAACCATCATGGCCTCCACTAGCTGACAGAGTTTGATCTTGATTTGAATGGCATGCACGGTAGAATCCAGGTGTCGTACATATCTGAAGGTAAGTACAGATTAGGCTTTACCACATATACATCTATCTCGGCTGTTGATATTAAATTCTCTAAATTCTTTTTGTCAACAACAACATTTTATTTTTTATTTTGCAGATATTATTAAAATGGAGGTCTCAATGACAAATCTTTCTCAATCATCTTGAAGGAAATGATGTTCTCTCAATAAGAACCAGACCATGGAGCTAGTCTAACCTGATAAACAAATCTGACTGACCTTACTACAGCTAGCATGAGAGACTCTATACTGGTCACCCCAAGGTGTTCGCATGGTTGGTCCTGCTTCATTTCCAAGATGTTCCTCATAATGAATATTACATTCTCTATAAACTGGGTGTTAAGGTCCGTCACAATCACCTGTATTTAAAAAACCAAAGAGGAATTTACACAAAAAATAATACATTATCTACAGCTTGGCTGTAAAGTTTGGTCACTATCACGTATATTTACAAAAACCATCTTAGGGTCAGTCACTATCACCTGTATTTACAAAAACCAATTTAGGGTCGGTCACTATCACCTGTATTTACAAAACCAATTTAGGGTCAGTCACTATCACCTGTATTTACAAAAACCAATTTAGGGTCGGTCACTATCACCTGGATTGTAAGTACAAAAATTACTTGAATTGACCCATCATTTGCTCTTTTACATCTCAAATAAATAAAAATAATCACTGTGTATACCTGACCAGAGGGATCAAAGAACTTGTCCACACATATTTTGATCTGATCGAACAGTATGGGGTAGAGGGCTGGGTTAAGTTCATGGCCCACTAAATCCTTAACATGTTTCTGTATCTGAGCACCAAACTTCTCGTTTTGACATATCAGCAGTTTCAACAGGTTACTGATAAATCTGAGGAGAGAAAATAGAGCCTGTTAACAAGTTCACAAACTTTAAATTGTAACTTTCGAATATCTCATATTATACAAACACAACAGTATTTAACTATTTTGTTGTCTTCATCATGGGTTGATTTTATGAAATTATGTGTCAGAAGATCATTCAACAAGTTCTTTCTGAGTTTTAAATTGTAATCATTGTAAATAAGGCCAATATGACAATAAACTCAGGTCTTCCAGCTGTAAATAAATTTTCCCAAAGAAACAATCCAAAATTCAATTTCTGAACATTTTTGTGATTCAAATATTTTGTTTTGGAACTCGAAAAGAAAATGCCTATATTGTTGTATTACTCTGTTTAATTGGACTACTTGTGGTTCATTGTTGTGGTTTTCTTGAAAGTCTGTGTATGAATTATCTAATGTTTTAGAGGCAAGATGTGAACCTTTACGATATTGGCAACCCCGGTGTGCCCTTGTAAGGATCAACTTACTGTGTGACAGGGCAGTATTGAGTATCAGCAGCACAGCTCTGCATTAGGCTACTCTTCCTCGAATCCAGTCCTGCTGGTATAGCACTAAAAATAAACCAGTACCATTTCATCAGAAAGTTGCCCTCATGTTTTCAATTAATAAAAATCTTATCAATTTCAACTTCTCGCTTGAAATCTTTGATACAATAATAATTCTGTAGATGTGAAATGCTGATTCCATGTTGTTGTAAATGACATGACTGCTCACCTTATCCTGAGTCGGTTCTGTAGACGAACACCACCTAGGGCACACAGGAAGCCCGTCATGTTGGCCCATTCATTTAACTGGTCCTACAAACACCAAGAATCAACATCAAGCAACATGTTTAGAGAACACATTGTAACTCCTTATTTACACCCAAAAATTCATCTCTCTCCATAGTTACAGAATCACACGTGTCCTCGTTTTGTCAACTTATTGAATTATTTGAAAGTCTTAGTTCTAACTTCAACAAACTACAACACTACAATATCCAAATGTAAGATATTTAAAGTGTGATAAATAGTTGACATTTCATCCACACTTGTGTTTGTTCTTTTTTTTCCAATCTCTTCTCACCTCTAGCTCATGTTCTGTGTTGGCATGGTGAGGAGGTTTTCGTTTCATTTTAATTGTGTCTCCCAACCCTGCTGTACTGCCTTCTTCAACTTTGACCTTGGGGTCCTTTGGATAAGTCTCCAGATACTGGGTCACAACTTCCCAGTTCCTGAATGTGTCATCCCAAGCCTAAATGTGATCAAAGTGATATATTAGTGTGTGATGACACTGTCATCGCTGTAACAAATGTTCCTGTGACTTTTACAATTTTTTCATACTGATATCATTTTATCTCATCTTTAATTGATGTATCGTTTTAGCCAAGTTGTACATCAAAAAAATGTTTTAGGAAAACAATTGAAAAGAGGATTCAATTCTATTCTTAAATTCATATCATCTCATTTCATTTTGTCACTGGTTTTTATTTATTAACAAAAAAGAGATCAAATATTACTTAAAGAATGGCTTACAATAAAATTGTGTATCTACTACGAAATTAAAATTCAAAGATGCTGTTTACTTGTGTATCCTCTGTTAATTCATAACAGAACAGCCTAATGAATCATAATGAATCTTAGAGAAATATATTTTTTCATAACCATGTAAGCTTGTCAACATTTCATAAACAATTCAAAATCTAGTAAAGCCAATTAAACTTTTTCATGAGCAAATTAAACATACCTGAGAGTTGCCTGATGTATGTTGGTCGATTTTCCTCAGTAGAGCCATTATCCGCTTCTGTAATGCTACCTTACCTACAAACAAAAAAGACATCTCAATACAGAATTTATACCGATTTTACAGTGTATCCTACATATATACTTCAGTTAGGTGTAAGAGTTCTTTAAAGGATGTCCATTGATGAATGTCACCATCAGATTATGTACATATTACTGTATTTCTAGCATATTAAAACTGCAGTATATCATTGTTGGGTGAAACTGGTAGATGTATTTTACAGTGTAAACAAACAACCTGAACCTGTTGTGATTGATTTACCTGTTTTTTTTTGTTTTTTGTTTTTACCTGTTCTGATTCCTCCCTAAATCATCAACCCCCTGCATACCTTTGAGTATCCAGGCAAGGGACAGAGGAGCCAACTATGGACCAAACTAACAACTAGGGAAAGACTATGCTCTCTTTTGTGATGTAGATATATAAACAAGGTAACTCCAACAATGTCACTATAGAGGTGTCCTTTACCTGTAGTAAGCACAGTGCTAGCCTGGGCCAGCTCAGCATATACATTGTAGTTTGGGAGGAGCTGAGTCACAGCCATTTCATCTGCCCCACACCTTATATCTGCCTCCTCACATAGTAAGTGGAAACATGACATTCCTGTGAGGACCGCGTCTATATCGATACTCCACAGGTACATGAAGAACACAACCTTAAAGAAGACAACAAAAACTGCTAGGAACACTAGAATGACACATCCTCCGTCAGATTGGACTATCGTATTAAAACAAGATATCAAAAGAACTTCCTTTAATCCTTAGTAATTTCAAGAGCAATATTTTAAACATGTTTAACATGTGGTCATCATATGCTGAATGTTAAAAATACATCCTCTTTCAAAGAATTTAAGTATGGTAAAGTAGCAAGGACTAATCTTATACAATACAAACAAAAACTTGTTTTTCACATGTGAAATTATAACAGGTAACATATGTCGTAATATTTCTTCAATAACATACCTCTAGCTTGATATGTATACAAATAGTTTTGTTGTTTCCAACACTGGCATTTGCACTGTTTTTTTGAAGAAAGCTGTTCCGACAGACTAGAATTTCTCGCAGCCACTTCAAGATCTCAGTGTAGTTAACAAGTTGCCTCTGAATAAGCTTCTGGGATATGGAAAATAATACCTGGGAACTGGAACACAGAAAAAAAAACATTATTTAACCGAAACTGCATATATTCTATTACTACATTTCTAAATAGGAAATGAAATATATGTAATCATGGAATAATTTATTTACAAAGTAATAATCCCATGTCTGATAATAAGCCCATCATCCAGATTTATCAAGTTAATGGTAGAAACTTTTCTATTGTCTTGTAATGAGTCCATCTCCCTATTATAAAGATAAATTGATCAGATGCCCTTTGGCTTATTGTAAGATAAATATGGTAAAGTAAATTCTAAAATCATGTATTCAAGAGGCATAGATACCTGACATCCCAGAATGTGTTGATAGGTGACTCTGGATTCCAGAGTTCAATATTCTCAGGCTGATGGAGACAAAGTAGGGCCTAAAAGCAATTCAGAAACCATTATATAGTAATATACATCATTAACATAATTCTGCATTGGTAACTGAAACTAATGATCAGCTCAAAAATCATTTCATAAATTAAGTATGGAGTCTTTAACAGTAGCTTTTTAAACAATTTAGTGTAAAATTATTTGACTGAGCATTACATGTAAATGAAATTTAATTTAGTGACATGATACCATATTGTAATTGATACCAAAGTTATAACCTCCCCTTTCGAAACTCTCTATAATGTCATAACCATGATATACAAGAACAGATGTTTGAGATTTGTGCTGAAACAAATCCTGAAAATTCTACGAACATTCAACATTGCTAACCAAAGGTAATGTGCTGATCTTTATTAATTGAACAATACTTATTTATAGATCAGAAACATCCTTACCTCCATGGCCTCCTTAGATACATCAGGCATCCATTGTTGGTGGACCAGTGACACGAGGCCATTCATTAGTTCTAGTGTACTACTTTGTATCTCGTGACCGGGCTTACCCTGATTCTGGGTGAAAACATGCATCATGTTAAAAGGATCAAAACAAGTACTTGGTTCTCTTTTGTGGCGATAGGAAAACCAGGGCCACACATTTTGTACATATTTTATAAATTTCAATCTTTTTATTATTTGGTATGGAACATGAACTTGACAATATAAATTTGCATCATATATATTTATATAATGATTTCCAGTTTTTGTGCTGGAGTGACCCTGTCCATATATCACTAATGTTGAGGACTGTTTACCTAAATCAGAAATAACTACCCCATTATCACACTACCCTGGTGTAAAGAGAATTATCTGTTGACATATGACCCTGATACATACGTGGAGCATTAGGTGAGGATCAGCATGGATCAGGCGGACGATCCACAACAAAAGACAGCGGCATGTCGTCACGGTCTCATCTGTTGGCTTATTTAACTTGTAAAGGGTTAGTTTTGTAATGTTCTGAAATTAAACATCAAATCCTGCTGAGATATTCAACATCATAAAGCTATCATTGGACTATTATTTCAACTTACATTTACTTCAACATATATTGGGCCAACTAAGATATCAATTTTGTTGAAATTCACTATCAAGTGCACATGTACTGAAGTTGAATGAGAAGGGATATTACCCTATACTTCGTCCTTTCCCTAATTATGCTTTATCTATCTGCTCAAGATGCAGACATCCTGGAATTATTACACACAAAATGGGAGACTTGTAGTTGGGTGTGACAGAGTAGTTGTGTAGGTGTGAGTTTGGAGGGTGACTTACATGTACATATGGGAGGGTGGTGACTTTAGGTGCAGTATGACTAGCCATTCCCTGGGTGACTTTGTTGAGTGTATCAGTAAACATACTCCTCAGCTCAGCAGCCTTGCTATAGATGATGTTGATGTTGGGCCACCACGGCAATCGTGGCTACAAAATAAACATGTGATAGAACAGGTGTGTGAGAAGATCTTTATAACATGTCACTATTTTCAATCAACATTAAAACGAAGAATCAGTTAGATTTAAGACAGGACTTCTATGTAAAGTTGTCTAAAAATGCATTCCTATAGATAGTGTTGAGGAAATACTTATCAATATAAAAGTCTCTCGGAGAAAACTGACCTCTCACAAAAAAAAGACTCGCACCAATGCAGACCTTATAACCTCATCTAGCTTCATAATCATGCCACGTGAGAAGTCACATTGAAACTAACCCCATACATCTATTGGCCTCCAGGTGACCTTTAACACCAATGACCTTCCTACTAGTGACCTCTGACACATGACCCTGTCTATACATTACTAACCTGTGTAATGATACGGTGGAGAGCGTTGACCAACACGCAGTGATAGACAGGAGGAGACAATGGGTTCAGACACACTTTCAGCACATCGTTGTTGTGTGGAGTCACACGGAAACAGGACACAAAGCAGTCTATATATAGATCTAGGTCAAGGCCAATGCTGCTCTGACTGCGAGAAAACGGCTTACTATTTGGAGGTGGGTTAAACAGCAATGTCTGAATAAAGATAAAAAAAAAACAAACATAAATATTCAGTTAATAAAACAGCTGAATAAACATGAACATATTACACATAAAAAAGCTTAATAAATCTCAAGCATCTTGTTTTACCGATAAAAAGTAAAAAGCTTTCAAATCAGAATCATTTACATACAGATTGATTTTCAATCAAAGATATCATTTCAGAATCTCGCGAAGTTGATATCTATGTACATGATTGTCTCTTGAGAGTTGTAAGGATGCGAGGGATCTAACCTTTAGGTCACTGATGACAGACTGTACAAGCGAGAAGAGGACATTGAGCCTGTCATTGATACTGATGTATGTGGAGGCTTTACACAGACGCACACAGGTCACAGCAGCACCCTCTGCCAGTTGTTTACTACCACCATGGTGTGGCGAAATTGCTTTCTTTACATCGTCTATGAATTGTTTCTGGAATAAAATTTTGCAAAATTCAACATATCACCAATTTAATTATTTAAATAATTTAAAGAAATTTGATCTTAGATGTACAATGGAAGTATATTCTCTAAATTAAATTTTTTATTTTGAATTCAGTTTTAGACTGTTATGAATCATTCATTGACTATATATCAAAGACAATAATCATAGCTTCATGAAGTCTCAAGAACATATAAGGACCCAAAGCTCTACTAAATGAGTCACCTTTTTCACATGTTGGGGAGAGCAGGGAGCCCCAGCATCAGCATTGTTGATTTCTTCCAAAATTTTCTGAAATAGAAGATGATATATACAATAGCAGAGACAATATAAATAAAAATCGTTCATCCAAACACGTTTACCAATTAATAGAAATGTAAGTCGTGACTTATCAAAGGTGTTGGCTGTTTTTTACATTGAGTCATCACTCACAGAGGATTGGGACAATCAGGCAACTATGGTCAACACATATATTTACAACCTACCACAATGTAACGGTCAAAATAAAAGGTCGTACCCGGAATAACCTCAAGGTCAGTACTTACTGGACGCAACACAAATAATATCACTTGTAGTAAGGTCATCACAAGGTCATTACTTACTGGACACAACACAATTAACATCATTTGAAGTGAGGTCATCACAAAGTCATTACTTACTGGACACAGCACAAGTAACATCATCTGTAGCGGCCAATTGGCTGCTGCCTTTTTCTTTGAACTCTCCATACATGTATTGAAATGCTCAAAGAGTTTATCACAGCAGTCTGGAAAACAAATTTACCAAGCTAGGATAATGGGGACAAAAAATATGTCATCAAATGACCCTACTTTTAACAAGCTATCGATAATTGGCAAAATCAGACAATTCATTAATTATAAATGATAATTTTAGTCATTTCTTGAATTATTTCAAGTTTTCAAAATAGCTCCCAATATACATTCATTAGAAGATATATTACATACAGTTCTTTATAAAACAAGATCCAGTGAGTTCATGATAGTTTGATGAAATGTAAATGAAATGTAAAAGTTTATCTTTCATCATACACTTAAAGAAAGCGTGAACAAAAGTACAAGTTCACACAGTATTATCCTTAATCCACTGATGAGAAACACAGATTTACATCTACCATAAATCTGTTAGTTCTGGTGTCAAACATCTCAATGCCTGAATATAGTCCTGACCACCCCATATGACTTAAGCTATTATGAGGATACTGAACAAAACAAAACAGGTCACACATGAATAATGAAAGTATCTAAAAACTTGTACAATCTCCAGGTGTATAATAAAGTATATACCTTGTAAATCTTCATTTGGTTTCTTCTGTAAATCGGTGAATTCCTCTGGGTAATTATCCATCCAATTCCATATCGCCTTAAAATGAAGTTATTCATACACGAGTTAAAAGAAAAAGTGAGAAATGAGTTGGCAACAAAACAGACAAGGTTTTACTGTTACTTTTTTCTACACTGTCCCTACAATTATAACACAGAAATCATTCTTCAACATGATTTTTCAAGACCACCAGTTTATATTACTACAATCTGAAAGGAACTGAAACAATACCAGTATGATTAAAATTTCTAACAATCAGGTCTCAGGCTCAAGTTACTCAAATTTTGGTTAAAGTTAACCAATTATTACCCTGGTAAATACTGGCCACAATATACTAATTGGCTAGAAAGAAATTCTCCTTAACTGGATCAGTTGAGTGTAAGACTAGTCAGCCTGATACTCTGTGTAAGAATACTAGCGAAGACATTGTAATAAATAATCCCCTCTGTTGCACAGTGGATATGAAAAAATATGAATTCTTGCCAACAAGAACTTTCTAAGCAAAACTGACATTGAAACAATAAAAATCTGTAACATGATAAAGAATGTTTATGATTTTGTTAAATTCATATTCTAGAATTTTCACTAACCACTGATTAACTGAACTTTGAGTAACGGGGCCAGGATTCAAACATACATCATTCTATTGTAGTCCTGTATACTGACCTTTTCTAGATTTGAGGCTAGCGTCATAATAACTTGCTTGGACTTGAGTAATTTGAATTTGGACACAACCTCTGAAGATGTCAAAAGTAAAAGCATTGGTAATTGTAATCAAACTTGAGAAACAGGAAAAAAAAAGATGCAGACAAGTATCTTTTAGCTGATGAAAAAAAAAATAGAACCAATTCTTTAAACAATAACCAAGATATAGGTTCCCGTCGGTAATTTTTTTTTTCATGCTTCAATAATTGAATACAAATCAAATAATTTTTCTGTGATATTTCTGAAGATATAAGAGACAAATCTTACTGACCAATGATAAGTTTAATGAGTCGATGGATGTCCACGTTGATGTGTTGGATAAGTTCAAGGTCAGAGAGGTCAGACTGATCATCACTACAACCAGACAGTGTCATCAGCCTGCAATATCACATCATAGCAACATTACTTACTACAGATTATAACCAGTATTTAAAAAACCTGTCTCATCTTTAAACTCTAAAATATCACAATAATAATCTTATTTCAAAATACAAGATGGCAACTTGTCATCCATTTTGTTTTTCTGATATGTTCAAAAGTCAAACCAGGCCAGGGAATCTACATATGGAATTTGAGATAGATCCAGTCATTATTTCTCAAAAATTAGCATGTATTTTTCACAGATGGGCAGACAGATAGACCACCAACCATGGATGAATAGCCCATTAGATTGTGGGCTATAAATGTAGCAAACGGCAAGATAATGTTAAACAATGTTACAGTTACAATATTTTCAATGCTTAATTTGAATTTTTTTCATAACATTTTGTCAAAGTTATATAGCCATCATAAAAAATATCAAAATACTTTGTTTGCAACATCAGCTTGCAGGTGTGTTCAATTTTCTATTGCTGCAGAAAAAAAACGAATTTTACCATCCGAAACAAGACAGAACATTTTCATACTTGCTGTTAATCATATACTGGGATGAAAATTTAACAGTTGGAAATGAAATAACTACATATTTTGGGTATTTGGCCATATCATTGGGTACATATTTGGCCTAACACAACCTCTACAGAAAGTGCTGGTGTGAGATTCCACATCAATTAGACTGGGTATGTATAGATATACTTACTTGGCTGATATCCTATTGAACACTGCTGTAAAGTTGTTTAGACTTAAAGCAAACAGGACCTTTGATGCCAAAATCTTGAGATTTGAAATTAAGGTATTTTCATTTTGTTGGTTGAGGAACTTAAAAAAAAAAAAAAAAAAAAATGAAGAATGACATTACTTAACATGTATATTGATGAACACTATAAAAACTAATTTTCTCAATGATCCAAAGAGCTATGTCAATAAACGCAATTCCAATGACACTAAAGTTTGTCATTAAATGGATCTGACATAGATATGATAATTCAATAATTTGCAGGTATTGTCCCCTGCATTAACCATCACTTACAAAACACTAGATATCTGGACTGATTGACACATTATCTTCGTACAAGCACCATCAAGAGTATATCCTCTCTTGGGTAGCATTATTAACCATAATTAATACCTTAGAATTTTTACAGCTGTAGAATATATTCATACCTATTCTGTTATATTCTAGAACAATTTCTCAAAAATTTATAATACATTCAAAACTCACAAGTTTTTGAGCAATGACTTGTCACTGTAGGCAAGATGAATAGGATGTGTATCAAATAATTTACCTTCATTTTAAACTTAAGGTGTTCAACTTCATCAGACAATTTAACATTTTCCCAGTATGACATTTTATTAGTGGAACAAGGATATGGTGATACTTTACCTTACATATTTCAGGTAACAACAATTTAACATAGATGGCCTCATCAAGTCGTGACGTGTCTTTGGGTTGCTGCAGAATACAAGTATCACTAATATTCAGTAAAACAACAACAATGTTCACTAAAATATTTTAGTATCCATATGTAAATAAAAGGCCCAATGGGCCTTCACTGAACACCTGCCATTCAATGTTTCCCACAAATACATCATTATTTTACATTTCTGACATTACCTTACCAGCAAAACTTCAAAACTTCTTCTGGTTGGTAAATGTTTAAATGTTTCTACAAATTTGACCTCTTAACCTAGAATATTGATCTGGGTAATTACTTTTCACACACAATGTCTGCATAAGAATTCAGTTGAAAGTTTGCAACCTCAAATATTGGGCTCCATCCTAGCAACCCACCAGTCAAATTTCATCTTTCTAGACCTTTCAATTAATTAGAAAACACTGGAATTTTTTAAATCAATTTTACCCCTGTGACTTTAAATATAGGTCATAGTAATTTTTTTCACAAACTTTGTTGCATCCTAGGAATCTGTTCAGCTAAGTATCATGCTTCCAGACCTGTTGGTTATTCAGAATAAAATCATTTAAAGGTTTTAACAAATGGTACTCCTGTGACTTTAGATATTGGTCAAGAACATTTCTCTTTGAAAAACTTTGCAGGCCTCATCCAAGAAACATATTGCCAAATTATCATGCTACAAAGTATTTCCATTAATCAGAAGAATTTGTTTGAAGCTTTTAACAGATTAGACCCCTGTGACCTTAAATATGGGCCAGGTGAGCTAACAATATCATTGATTTTGGAAACATTTTAATTCATTAAGAGAAACATAGTCATTACAAACAAAACTGAAAATGACACCACAAACTGAACCAAAGCAATCAAGATGAATTTCACAAGAGATAAAATACTTCTTCAATAGTTACTACTTAGTCAGCACTTGAAAACATACCCCTACATTCAAGTGTAAATACATGTATGTAGTCAGTAGTGCATCTGCAGTACAGCTACTACTATGTATGTAAATGACCAGGAGACAAGCCTGTCCCTGCCTTGACAGCTCTTGACAAAACACTTACTGAGGTGAGCACTTTCTCCAGTGTATCAAGAATGATGAGCTGAGACTCATAGTAGTTCCTCTCCGCTTCAGGGCCATGGATACGCTGGTGATTAGAAAAGAAAATATATTTGACATTCACACCAATTTCATAGCTGGTGATTAGAAAAGAAAATGTATTTGACATTCATACCTATTTCATAGCTGGTGATTAGAAAAGAAAATATATTTGACATTCATACCAATTTCCTAATTCAATCACTACAAATAGCTACCATTATATCTAGAGAGACTGGAAAGAAAGAGATGTACATATAATAATCAATTAAGAAATTTTGTATTACTAATATAGAGTTTCAGATCAGGCTTAAGTACAACTTTTTATTATCATCATACAGATGATCTCATTGGAAAATGTTCTATTTCCCTGTTGATTAGTCAAAGTTACATGCTTGCTAATGTTTCCTGTTATTTTTGTGTCTTAATTTAGAAAATGTGACTGTGACATAAAGTAAGCTGTCGTTTATAATGCTATGAAAGAAAATTACTAACCGTAGTGGAGACTGGCCCTAATGTTTTAGTAAGTCCATTATTTGTGGCAACCATCAAAGGCCACAGCTTAGCAAAATGGAGACTTGTTTCAGCTATCGAAGATCATTACTTACTGTACCGAAGAATTACAATCATGTTTTAGTTAGTCCATTGATAACCTCACAGAGCTTGTGGCAGCCATCGAAGACTGATACTTACCATGATGGAGACAGGCAACAACACTTTAGTCAGTCCATTGATGACTTCACAGAACTTGTATATGACAGTCATTAAAGGCCATTATTTACTGTATTAGAGACTGACCCCAGAGTTTTAGTCAGTCCATTGATGACTTCTCAGAAGTTGTGTCAGCAACATATATATCAAAGGCCATTACTTACTGTACTAGAGACTGACCCCAGAGTTTTAGTCAGTCCGTTGATGACTTCTCGGAACTTGTGGCGGCTCACATTTATCAGGCATTCCTTGTTCTGTTCTACATTTTGCATGGACTGTGTTGAATGAAGCCCAGTTTTTATAGGAAGCTACAAAGAAATGAAATAGAAAGCATAACCAGTGATCTTTCCAACTACCTAAAAAAATCTCTAATTAATTATTTAGAATACAATAATTACATACTAATATCTATTGGACCAGCTGCAGGTTCACATGGTTTGATTGTTACTTAATAACATAGCATCATCTGTATAGTTATGTCAGCAAATGGTGATATGGTATAAGAGTAATGCCAGTTAAGATATCCTATTGATCTGATAAAATAATGTTTTCAGGAATAATTACAGAAGGATCCAAGATATGTGATAAACAGAATCTTACATTTTCTTCCATTTCTTACTGGATTTTGTTTTACCTTGTCGGAGGCCCAGTAAAATAAGAAATTCTTAAAACTTGTTTTTCAAATAAAACAAAAACTCAGTAGTAATCAGTACTCCTTCATGATCAGTGCCCTAATGATCACAATAAGTAATTGGCTGTCAACTACACCACCTGTCTGGTCCATAAACAGATTTTTTCACAAGATGTTTTGTCCTATTCTGCAGTTATATACAGGCTGTTTCCTCAAGCTCAAATGTTTATTTCCTTAAAATAAAGAAAAATTCAAGACAACTTTTCCAATTTCATAAAAATATGAGATTTATTTTCAAATGTATATTTTTTACAAGTATGGGCTGCTAGAAAACTTTGCTAATAACACTTTGTTACTTATATCACAGATATCATTTTGTACAATATACGAAACTCTGTTATTTTCAGGTTACTTATCATAATGACAACATATGTCCTATATATTTAAAACAAGGTACATTAAATGTGTGTGTAGTCATCGCTTTTAATAGAAGATTTAATCAAATTCCATTTTATATCTTAACACTCCAATATCATGAAATGGGGAAAACCTTCAAGATTTTTTTTATTTCAGAAATTAGGGTGTGCTGTCTTCTACATGTCAAGAATAAGTCAGGTTAATTAATATACATATTTACTGTATATACATCCGAGATAACAATTTATTTAGGTATGTTCATTGTTCTATAGTGGATCCATTATCATAACTCCGTCGTTATCAATATAACTCCACATAACAATACATTAATTCCACAAAGATTTTAATTGTTTCAGTATCAATGAAGCAAATTCTTTCCTTTTTAGTTCTACCTTTTGTACGTTTTCTTTGTCTTTCAATTCTCCATTTTCCCCCTTGTTTAATCTATATTAATTTCAAAACACTTTGTTATTTTCTTCAAATATGAACAAATGTTTTATCACATATCAATAACCCTTAAGCTTATAGGTAAAGTCAGCAGTGTAAAGAGGTGTGAATTGACTGCAGGGATCCAAAGTACCAAAATCATATGATTTAACAAATTATTGATGAAAGGAGGCAATTCAAACAAAGATTTTCTTCATTACAAATGCTAAATAATTTTCACAACCATATATGGAAGTATTTATAACTGACCGAGATATTCAGCCTGCTTTCTAATGAATTAAATTCTCTATGTTTTCCCCCTTGTTTTATCATAAATTTTAAAACACATTTTTTATCACTTACTTCAAACAATTGTGAAGAAATGTTTTATTAATACTATATCAATGACTAATACTTTATTATTGGCCAGGTGAGTAGTGTGCAGATCTAGAAATGTGAAGTAACCACAGACCAGATTTAGAGTCAGGTCTCAACATTGTAACAAACTTGTCTGTACTAGCACTTCATGACATGCACTTGTCGGACTGGACAAGTGAGTTTTAGCTTTAACAATTTGTTATAAAGGTTTTAGAAACATTAAAAAAATCTCACATCATGATTGTTGTAGTTTTTTTAAACTGATGTTCTCTTTGGCTACAATGGAGATTAACCTTTTGACAAGTGCATTTAATAATCAGACAAGTGGTTTTTAAATCCATTTAATGGACAAGTGAGAGAAAAGTTAATGCTGAGCCTTGAGAGTGCCCAAATAATATGATTTGATAAATTATTTATAAAAGGAGAATGTCTGCATTGGTGTAAATGACATTATTAATAATGTTATTTGGAAAAAACGGTCATGCCTACAATCTACATAGCTTGCAATGCTACACTGTTTTAAATGATCTGTATACAATATATAATGGATCAAATGACTTCAAAATGGAGCTGCATTACCTACAGTTCATCAGTGCAACATTTTCCAGTAAATTCAACCTGATTCCTATTGCCTTTGTGTGGGAGGAATCTAATTTCTCAAGTTATTCACATAGTTATCAGCTTTATTTCTAATTAGGGCACATGTACATTATTCACCAAATAAACACAACTTTACAGAATACCTTAGTACATATGATTCCAAAACTGATCCTACATATCATAATTCATTTTATTGAATGCAGTTTCCATTCAAGCGTCCCATTTACTTTTACTTATTCAAGAAAATAACAAAGCAAAGTGCCATGTTTTATCAATTCTGCTCCTGGATTCTGAAACCCTTTTGTGTTCTTTATTTACTCCAGTGCAAAAGCAGCTAATAAACATTTCACAAAAGGAGCATCTGTGTACAGCAAATTTATTTCACTTATTTCTATGTAATTACTGAATATAATAATCAACTCCAGGAACAGATTTTACTAGTCTATCGAACCATCCAGTGTTGGTGCTGATACACCACAAGCTACAAAAGTTAAGTATCTGTGGTAAATTTATCATTCATGTAAAAGTTGTATTTATCAAAAACACTTAAATAAACTAAAATGCTATCCAATGCATACTACACAATATTTTAAACAATGTGACATCATTTGAATGTTGACATGGCAACAAAGTATCTTTTTATGACTACCCTATTGAATGAGTTGCAGATTTGGGAACATCAATAAGTCTATACCTGTTATCTATGGTACCACCTGAAAACCTGTACTGTTACTTAAGTGTGTCAAAGTAGTAAAATAAAGTTAGATTGGATCTTGAAATCTTGTTAATCATATATCTCACACGATATATCAAATATTTTTATCTAATACTGAATTATTTAATTTGTTTAGATATGACAAGAATGTATGTAAAGTATATGATTATAGAAGAACGATATGTAACATTTCAGAGAATTAATTTCTCTTTGAGAATTGTTGAATTATTTCTTGTTAAACTGACACTGTTTACTATTGAGTTGTCATCAGATTGTGTTGATTTCCAGTATGATTTCTATCTGGACGACTGGTAAATAATCATGGTGTCTAACATTCTGTTTATCAGTCACCTAGACTGCATTCATATTGATAGTAAATGCAACCTCATTACAATGCCAAAGTTAAACAAGAACAAGCAAATATAGGCCTAAAACATGTACATAAACTTAACTCACCACAAAAAGCCACTTTCCTTATACCAATGATGATGTAATTATGTTTAAATAAATCAGATGATTTCCTGTGTTTTATCTGCTTTTGTCAATTGATGAATATATGCTGTGCACATATATACAATTCGCATATACTTCCTTATGTGATTGTATAAAATTAATTTTTACCTCCTGATCTACTAACACTGACATGTATGTTAAGGTTTAAGGCAACAATTCAGTAAATCTACACATTGGTGAAACAGATACTACTTATTTCAAATCTTCATCTCCATCCTGCAAAATGAGATTCAAAGAAAAAACATATTTTTGAAAACAATTATGCAAAATAACTAAAGGATATCTAATAGTGTCTTCAGTAAAAACAAATGTATTTCACAAATATGTCTGATATTTTAGTATCTCTGCGCACTCATGCAAAATACAAAAACATATTAAATAAATTTGCAGCTGAAAATATGCTGTCGGTGACATGAATCCTCTTGAAATAACTAGCTCCAATTTCAAAATGTTAGGTTACGGAAAAAGTTTTACTGCTGATAAGGTAATTTGAGTAACTGGCTTGCAATGTTTGCCGACTTCCATGGAAATGAATGTCTACCATGGAATTGAAGACTGTATTACTAGTAAGCAACACTTCCAGGTTTCTCATTTTGTGTTTTTTTTGGGTATGGACTCTAATCACAAAAATGTGTTATTTTTCACACTTTTAACAGTATGATATTTCTCTATATATACTTTGCTGGCAAACATGTAATATACACATATCTTTGCTGCACATTGTAAGTTGTAATACTATGCAACATATAAATCTTCTTTGCTTTATCATTCTTTTATAATATAAGAAAGTCAGAAATTCTGCTAAGGATTTTGCATTATGATAAACAGATGTATTCTGATCAGCTCCGATGACAAGGGACAGAAATTATGCAAATGATAGCTGCCTTGACATAGACTATAGCCAGCATTGGATTATCAATGAAGCTCAAATTTCCTGTGCTGCTTTAATATTTTGAGCTTTGAAAATGATTCCAAACAGCTGAGCTGGTTGACACGTCGATATGTTTGTAACCATGACAATATTGAATCGCAGCATCTGTTGTTCACTCAGCATCAGTACCACTGTGTAGAGCCTTTGACAAAAACATCATTATCATAATGACCGATATTTGCACTGGCTACGAAAACGCAAAAATCGTTTTTAAAATATCAGTCGGAAACTGCTAGGTCATGCATAAAAACGTAGTCAATAATACACATGGCGAGGTGTAGTTTGTGGGCGGTAGAGCGTGGCCACAATATAAACACCACGATCGCATTTATCCCATTGATAAGTTTGACCTACTGGAAGTACAGTGCTAACGGAGGTTTGGCTCCCACCCACGCACGCCGTTCTATATTCCCCTACAATGTCATGACTCGCAGGACAGCCATCATAAAAACGCATATCTAAACCCCATCAATGAACTCTGGAAATCACTAATACTGTCTAACTCTCGAGAAACATGTCGAAAAATTGTGACCAACAATGTAGTTTTACCACGTGACCGCGTCGAAGGTAAGTGACATTCATTCATAAATTTTCACAGGATAGGCTCGCGATGCAGCTGGGCAGTTCGAGCTCAGTTCCCGCTTTTGTCTTCCGAAATACAGCCTGCCAATCTTACCTGTGCATCAAATCGATTGATGAGGGACTGCACCCATTCTCCGGGTTTCTGGGTCGCCATCATCAAGACTAATATCCCTCGACTAACCCTCTGAAGGACCTGCGACCGCCATGTTTCTTGTGTTATTATTATCGACGCATGCGTAGTGCTAACTGGGAATTAACCATATATGGTAAAGCCTCACATCAATGACATCACTTCCAATTTGATAAATTTTCATAATAATATTTTTTTCAGCATGGGAGTACAGGTAATTAAATCTTCAGATTTTTATTTGTTAGAGATAGTATGCTTCTGATGTATCTTTTGTACTTAAATTGTGTTTGGGTAAGTTAAACTGAAATCTAATGCATTCTATATATTTTCTTTCTATCTGAAATAAATATTTGAAACACTGTAACATATATATGATAAGATATCTCCAACTAATTCTGGCCTTTTATATATCTTTATGTGACCATATAAAGATAAATTAAAGACTAGGGTACATATCTAGGTACACTGTTATCGTCAATATACATACCGACTATTGTATTTTACATACTTGGCAATAAAGGTCCGTTACTCCGAAGGTCCGATACATAAAAACTTAATATTCTTTCTAATGTTGTGGCGAAATGCACTTCACAGGGATGCCATTATTTCATAGACGATACTTTCCTACCACTAGAACAATAGCCAGAAGGATTCGACATTTTTATTGTCGTCTGCTGCAGAATTGTCTATAAACATACATATATTTACTTTTATCACGTGATTGTTTTGTTATTTAGTGAATGCATCCATGTCATATTTTTTGCGTATTACAAGGGTATACAAGAGGTTATTGTGACGTCATTTTACTGAGATCATCAAATGACGTCACACATTCGCAGACAGCATTGTGACGTATAAACAAAGGCGACCATATACATATACATGATTGAAGTTTAACGAACAAATGTCCATTTTGTATCACATTTGCTTGATAAATGCTCATTGCGGATTTTTTTTTTCATTGTATCACACCAAAGGCTCGCTAAACTTATGGAAATGCTTAAAGATCGTTTCATTAAATTACATACCAAATGGCCTTGTTAGCAATATAAAAAACATGCGTATTACAAATGTGTAAAAATTATCTATTTGGACAAAAGATATGGATCATGAAATGACAGCATAAACTCACAAAATGTATCACATTGTGTGACGTGAAAATGGGGGTGATTGTTTGGTTTACTGTCCCGTGATTGAGGCGGGATCCTCGTGTATGGCGAGTGGCTACCTCCATGAACAACATACGGGAGGTAAGTCGCATGCTAAAAAAGTGTCTTGAAAAAGGACACAGGCTAGTCAGCACCATAGATATAGTTTCTACAATATTTGTCGGATTAAATATCAATTATCGATTAAAAACTCGCGTATCAAATGGAAACTCGTGCAAGGTTGTGATTCTTTAGTCTATTCTCTATCTCTGTGGTGGCGATTGTAAGTTGGTTTTAGTCAAATATGGTGGGTACCTACAGCCAACTCATGGTAACATCACGGACTTTTCCTCCATTTTCTTATAAATGTTGTTTAGATTCCCTTCTTTAAGTCTTAATTGTGTATATCAAATTTGAATATATCTTCTTCCGATATAGAAATATGTAAAAAAAAAAAAAAAAAATATAATGAGAAACTGATTTTCACAAATATCTACTGGTAATTCATTCCAGAATGGTACCGAGGAATTTAAAAACGAGCCTTTGTAAACTGAGTTCTACAATTAATTGAGAGTAAATTAGATAAGTATCTTGTATTATGCGTACGGCTTTCTGATACCTTCACTTGGATAGAGTTTGACGGATAAGATAAAGTTTTCTTATGGTACAATTTATTAACCTGTATACTATGATTTTCCTGTCCATGCTCCCTACCAGAACAAGGGTGTTTGATATAAGTTAAAAGCTCTTTTCTGTGCAATTGTTATAAAATAGATAAAGTTTATCCCAGACATTTCAATTTGTTACTCAAATTGTCTATCATTTTTGCCCAAAATGCAACCATACGAATTTTTTTTACACTCAACAGATACCTTCCTACATCTCCACAAACCATAAAATGTGTTAATATCTACAGAATTTTAGATACGAACGTTTTTAAAATCTGGTGCAACATATTTTATGAAGGGATCCAGTTATATAAAACCCAATCGATTGTCTGATCAATTAATGACTGAACTCGGTACTTGATTGTCTAATTTACTGTATACCATCCTACTGTGTACAGTTTCCTTACTCGAGGATGTGACAAACACGACAACAATACCATATAACAATGGATTGGGGAATTATATCTGTTTTCACTTTTCGCCGTTTTTTACATGTTCTCATTAATTGCTTTGGGTCGAGAGAGCGAGATTATGTTTTAATTTCATTCGACCGTAACTAACCTTCATAGTTCTGATGTTTCGCGTTGAGTTATTTTCGCAAGGTCAATTCCGAATTGTCGATTTAGAATTGCAATTTGGCTTTAACTGAAAATTATATACTAAACTAGATCTGATGTATTACGAGACCCCATCAATCATCCGAATGGAATAGATGGAGCGTGACATTCTGGGCATTGTCACGGCACGCTTTTTACGTCATAATTATATGATTGTATGTTTTACGGTTAATACTGAGTGCGAAACTTTCTATTTTAAAGTTGTTGGTGCATAACCAATATGAATGCAGTTTCTCACAATAATTTGTATATAGATCGACTCACGTCATCATATAATTTATATTTTACACGAACTATATGTATTATTGAAATCTAGGAGATCAGAATATCGATTTCACTATTGGTGATCTATAAACAAATTACAATCTATTGAAAAGATATAAATATATATATATGGCAAAATAACAATATCATGTACTCAACAAATGATGCTGATATCGGTTATATATATATAGCCCGTACAAAGGGTGGATTTATATCTCATCATTGTTGTGGGCCTATCGTTGTAACTCGTGCTTTACGTTATCTTTGTGAATACGTCGGATCGGCGTACACACACGCTCTCTATATACCAACAGTCTGATAAGATTTACCTGTAGCGGTGGGAGTTACCGAGCGGACCAATGTGGTCACAGCATTTTAATATTGGGAAAAAATACAAATGTTCCACGAAAGGTGATAATATCTTGAACAATTACGCCAACTTTGAAGATGGTGCAAGAACATTCTGGCGTTGAGAACGGCGGCTTTGTTAACAAGGGGCTAGAGTTGGAGGAGGTAAAACTCGGGGAGGAGAAGAGTGAGTATTTTACCTTACAGCATGTAACACATTTATCTGGCAACACAACACGTGGTTGTCAGGAAGCCTTATTACTATATGCCAAATCATAAGAGAGGTTCTGTTTTACGAATTTCAAAATAAAAGTAACAGCATTGAACAGATTGTTGACAAGGACACAGATAGGATGAGAGCATGAACAGTGGTGATCATGAATGAAAACTAGATGGTGATCTTAAGAATATAGGATATTAGGAATATCGTACGATCAGACAGCACACGTGTACACGCGTGGTCCCTGGTACCACGTGGAGTGGAGAAACGACAACCACGATTGACCACGTCATTGTTGATAATACAAAGAATTTTGAATTGACATACAAAATGATTTTGTTCATACTTTTGAATAAGGAATGATGTCTTTGTTCCAGATATCCGGATCTGTATTTTTTAATAACTTCATGTGTAAAAGAGATTATTATGATTATAAAATAGCAGTGAAAAATTTTGTTCAAAACGACAGCAACTTTTCTACGATATGAAAGATAAGAAAGCATCATACATGATATTGTAGTCTGTAACAGCACATTTATAAAAAAACCGAACAAGGGTTATTTTGTGTCCTAGCTACACGTTTACGTAGTCTGACAACTATAAATCAAAGTAACCAGAAAATCTCGCGATCATTTTAATGTAAACAGCAACGGCGCGCCGTCAAAATGACTGGCCCGTTTGACACATTACATTTACTGATTATTAATTATATTAGTAGCAGCGCGTGTAGGGGATAATCTTTTACTCGTTTTGTTACGACATTTACAGCCGATATAAATGACAAGACATTGCAGGCAAGTTGTTGCTGGTGTGCTTTATGGCGTTTTCCTGCAGATCTCTTTCATTTGTACAGCCAGAAATGCTGTGCAATGACAGTCCAATGCTTAATCAAAATTATTTCAGGTAGTTTTTTATCTTTTGTCTTTAGTCTTTTTGGTTTTTCCGAACCACATGGTATGCGGGTTTCTATATCATCTTCTGAGACTTGAAACGAGTTGAAGGACGGAGGTCATAGGGCTAAAATAATCAAATTGTTGACAAGTGTAACGCTAATTTTCCATGCCAATCCTTAAACTTATTTTCAAAATAAGATTTCTTATCATGTAACCGAGATATCGTCAAAGAGACCTGCTGTGACGTCATAAGCACACGGGGTCGAATGCAATGTGACGTCAAATCAAAATACGTAAATATACACAGTACCAACACCTCATTAATCTGTAAAAAAAACAATTTTTCGCATACTTGCTAGATGCATTTTAAAATGTGATTAACAATATTTCATCGACTTAGCTGTCAACTGTCTATCTAAAATGAATTAAACACAGGCCTGTTGTATTACTATCGTATCAAATTAAATTTGTATCAGGTCCTTTATATTTAGATTTTTTTACGTGTTGTTATGTCCAATAAAAATGGATCTGAGATCTGTTGTCCCTCTTGTTAACAAAATACACCTTAAGATAGGAGAACACGGCACGTTTAACATACAAATAGAATCACATACAGATTTTCTCTGATATTTTTTATTCAATAAACTAAAGTTAATCCAAACTATCTAATTAGATTTACCAAATAAGGCTCGTCTAATGTCTCATAATGAACGTCTATATGTAGGTCATAACAAGCAATTTAGAACAAACTACTAACCCTGTCAGTATAGTAGAGCGAGTCGGTTGTCTGTGGGATACATCAACTGATAACACGAACACAGATATATCGAGGAGTCACAATCGAAAGTAAACATTACTAATGTCACACAAGTGTTTGTGAATATTGGTAAACAATACACGATGATTGAACCACATGGCTTTAAAACCATATTTACAAACACATTATAGCCAATTACAGCTAGCCCTTTTCCAATTTCTATTTTTTTCAATCATTTTCCCTTCAGTGGAAAAATAAAACAAAAGCATGATTTGATTTTCGTGTGTGTATACGCGCAAGAGAATGAAGAAATAAACAAACCCATAGACATACCTTTGATACTAAAATTAAGTTAGCCTGGAATATAGGTTACTCAAACTAGCAGTATGTACATGTATTAATGCTATATACCCATTCATTTCTATTATATCGTATAACTAGTTAACTGCCACTTGTTATTCAATGAAGTGTAACCGCGTAATTTATCTGCAGACGCTTTCATTTTAAAAGGTATATTGTGACGTCATTGACGCCATTGTAAATTTTGTTTATAAAGCGAGTATATAAAAAGACTAATATGTAAAGACCACTAGTTATATGTTATCGAGATATTGTCATTTTTCGTCTTATCAATTAATGATAAAACGGGTTATAAGTCTATTGTGTTGCTCCATTCGGCAAATCGAAAGGTCGTTTATTCGCATCATGTGATGTCGTGGAAACTGTACACCGAGGCCTATAACTCCTTTCTAAGATCTTCGTAATGAAATAAAATGTCTATTGTAGCATCTCACAGGAATGTTCCTACAATGCAATTGGTGATTTGTTTTTCTCAAACTTAAAAGGTTCTCGTTATCGTCCTCGGTTATGGAGATATCAGATAAACGATGCAGTAAGTTATCACGAGAGACTCTAGATTATGAATTTTATCAAAGTCAGTTTCGATGGACCACATTTACTTCATCTGACCTGTATACGCATACCGTGGATGACCGAAAATGGAGAGTGATAATTTTCAGAATGTTCGGCAGAAAAGTATGACCAAAAGTGGACAACCTTGTCTAATTGTCATGGGAAGTTTAAAAATCTAAATAGTGAAATCTTGGACCCTTTTATTTACGATGTATTTGCAAGTCTTGTTTTTGTGTCTCTTAAGTGTTCATATTGGCAAACTGTGCTTTTGTTTCTCTTAATATTGTCATTTTCATGGCAAATTATAGTTCAGATTCTCAACCGTAGATTCTACTGACACCACTCCGATGATTTTATTCCAGATTCTCTAACATAGAATCTTCAGACCTATTTCTAATTTTATTTAAGATTTTTTAACATAGAATATACATACCTATTTCTAATCTGATTTCAGATTCTTTAACATAGAACCTACATACCTATTTCAGGTCCTTCTGATTAGATATGTATGGCAGACCTCCAATTTCATTTTAATTTATTTACTATAAATTCCGCTCGTATATCTGCGATTTTATTTCTAAATCTCTAACAACATGAAAGAGGAAGTGGCTTGTCATGACATGGGCTACAAATGGGTTACAAAATATATCCTCGCCAGATTAATTTGTTCATGTTTAGATCTAGTATTTTCAGGTCATCTGATCCAAAGATTCGTAGCAACACTTTGGGTTCGATTAAGAATTAAAATGGTAGAAATAATAATCAAATGACGCATTTGTTTGGATGGGGAAACTAATTTGCCCGCTTGCTATTCTGCACACACAGCCAATAATAACTGTCCTTTCGTAACAGTGTGAAGTCATCTGGCTGGTTCCTATACAGTCAAAACCCTTGGCCCATCCTCGATACTCAAGTGGTTACACTCACTACATCCTCGATACTCCAGTGGTTACACTCACTACACCTCGATACACCAGTGGTTACACTCACTACATCCTCGATACTCCAGGGGTTATACTCACAACATCCTCGATACTCCAAGGGTTACACTCACTACATCCTCGATACCCCAGTGGTTACACTCACTACATCCTCGATACCCCAGTGGTTACACTCACTACATCCTCGATACTCCAAGGGTTACACTCACTACATCCTCGATACCCCAGTGGTTACACTCACTACATCCTCGATACCCCAAGGGTTACACTCACTACATCCTCGATACCCCAGTGGTTACACTCACTACATCCTCGATACCCCAGTGGTTACACTCACTACATCCTCTATACTCCAAGGGTTACACTCACTACATCCTCAATACTCCAGGAGTTATACACACTACATTCTCGATACTTCAGGGGTTACAGGCAGTTCATCCTCAATATTTCAGGGGTTACAGGCAGTCCATCCTCAATACTTCAGGGTTATCATCACTACATCCTCGATACTCCAGGGATTACAGCCAGTCCATCCTCAATACTCCAGGGGTTACCATCACTACATCCTTAATACTTCAGTGTTACCATCACTACAACCTCGATACTCCAGATATAACGTACACTACACCCTCGATACTCCGGATATAACACACACTGCACCCCCGATACTCCAGGGGGAACGATCACTACATCCTCGATACTCACGCTCACTACTGCTCTCTGCACTCCTAGGAAATTCCATGGAAACAATTAAGGTTCCATGTGCGGCGCCTTGCAGATAAGACGAGTAGGGTAGTGTATTCTTTAATGCCTTTGAAGATTGGTGTCATTCCTTTCTAATCGTCAAAGGAGCGTATCAATCTGTGATTGGTCAGGTTTTCCCGCCTGGACCACGCTCTAGACCAATAAAATCATGTGCATTTGTCTTCAATTTTCAATTCTCAATATTGCATGGGTTACGATCACTTTCGCTCTGTGCATCCTTGCTAAGCTCTGTGCATCCCTGTTAGGCAACATTGAGCGTAACCCCCAGAGTAACGAGGATGTCAATTTAGCCATGAAATGTTCCAGGAGCGCAGTGCTGGAGCAAAATGACGGTAACCCCTGGAGTATCGAAGTATATATTAATTCCCGGCTAACAAACGAGTAAACATATAAAAATGTAAGTACAACTCAAAAGGCTAACTCCAATGAACTCTTATTGGTTACCTGCGAGAGCTTTCATGCCGTTCCAACATAAAACAGACGTTATTGAAGTCTCTGGTGAAGCCAGCCAAACACATCTACTGCTATATTTTACTGTACCTTTTTGCTGTTTTGAGCTGATACGTGTTATTACTCGCGTATCATCTGGTGTTTACATCTTGTTGTCGTATTGCCGGGAAAAGGCTTAGTATTAACATTGGGCTTAGTATAAACATCGTAATTACAATACGAATTGTCTTAGCCAAGCCAAATTTATTGAAGCCTTTGATAAGGCTTTTAAAATAGCAAGGCATTAGAGAAAATCAAAGACCTACATTGAGGGTTCCGACTAAATTAATTTCACTTAGTGCCGATAAATATTAAAAGAAAATATATTCAGCATGAATTTGTTAAATTCCAACAGCCGGATGACATGACTGAATACTAAGCCATGTCGAAATACGCTTAAACGTACGAGTTTGTGTTATTTGATATCAATATTATCTGATGAATGCCAGAAGTGATTATATATCACTTCTGTAAGAAATATAGACATTAGTTATATTAGATACATGGAAGATGTTTCAGTTTTAACAAAGACTGGTGTATTCAACAACGAAAAAAAATGTATTGGCTTTGTTCTCTGAATTTTGTCTCTGGATTTGGAAAATAACAAGGTCATAAGAATGTATAAATACTCATGCATACTCAGTTATCGTATCTCTGTCTGTCCGTGTCCTTGTGAACGCACTTGTCAATTATTTATCTACTCGCGTATCGTCTGGTGTTTACATCTTGTTGTCGTATTGTTGAGGAAAGGCCGGGCTCAGTATTAGCATCTTCATAACAATACGAATTGTCTTTGCCGCGCCAAATTTATTTGAATGTTGTATAGTTTTATGTGCGAGGCTGCACTGGAAAAAATTGTAAGCTTAATTTCTTTTCTAGAGAAAAGGCTTCAGTGATGTAGCCTGTAATTTGTTACTAATGCCAGTTTATGTATGGAAGTAAAATTTGTCTAAAGTGTAAAGAAGTACCTAGACAATCACGCTTTGTTTCCAACACTATGCGCATGCCAAGTCTGACCCGACACCGACACGCGAAGAAATTGTACGTTTATTATGAATAAGATTTATAATTTCAAAATCTGTGAATAGGTGATCATTCAATTATCTAAAGTGATGACACACAAACACACATACAAAACCCATGAACGCGTAACTGAAAAATGTCATTGTGGCATAGATATACTATTGTCTGTGATGTCATATATCATGCATTGTCTAAGCGAATTATCGCGAATTTTTAAGAAAAAGATTTTGATAAAGAACAAAAGCGACATTCGTGTATCGGTTTCACAAAACAGTGCTCAGTAAACGTCGCAGACCTTATGCTTATTTGTTTTTCTGACGCGCCTTAAAAAGTCTTTCGATGCCTGTATCGATTTCTGTCTGTAATGTTACATTTAATATTCGACAAACCAGTTCGTCATCATAAACGGACATGCCCACGGCTCAACGAGGATTAAAATTCAGCGTAGCGCGTCTGCTTCCTGAATCACGCTACTTCCGGTAACAAACATTAAAGATTCTCGAAACGCGTTTGAGTAGGACTTGAAGACTCGTTGATAAGCACTTGATTACTAAGGTTACAACACACTTGTGACTGACAGTCAGTGTTCCGCCGACTTTGCCCATGTGATATGTTTACGCAGGACAAATGAGAAAATTCATCCCTCCGTTCGACGACACCGTTCAACTGGATGATATGCCTGTTGATTTTTCAGATACTGCCCCAATCGTTGATGACGATGGCAATCAACGACGACCGGAGATTGAAGTTCCCGACCATGTCGTTGTGGCATCAGAAAATAACGATTCCATATCGAGAGCTACAGCATATGCATCAGTCGCAATTCTTTTGTGCATCAATCTTCTCAACTACATGGACAGATATACAGTAGCAGGTGAAGAAAAATTCCAACCATATAGCACTAGATTATTATTTATAAACTTTAATCTCTGCTCGTATTAAATATGTGTTATAGCTGCCTGTGATAATTTGTATACTGAGAGATGCATGTTTTCTGTTGCTTTTGATTATGTTGGTGCAAAAACAGCACCGATGTTCTTTATTGTTCGACTTATTAGCTATAATCCTATTATCTTTTCAACAAAACACTCCTTTTATTTCCGTTTTTATTCTTTCAAGATGGGAACAATCTAGTGTTTGAGAGAAAGCACTTGAACTTATTATCTTTGACAACATGTGCAGACATTTTTTTTCTCTGAAAAAGAGACATTATACCTTAAAGTGCTGCTGTTTATGAATAGTTCTGGTAATACTGTAAAAGAATTGGGTTGGTGTGGCCTGTGGCTTTGTCTCAGCAGCAATGTATTTTTTTCCATTGTTTCATATCCATTCTAAAAGAAATAACACAGATTGTGTAATAAGAGAGATTCAGGGATTAAATCTTAAATCTTTAAATCACATTTTCTTTCTCTGAAAAAGAGACATTATACATTAAAGTGCTTTGGTTTATTTTTCCTATTCTTTCACATCCACACTTAAAAGAAATAATACAGGTTGAGTAGAAAGACAGACAGGGGAATTAAATATCATGAAAAACAGGAAGGAAGTTGGGAGGGGTAGGATAAAAGGAGAAATTCGGTGTTGCTTTATTTATCTAATTTGTCAAGCCACAGAGACTTATGTTTGATTGATTCCTGTCTGGTGCTTGGCATGAATGTGATTTACTCTGTTTTTAAAAACAGGTTAATTTCATTGGTTTCACTTTGATGGCCTTAGATATAGACTATATATATTATATACATCTTATTTTTTGGTTATTCAGATGAAATTTGTAACAATAAATCATAGTGATGATATCCCCAACGTCTACAATTATATAACTGTCTCAGGGTTTGTCAACTTTATACTATCAGACATTAATGACAAAACAGTGTCAATTACTATTACCCAAGTTTCATTTTTTATGTGATAATTATGTTTATTAAGCACGCTCCTTTAATGCTATTGTAAGCACACAGTATGCAAACAGGGCTCTCACACCCTATTTTTGAACTGGGGCCCGTGGCCCTTAGAATTGGGAAAAATAGCAGCGTTTTCCTTAGAATTGGGAAAACTTGGAGTCTAAATTGGGAAAAAAAGATACCATTTTGCATTAGGATTCAGTCACAAATCTGACAGATCGAGAGCCTTGGCTAATTAGTAGTGATAGGACCATGATCAGATAGAATCATCTAATAACTTAACTTCATTTAATGTGATTATAATTTTTCATACTTGATCATTAGTATTGCATTATGTTTTGTGTTAAAGCAAAAACAAAATTTGTATTATGCATAATAAAAGATGGCTATTGACAGTAATATTAATATTGTGCAAATTCTAGGTAAGTGAGGTACTTCAGGTTACAGTTACAAAATATAAAAATGTAACTACAGCAGAGAATGCACTATTAAATACACAGCCAGCTGATTATGTACTGGATTAATAACGTCTTAAGTCTATCCGAATTCAGCTGATTTTCTATCACTACATATAAGGTGAAATACAAGGCAATACTTCTGATACAAAGTCTAGGAGCAGATCTAGACTTCTTACAGGACAATCAAAGAACACTGGTGTGCAATTTTTGGAATAGCTCTATATAATGCTGGGTTTATTAAGACACATGTGTGAATTGCCAGATTAATATGTTGGTCTAGAAATGCCAGACACAGATACTTTATAATTTGTGATGAATTAATTCAATATGGTATACAAATGTCTCATTTCTTTACATTGTATTGGAAAAGTTTTTGAAAAAATCAATAGTTGGATATCTTGTTTTATGTTATTTTTCATGTCCAGACTACAATTCAGGATTGATGACTCTAGAGGACTAATGTTGGTTTCCATTCTCGAATGTTATTACCTTAATGTACAAACAATGTCAGGATTTGACTTGGTAGTATTTTTGTACTGTACTTTATATAAATGCTTTCATATCAAATCTAACCATCACATTGCTGTATCAGATTACATATAAGATATCGGAGATATTTCTTAGAGCCTTGCTGCTTGGTTTGATTTCACAAACTGTTCTTACATCATCTTCACTAGTGAGTAGAGATATATCACCTGGGGCTTATAAATTCTCATATTCACCTGAAAATGGGTCAGTAATTGTATAATATTTACATATAGGTATTAATAATTTGTAAGTAAATCAGATTACCATGAAAATTCATCACTTGTTGATATCATGTCTGGACTCTGATAACATAATCATGATGTGTCTCTTATCTATCAACAGGTGTACTTAAAGATATCCAAGACTACTACCAATTAGAGAACTCAGAAGATGGCCTTATACAGACAGTTTTTGTAATAACATACATGGTGTTTTCTCCTATATTTGGTTTCCTTGGTGATAGATTTACGAGAAAATACTTAATGGCTGCTGGTATATTGTTCTGGTCAGCTGTTACGTTTTTGGGATCAATGATACCAAGAGATGTAAGTGTTTGTAGTAGACATGTGTTACTGCAGTGTATCTTCAAAGATTTACTGTTCAAAGCTCAATTGCCATATATATCATTAATTTCTGCAGAACTAGTTTCTTAAGATGTCATTTTCACATTTTTATCTAAATTTCAAACATGTCCGTAATTTATTAGGAATGATTTTGATTAGTAGCTCTTATTTACAAATGGAATGGATACTTGCCATTTAAAATAGAAATTCAGTACAAAAATGATGTGGTTGGAATATTATATTATACAATACAGTGTTTCCCAGTACGTTTAAATAAGGTTTCAACTTGTACCACTAGTTTTCAAACGCTATTCAATATAGATACATTGATAGGGGAAGAATGTACGGTACCCACGGTTTTACTAACAACAGGCCTTGAGATAGATTGAAAATACAGTATCAATAAAGCATGTCTTATGATTTACCACTTCAGCTTGTTGTTTATCACTTCAGCTTGTTGATCAGTCATGTGTAATTACGTATGCTGATCTGACCTATTTAATGAGGGTTTCATTATTATAAGTTTTCAAAAATAATCCTATATTACCCCAGGTAGATAATTTATTTAGTTTCCTGCAAGATTCCGATAAGCAATATTTATGAATAATAGACAAACTATAGAAAATTTTCATAACTTTTACAAACAGATCTCTTCAAAAATTCATTTGACAAAATTTTAAATGGATTACCAAAGATCAGTTGTTAAAAGTTAAATTGGTAACATATATTGCAATTAATTTCACAAACTCAAAAATGCACCTATTTTCCATTTGCCTTCATATTAATGTGATGTTAAAATTAATGAAAAGAAAATTGAACAATATTTCAAGAGTATTACCTGGTGTAGGTTCTTAAAACTGCACATAATTGCAACATATAAATTTGCTGTATATGTGGAACTTTCATTGCAGTTTGACCCTCACCTACTTTGTCTTCTTGTCTACAGGGTTTAACATTGCTTGCATTGACGTACAAGCTTTCATGTTTATAATACTGTTATACTATTAGATGAAAACATTGAATTTTATGTGAGGGAGACTTTTTTCTAGTACATAATGTTTCATTTAAGGAGCCAAGCTGGATGGCAAGGCACAAAACTCCATGAGTACTTGTTTTTAATTCAATGATTTTAAGTATTAAATCTCTGTTTTATTGCAGCATTTTTATGCATTTGCATTAATGCGAGCCTTGGTTGGTGTAGGAGAGGCAAGTTACTCCACCATTGCCCCAACCATCATAGCAGACCTTTTTACTGGAAGCATGAGGTCCAGAATGCTCATGATATTTTACTTCGCCATTCCTGTTGGAAGGTTTGTATCTCTTTACACTGTTTCCTAGGTACATCTGTATAAGGTTGCCTATTGTAGTCTGTAACATGTTATTATAATCGGCCACAAAAGACCCTGTACAGGAGCTTTCTAAGGGCTATTAAAAGACTTCCAATGGGCAGTAAGGGGACTCACAAGAGACTTTAAAGAGACTACAAACAGTCAGCTTTTCATGGTAAAAAAACAATGTTATTTCATTATCTTGTAATATGTCTATCTCCTGAGTTTTTTTGAGGTGTCTGGGGCACTGAACTTTCTGTTGGATAGTGAAAAGATGCAATAAAGTAACAAAAGAAATCTGCTACAACACTTCTAAAACATGCCTTTTCCATTCAATCTTTTATCATTCTTTTCTTTTGAAATTGTATGTGGATGTCTTGAAACATTAATCCCTTGAAAAAAGGTCAAGTGTTACCTCTATTTTGTGTAGCATGCATTGCACTTGTTTTCATATTACTGTGGAGATATGATACACTACCCCATACTGTCTTATCTATACTTGCTTGTGCTTTATTACAGTGGCCTGGGTTACATCGTGGGTTCTAATATAGCTAAAGCTTTAGGAGCCTGGCAATGGGCTTTACGGGTAAGGACCAGTATTCTTCATCACATTTTCATAGCTTTATCAACTTTGAATATTTTCATTCAAGCTACTAAGACATGGTTTCATGAGACTTAAGGCTCTCATTGTTCTTTGCCAAATATTCTTGTCTTCAAACATTTCTGGTAGTATTAATGCATTCTTGGATAGAATTCAAGATCTACATTAGGACTCTGTTGTGTTGTACTGGTTTTGGTTTGGCATTTACAAATTTTAACATACCTGGTTGATATAAATATTATCCTGATGAAATTTGGTTTTGTAAGATGTAATTTGTTTTGCCAGGTAACTCCAGTTCTTGGTGTGGTGTGTGTAATCTTGATCCTTGTTGTCCTCAAGGAGCCCAAGCGAGGGATGTCTGAAGGAGGAGTTACACTCCACAATACAAGTTACCTCACAGACCTCAAGGAGGTCATGAAGATGTAAGTATCATCCATGTGTGGTTTGACATTCATTACAGATTCATGTCTGACCCGAGAATTATCAATCGATGAAATTGTCATGTTATTAAGCCTGTCTTTTCAAAACAGAAATTTTTGTAAACTTTTGGAATTTTTTTTTATAGAGTTCAGTTTTATTCTAAATCAGAAAAGCATCATACTTGAGTTTATTCTGGGTAAGTAATTTATTCAATATTTGAAGAAAATCTCAGTGTTAAAAAAAGACTGTACAGATGAAAAAGTTTGTAAATCTCAGCTCACAATATTGAACTTCAAAAAAAGTAAAAGAAACTAGGAAAAAAAAATGTTTCATGAAACAGTTTCTGAAAGCTATGTTAACCACTTTACTGAAAGCCTTACATTAGAATCTTCTCTAAAATTGCTGAGATTTAGTGTTCATATTCTCTTGTTATTTTGTTTTGTTTACAGTCCCAGTTTTGTGTTGGCAACCATAGGATTTACCTGTGTGACGTTTACCACAGGTGCCCTGGCACTGTGGGCTCCTCTTTTTATGTATGACTCCATTAAGGCTCAGGGAAAAGAAGCATCTCAAGCTGGGTAAGTACACGGCACTTAAGGTACACTACAGGTACCACCAAACAGGACAGACACCACCCACCAGGACAGACACTTTCCACCAGGACAGACACCACACAACAGGACAGACACCACACAACAGGGCAGACACCACATGACAGGGCAGGCACAATGCAAAATATACCTGATAGATTGAGGATAATATTACTAGATATGTTAACGCAATGATGTGTCTCATAGCTTAATATTGTCAGTCATCAGTCATATATTGATATAATAATCAATTCAACATTTTTAAACATTTAATCAATTAGTTAGGCAAACTGCATGAACAAAGCAAGTTTTTTTTCTTCATTTTGCTTTTTTGAAATGAAAAAAGGAAGTAGTATTCGTTAAAATTAATTCTATAATTAAGTTATAGATAGTGTGATGGAAAGATCTAACACACTTGAAATGGTTTTGTGTTGTCCATTAAATTGAAGAAATTACTGAAATAATAACATTTTCGTAAATAAGGCTACTTATTCACAATTACATATCAAGAACAGAAGTTTCTGATCGAACATAGTGCGTTGTTACTCACATTTGGTTACAGTCTTTTTAACTCCAGTAATTTGGCTGGTTATTTTTGGTAACTGCCCTTCTGACCTAAAGCAATGATTTATTTACCTTGAGTTTGACACTGATCAATTATGGTTGCTGCCAACATAATCTTGATATATACCGGTAACTACCCTGTTTTTGTACCAATACTAGTATTGTTATTAATACTTAATCTTTGGTACTGATACTTAACTTTACTTACCATTTTTTAAATACGGTAACTAACCATTTGATATTGAACCTTTGTTCTGTACCTAAACATTGGTCACCAATGCTAAACCTTGCTTACTAAAACTTAACTTTGGTTATTGATTCTTAATATTGATGACTAATATGTAACCTTGGTTACTTATACTTATGCTTGGTTACTGATACATAACCTTGGTTACTGATATTAACTTTGGTTAATGGTATTAACCTTGGTTACTGACACTTAATTGTGTTTTCTGATCAGTTAAAGTTCATACTGATTCTAAACTTTAGTTATTGATACTTAACCATGATCATTGATCATTTAACGTTCATACTGAACCTAAAGATTCATTACTGATCATTTAACATTTATACTGATTCTTTACCTTGGTTACCGAAACTAACTTAGTTTCTAGTACTTAACTCTGGCTATCAATAAATTAAGCTTCATAATGAACCTTAATCTTGGTTAATGATACTTTGGAAACTGATGTGTTAACAATTACTAAACCATAACCTTGTTTACTGATACTAACCTTGGTTACTGATACTTGACCTTAGTAACGGATCTTATCATGTTCATATTGAACCTAAACCTTAGTTACTGATACTAACCTTGGTTACTGATCTTTTAACATTCATACTGAACCTAAACCTTGTTTACTGATAGTAGCCATGGCCACTCCTACTTTAACTTCCTTGCTCATCCTTTGGTAGGCCTAACTATTTATGTGCTGGAGAACCTCTAAAGGTTTGGTAAGTATGATTTGAGGCAGCCAAGTTTTTTTTCCAGCTTTATGTTAAAACCCTGGTGTTTTTAAGCCTTGCATACCAAAGAATATGCACAATTTGTAATTTTAATGGGTTTTTTTTCTGCTTTATAGATGTTTTTTTTTATAAGTTTACAAAAAAAGTATTGAAAAACACAGATTTGGTTGTGCATGCTGTATTTTTTATTTAGAGGGAGAGGGTTTGGGAAATTGTAATTATTTGACTTTTGTTATGATATGATGATAATCTCAGTAATATGTGCATGACATTTACTTCTTCATCATTACTTATTGATAAAGTATTGCATGGTGCTATATTTAGTATTTTTTATCTAAGAGAGAAAGACAAAAGGATACTTTTGATGATACACGTAAATGAATAAAGTGTTAAAGTTATTGGTACATATTGGTGGTAGTAATTAAACCCTTTATTTTTGGATGTATTTTGACAATGCTACTTTTCTTATTGGTACCACAACCATTGGACGGTGGCAGTTTTCTGTATAAGTTTTCTTGACTATAAGTTGCCCAGTTTACCTTTTCTATTGTAATTAAGATAGAGTAGTTGCCTCATTGCCTTTCTCTTTAACTAATGCAGTGTAGGTTTTCTTTCAGTTTTGTTTACTAGCTGACTGGCTACAAAATGATAACACAGCTGGAATGCTTTTGTATTATCTCTTTATCTACCAGTAGACCACTTCTGTTAAAAATTCAGACTTACTAAAATTGTTATAGAGGCTGTTGTGGGATCATACTTTGTCTGCAGGTTCATGTGAGGAATCAGAGAAAGTTGAGATCTTTGTCCTTCACTTCAGTAAGAATACATTTGGATATTTGTTATAAACCGCTGGATATTCAGACCAGAAGTCTTCTGATTATGTGTTGGGATCACAGCTTTCAAGTGATCCTACTGTATACTAGATTTTTTGCCAATGTCTAAATTTTTACCATAGATTTGCATGGTAAATATTGATCTGGTGAACTTGAATTGAAAAAGAATAACAATCATATGTTTTTAGCTCCTCACTAGTGAATAGATGGTTTGGCTATGTTGCTATGATTTAAGTGAAATTTTATAGTTTCTGCATTGCATATGAATGATTATATATGTAGTTACTGATTTATAAGGCAGAATAGTGTAATAACTTGGTTTTCTTTTTTCTTTTTGTTTAACCAAAAAAGAAAAAAAAAAGAACAAAATTGATCCATTGTTAAGTTGACTTTAAATTTGTTTGTATTTCCTTTTAAGTAGTTAATGAAATTTGATGTCCATTTTCCATTTTACTGACCCTCTGGCTCTTGGAATTAGTTCACCACTCTCTTAAAAAAATGAAAATCTTGTAAAATGCTAGATTATTATGTGCACCTCGTGTTTCCAATCTCTTTATCATATTTGTTAACAGAAGTAATTTCTCATTGTTTTTTTTTCACTTTCATTGAGTATTCAGTACTACTTATCATATATTTCATCCTTTCTTACTAATTTCTGTTTTCAGTGTGGCATTCACCTTTGGAATAATCACGGTGCTAGCTGGATTTGTGGGTGTTGCATTGGGTGCTGAGATTTCACGGCGCTACAAGAAAATAAATCCACGTGCAGATCCCCTGGTGTGTGCCTTTGGCCTGCTGACATGTGTGCCGTTCCTTTTCTTTGCTCTTGTATTATCTCAGTGGTACACAGTGCCAACTTATGTAAGTATATGTATATATAAATTTTTTGTCAGAAGTGTGTTGATATTCTTATCCTAATCATATAACATGTTATACTTAGTTTTTTAAGTCATCTGATGACCTAAAGTCATTGTGCTTTGCCATCGTTGTGCGTCTTGCATAAACATTTGACATTTTAAACTTCTTCTCAAGTTCCACCAGTGGGATTGAGTTCAGACTTGTATGAAATGGTCCTGACCAAGTGTTGTTACTTTTCTGATATGTCTGAAATCCATGATGGTTGCCATCTTGAAAAACATATTTTAAACTTCTTCTCCAGTTTCACTGGTGCCATTGAGCTGAAAATTAATGGGAATGTTAAGGAAAGGTAGCAAACAAGGTGTTGTTATTTTCCAACATCGTCAAATCTTTGACATGGTAGCCAGGAAGGCCATTTTGTAACATGATTCCTGTTAACACCTTTTTCAAACTTCTTAACCCGTTGGATTGAGCTTCAACTTTACTGTCAAAAAATAGGTAACACTTGTTACAGTTAGCTACTCCTCACCAAAACTACCATCTGCATCATGGAAAACATCTTCTTAGTAAGATTTCATTCAAAGAAGAGAAAAATAACCCTTCTCCCTGCTGAAAAATTTTGTAGTCAGACGACTGTGAAGGCCCACGGCCTTCTTGTAATGGATGAAGTCATTAATGAATTTTATCAATGGATCAAATTATTGATGAATTTAGTCATTTTTTAGACATATCATTAATTAACATAGCAATCAATGGATATAGCTATTGTTATTTATAATTGTAGCTATTATGTAGAATGTTTTTAATGGATTCAGATTTTATTAGATGTTGTTATTAATGATGTAGTTTTAATGATTATTAATGGATACAATCATTAATTTCCTCTATGTCCATGTCAAACAATATTGATTGACTCCTTTCTTATACAGTCGTATTTCTGATATAATCTATGTTACATTTTTTTCTATATAACTATTTAACTTTGAAATATTCAGTTGCTTTAAAAGACATCAGTAATTTCATGAGTTGTAATTTTGATCCTCAAACTGCTGTATGTTGATAGAATGTAATAAGAATATCTAGATTAAGACATTTTTAATCTTGCGATAAATTTTTTGAAATGTTTTTACCTGCACATCAGAAAAGGAATACATTTTGTTAAATACATTTTGTTGAAATGTTTTAACAGCACCTTAGAAAAGGGATAAATTCTGTTGAAAAAATTTTACTTGTACCTCAGAAAATATTAAGTAGAAATTAAAAGAAAACAATTGGAATGACTCCTTCAAGCAGGCATCACTATTCATACAGAAAATCAAACTGATTTTGTTCTCATGAAAAGAATTGATGATGGAGGTATACAAGCATTGTTATTTATTGCAGATCCTGATTTTCCTTGGGGAGACAATGTTATGTTTGAACTGGTCTATTATAGCTGACATGTTATTGGTAAGCTCATCACACACCAAACACATGCTAACATGACATATTTGGAATTTTGATGACTGTATTTATTCTACAAAAGTACTTGGCCTCTGAATCAAAGTCAAGAGGAGAGCTTATTACAGATCATTGAATTAATTTTTGGTAATGTTACTAAATATCAATAATTCTTTTTGGGGATATTGCCTGGCATATACATTTCGAATGCAGGGAATCACAAATGGACTTAATGGTTAATTACAACTACAATGTACTGTCTTTTGCAGCTAACAAATACACATATACCTAAATATTTGCACAAATAGAGTGCATTTAATCTATAGACATGTTTACTACAAGTTTAAAGTGATGATTTAATTGAAGTACATATACGAAAATGGATTTTTCATCACTAGGATACTGTAAACAGACATAATTTAGCAATAATCATATTGAAACTTTTTTTGCTATAAAGATATTTTCATTAGATTTGATTGTGCAGTTTCTGTATGTCCTTAATGTAACATATTTTGTGAATGTGCAAATTTTACTATAGCACTTATTTGCTCGAAATCGTGCTAAAATTTGATTGCTCCGAAATAATTATGTTAACAGTAACTACCTCTATAGAATTATCTCGTGCCTTTTGTGATATAAATAACCTGGAATTTTGTTTTCAGTATGTTGTGATACCCACACGGCGGTCGACCGCTGAATCTGTACAGATTTTGGTTTCGCATGCTTTCGGTGATGCGGGTAGTCCATACATCGTCGGATTGGTGAGTTGGTATAGCAACACGGATAAGAAATGATTGCTGGTATATTTTACTTTCTGGTTCATGTGATATAGTTAAAGGAAAAAGGGACTGTTCTATTAACCCTCAAAAAATGGTATGTATCTTAGAACATGTTATTATATAAAGTGATGAAGTGATATTACTGATACAAATTACAATGACCTTTGTAGTTTTGGGGTTGTAGTGTAGGGATCACTCTATTGGAGAAAGCTTCTTCACCACAATAGGGCCTGGAGTTAGTAATTAATGAATATTATGTAATGTGGTAGCCAGACAAAAAGTTGGATAATTCAGAAATGGATATTGTAAACATCAGGGGATTGAATTTGATCAGAACAGTATTAACACATTAGTTAGGGCCTCATAGCAATGTATTTTTAGTGTAGGTCTGCATTACATATATATATATAATCTGGTAGGTAATATGGAAGGTATGGTCCAATATTGGTGCTAGATCCTAACTAAAAAATGTTCATGGGATGTGTATTACTGGTATATGATCAACAAAGTAATAACAATGTATATGGTAACATTAAAAGTGAAAATAAACTGAAGAATTCAAATTCTGTCCATGATAGTGAACTAACATTGATCTACTTCCATATGTTACACTGTTGTATCAACCTGATATCATGAATGCATTCTGAGACATCATTAGTACAAACAAATAATAAACCAAACTACTGACAGCCAAACAGTTTTATATAATTCATAAAGCCATTCTTCCAGTAGAAATGTTATTCCATGTGCTAGTACGAAGCAAATTAATGATGTATTTTGTAATATATTTGGTATCGTTTCAATGTTTCCAGAAAACTGCTTCAAACTTACTTACTAAACTAACTAAATGGCCAGCTGTGAATAGTAAATTCTTACACCCCTTCGATTTTATCAGGATTGACATTTATGTTAATGAAGATATATTTTTTATTTTTAGGTGTCACAGGCTCTAGCTAAGAACTACAATGCTCCTCCCCGTTCTGCATATGTACAGTACAAGACGTTACAGCTAGCCCTCTATGTCACACCATTTATTTGTGTCCTTGGTGGGGGATTCTTCTTAGCCACAGCACTCTTTATAGAAAAGGATAAGAGCAATGCCATGAAAATCACACAAGGTATGCATGTGTTTCTGGGAGAGTTATAAAATAGATCATAACAATTTAGAGAAGTTATAATTTCATTATTTCAGTAAATTTGGGGATCAGTTCGATGTCATAGCAATAGCAATTTGTTGTAAAATAAGGTCTGTTGTCCACTTTGTAGAATACTGGTTTGTAAAGAGTGGAACATTATATTACTGTACAATACAATGTCTGATATCTGATTTCTAAGACACTGACTGGTAGAGTGTAATACTTAAGTTTTGTACATGATATCCTGTCACTTGTATTGTGATATCTGTCTCTGTCAATGTAACAGGCCAGGCCCCTGTACAGGAAGCTGGTGACACAGATAGTTACGATGACCCCATCATTCTAAGGTCTGGAGAGGCAGAGCGACTTGATCCTTTGGCATAGCAAGCAAGTGTATGCCACTAACATCTACATGTAATATATATTTTTGCATTGTAGATTCCCCTAGGCCTAATATGACTTGTGCTCCTTCACCTCTCTGTGTCATTGGTGTACTAACTGCAACATTTTGTATTTTTATTTGGCTTTTTATCATTTTATTCATATGATTGTTAGACCAAAACAACCTGTCATGCTGACCTGTACTAATCAGACAGATTAAATGCGATTTTCATATGAGGAATATTAAATCAATCATGAATACAGTGATAATCATGAAGTCCAGATTACAATTGTTATACTTCTGTACTGCACTTGATCAGAACAAACAGCAGAGGGATATACATGAAATCTTAATGTGGTAACACTGATGAGAATTTGACTTCAGTTTAGCATGACAGGTATAATTATGGTCTGAAAATATTCATCTTGTAGTTCCTGTTAGAAGAGATCTACTTCCCTTTTTGAATGTGGGGCATTTTGTTGCATGAGTGCTTTATGTTGAATGGTTGTTAGAAGGGAAAGCTTATGATATTTATCTGACATTAACCCAAGGTATATTAAGGGCAGTGAATAGTTCTTGGTATTTTTCCTATTTTCTATATTAAAATGTAGGCTGGCTTATTAAAAGGCATAAGGTAATTTGATATATTAATTTAATAGGAACATTTTCATGGATAGATTTGGGGTGGTAATAGGTCAAGATTAAAGGTCAAATGTCACTTTTGACCACTTTTAAAATGGAAGTTTGTGTTTATACAAGGCATCTTGTCAACCTATCAACAGTTTTTTTACACCGTAACATCATACCATCAAGTTCTGGATCAGATTAAAGGTTAAAGGTCACCCTTGGCCACTTTTGAAATGAAAGCTCCTGTAAAAGATATCTCATAAAAGTTTGAACAGATATTGTAAGATTAGAAAAACCATGGAGTGAAGGCTATTATCTTTGGGTTATTATCTATGGGCGTTGCTACTCACTTCGTTTATTTAATTTGAGTTATTAACTCTGTTTCAGCTTTTATTAACATCAGTTTTCAGTGTTTCAGCCTCTACTGACAATTCTTTTTAGCTGCATGTTTGATTTGACTTGTATAACACACATAATAACTCAAGTATAGCCTGTTATTGTAACTGCCTGATGTATTTGATCTTTGTATATTGATAAATTTATTGAATGTAAAATTTGGACAGTTACTGAAGATAATAAAAATACGTAAGCAGATGTTTGGTTGATGTAATACACATGTATTTGAAAATGTTGTAGCAAGTTGATGTAGTTCATTCATGGCATCATTAACAATGTGTTTCATATGTAGTGGTGATATTACACCAAGGCTGATGTGTAGTCATAACATCACACAGTGGCTGATGTGTAGCCATGACATCACACAGTGGCTGATGTGTAGCCATGACATCACACAGTGGCTGATGTGTAGCCATGACATCACACAGTGGCTACTGTGTAGCCATGACATCACACAATGGCTGATGTGTAGCTATGAAATCACACCATGGTTATTGTGTTGCCATGACATCACACCATGGATGATGTGTAGTGATAACATCACAAAATGGCTGATGTGTAGCCATGACATCACACAATGCTCGATGTATAGTCATGACATCACACAATGGTGGATGTATAGCCATGACATCACACAATGGTAGATGTGTAGCCATGACATCACACAATGGCTGATGTGTAGCCATGACATCACACAATGCCTGATGTGTAGTCATAACATCACACAATGGTGGATGTGTTGCCATGACATCACACAATGGTCAGTGTGTAGCCATGACATCACACAATGCTGGATGTGTAGTGATAACATCACACAATGGCTGATGTGTAGCCATTACATCACACAATGCTTGATGTATAGCCATGACATCACACATTGGCTGATGTGAAGTCATAATATCACGCAATGGCTGATGTGTAGCCATGACATCACACAATGGTGGATGTGTAGCCATGACATCTCACAGTGGCTGATGTGTAGCCATGACATCACACAATGCTTGATGTGTAGTCATGACATCACACAATGCTGGATGTGTAGCCATGACATCTCATTATGGCTGATGTGTAGCCATGACATCACACAATGCTCGATGTGTAGCCATGACATCACACAGTGGCTGATGTGTAGTCATTACATCACACAATGGTGGATGTGTAGCCATGACATCTCACAATGGCTGATGTGTAGCCATGACATCACACAGTGGCCGATGTGTAGCCATGACATCACACAGTGGCTGCTGTGTAGCCATGACATCACACAATGGCAGATGTGTAACCATGACATCACACAATGGTCAATGTGTAACCATGACATCACACAATGGTCAATGTGTAACCATGACATCACACAATGGTCAAGGTGTAGCCATGGCATCACATAATGGCCAATTGGTAGCCATGACATCACACAATGGCAGATGTGTAACCATGACATCACACAATGGTCAATGGTTAGCCATGACATCACACAATGGCTGATGTGTAACCATGACATCACACAATGGTCAATGTGTAGCCATGACATCACACAATGGCCAATTGGTAGTCATGACATCACACAATGGCAGATGTGTAACCATGACATCACACAATGGTCAATGTGTATCCATGACATCACACAATGGTCAGTGTGTAGCCATGACATCACACAATGGCAGATGTGTAGCCATGACATCACACATTGATTTCTTCTTAAATACAAAAGGTCGTGTAAAACATATACAAAAACTTAGATAGTGCTATTTCTTGTTAAAAGTCATCTTTTGTCAGATGTTTGGTGTCAGAAGTAGAATGCTGTTGCTTACATACTGAGGATAGTAATACCGGTATATAATTGCATTCATGTTGTTTGTAGAAAACGTAGCATAGAAGATGGAAATGTGATATGATGTTATTTGTTGTGATGTAAAGATGTAATGACCTGATTTTGTTACTTTGATAGTGTTTTATTTTGCAGCTATGAATAAGGAGAAATCAACAAATGGAGACATTTCTCTGAAGGCAATCGCAAGAGATGATGTTGACTATGATTTCGCAGCCAATGGACGAACAGGGATTTGAGGGCTATTGTATCCACATAGAGCCAATGTACACACCAAGGTCGATAGTCTTTACTACTAAGTCATCCATGAAAAATCCAACTACTGAAGCTTGTTAGTAGACTTTGAAGTGTTGCTAGGGGCCATGTTTTAGACCACTGTCAATGTAACAATTTTGACGCAAGTTTTCACAAGAAAGTGATCCTTATCAGAAAGCTTTATCATAATTCATACTAAAGTCACTAGTCTTTATTGGTAGTTTGAACCTTCATTAAGGTGACCACTAGTTACTAGTCATCACTATGGATTTGTCTGTAAATCAGTGGACCATGTCTCCGCAGACATCCATCACTGACCAAGACCGTCCGTTTCATTTGACGAGGACGTCAGCAACCGTTGGTTACATCTACCAAGGACTGGATAATATTGACTACTCCTGACCATCTAGTTCTGTGTACGAGCTGTGATATACAGATGACACCAGGCTGCAAAATCCTATATACTCTAAATATGAGTACCTAATAATTTGAATCATTTGCCAATTTCTGAACTTCATTTTCACCAGCATAGATATGCAGGTATTGTAATTTGGTATTATGCCACAAAAATTGATTTCTTAGAAATGTTTTTGTGGACAATTGAAATCCTTTCATTTCATGACCATTCCAGGATTCAGTGCACAATTTTCATTTTCTACCAAAAACAATTTTGAAATCTTTTATGCGATATTTTACCTATCCTGAAATTTTAAGAATTTTGTTTTACTGAATTGCCAAAAATAAACAAATGATATGGAATTCTTTCAATACTTTCAAATATTTTAACTGAGTCTAGAAGTGTGGAATATTTGAAATATTTAGTTGAATTTATTACATAAAATTCACTTCAGGAAACTTTCTAAAAGAAATTCATATTATGCAACAAAATTTGTATCAGATTGGAGGACAAGACAGTGCTCATGAAATGCTTGTTATTGTGTCCCATATTAATGTATTTGGTTTGGCATGAGATGTCTAGCTAAGGTGGTAAGGCATTTCATTACATGGGGAGTTTATTAACATCATAGAGAGTTTGTTAACATGGTTTTGATAGTATCAGATAATGATATTAAAGATAGTGTAATGCTGCTTTTGACTCTGTTATATTTGGGAGGAAATAGGAGTTGTTAATCAATATTACAAATGTTTAGGTCTGTCTCATTATTTAGCTTCCATGTAATAAATGTTCTAAGATTTGGAAATTTGCAAAAGTAAGTGAAAATTTATAGACACTAAACTACACAAAGGAGTAGATATTCTTTTGTTTGTGTTTCAAATTGTGTTTCAAACTGTACACCAAATACATTGTTTGTTGTTCATTCATTTGTACATTATGCATACAAATCAACATCTATATTATCTTAATAGTTTTACAACTGTTTTTACGAAATCAAATTGTACGGTTTATAACAGTTGCATGAAGGAAAGAATTGTTCATTTACAATATCATCTTCATTGCTGTCATATATGATGTGTAAAACTGTCTTAAAATAGCTGTATTTTGGTGAGCGTAAAGAAAGACCAAATTAGCAAGCCAAAATACAGCTTGTATTTTAAGACACTGACCATGTATTCTATTTATCCTGCAACATTGACTGAAAATCAGACTATTGAAATAAACAGATTTGTTGTTTAATCTGTGTTTACCTGACATTGACGTTACGCTGAATTTTGCGTGATGACGGATTCAGAAATAATTGCTCCGTGAGAAACAAAGTTCTAATTTTCATCAGATATAACAGCAGTTTTATGAATTTTCATAAATCAACACGTGCATTACAAAATGTAAAATGTAAAATCACCTACTTCAAAAACCATTGATATTTCTAAACATAATATTAAAGTAGATTCAGAGAGTAATTTTGTTGAATTATTGCATGTGCTAAAATACAGACATGTTTTCTGCCATTGTCGAATACAGCAAAAATATATGTACCAGGTGTGTTCTGACAACGGCAGCGCCAGTTGCAGGATGAAAAAGAATATACACATTAGAAAACTGAGGGAGTCTTGATTTTGTCTTTGAAAAGAATTCAAACAGTTGTCAATACTCTCAATGATTTTTTTTATGCCTACCTGGTCTCCTGTGATAGTAATATAAACACATGCAGGATTCCCTATAGTTAAAGCCAATCATAAAATATTTAAGTGTTTTTTTTATTTTTACAAGAGTGCTCCATAACTGAATGTTGCAATGGGTTTGACAAAAAACCATGCAATAGTTGTAAATATGATTATTCCTAAACCAACATTTATAGGGAAAGAAAAACAGTAAATGTGATGATAGAACTTGAGATTTGATTAATAAATCTCATTTACAAAAAAATCTTTAATTTAAAGGAAACTTGAAAATTATACATTTTTCTACCACAACAGGTGGATTTAATCCATTTTTGACACATCAATCATTTCTACTGGTTTGTATGTTATACCATGTTTAGCATGTTTAAATGAAAATGTGCTTCACACACTTACAGGAATTTGAATATGCAATAAGTAGTTAACAGTTGTATTGTAATACCTGGTAATTTGATTTTTATATGGATTTCTAGACTGTTTTTTTTTTTTTTTTTGCCTTGAAGAAAACAAACCTTTTTATTTCTAGTTACAATTTATAATGAGTTACAATATTACCATGTATTTCTGATATTGTCAGTTTTGCCTATTATTTAGCAGCATGGTATGAAAGGTCATAGCAATACGCCCCAACAGATGACATAACTAGAATAGACATGAATACGGAACAGGTCCATTCAACTTCAGAATAGTATTTTTATTGTGTAGACACAGGTCACACAAAATCCCAGTTGTTATATAAGGTATTTCTTTCATTCAAGCTGCTTATTTTTCAAAAGTTTAAGCAACACTCCCTAAAGCTCATATTTTTTTGTAACATTTGAAAAATAACTAATTTGGGTGAAAGAAATACCATATGCCACAACCTCTTGTATGTAGTCTCTATTTATTCTATTTAGGGGAGGTAACTCAATGTCGGTCAGCGTGACCTAGTTCTGATGTAAATAACACCAGTGGAAGACCTTTCTTTAACTAACACAGTTTGTGTGATTCACATTTGTTGTGGATTCAGTTTTGTTATGTATTTTAAATAGCATTTTAAAAGTGCTCGAGAGAGTCTATACATCCTATGTATTTATGATGAGTGATAGATTGGTTGCTTGAATGATCTCGTGTAATAGACAATAAAAAAATTGTGTGTGATAAAAAATTTGAGAATTTTCAGAGAAAATGGAGGATGCAAAAGAAGGGAAAGTAATTCTGCTAGTAAGGTATTTATATTGTAACAGAAATTAATTTTGTAATTGGAAATAAGATGGAATGAAAGAATGAAGCAGAATGACAGTATACACCTGTGAGTTTGAACCTTGTGTTGTTAAATGAGATTATTTTATATTGTCTTGCTATTTCCAGTCAATTTTAATGACATGTCACTGTGTCATCCACTTTTTATATGGCAGTAGAACAATTCACTGGGGTCAGTGTGTTATAAACTTGGTGGCAGCTTCTTTTATACTCAATGACCTGTAAAAACACAATGGTATGTTTTTTCTCTCTTTCTGGAAAAAAATTACAATCTGTATAGTTTGTACCCAGTGTAATTTGTAACTTGGGTGAAGCAAACTTTCAGCTGTCTCACAATGAGTTTCTCTATAATCAACTGTATGAATTTGATTCTTGTGGATGAAAACTTTAATATTATTAAAGGTTTGTGGAAATTGAAAATTTGGCAGAATCTCCCAACATTATGAAAAATTGGGCTTTTACTCAAGCTATTTTGTAAACTATGATGGGACCTTTGGACCAATAAAAGGAATGTTTAAGAGGTTGTGTTAGGAGATAGGGGCTTGTTTGGGAAGTTATGGTATATGATGTTTTATTTGAATTGTTTTATTAGGAAGATAAAACTGTCTTAATCTCATTTTTTGTATGTTTAAAGTTTTAAAAAACATTGGGAATACATTGTAAAATGAGATTAGTTTGTAGATTTATAGTGAATATAACTAGGGAAATAGAAAAATCTTCCTTTATAAAAAGTAATTTCTGTGTAAAACATTTATCCAAACACAACATTGGTGAGAAGGACATGCATACCTGTCACCCCATGTTGTAATGTTCATGTACAGTTTCTCCAGTAATGAAGTAAGACTTTAAAGTTTTATAACACAGCTTTAATCACTTATATCATACCATTGTTGGATTACACATTTAACTCTCACAGGACTTCTCGGTTTAGCCTCACACTCTTCTACCATTGAAAGGCATATGTATGATGTTATCACTTTGTAATGTACAACATAACCACACAACAGATGTTAAAAAAAACATGGTCCGTACAGGTCTATAAATGTATCAGGTTAATACTGGGATATCAGAGCAAACGATAGAGAACAAAATACACGGGAAATAAACAGCCTCCATACTCCAGGGGTTACTCCCACTATCCTCTCTTCATCCTCGAAACATTTGATGACAAAATCAAAGGCACAAACAGTGATTTGATTGGTCTATAGGAGAAATAAGACTTTTTATGAAACACTATGCCCCCAGTTGCGACAAAATTCTTAAGTTGGACACTTAAACTGTGCTGTGTAAGGCTTGTGCTAATTGCATACACACCTTTGTCAAACACTTCTGTCTTCATTGTGGTAATGATTTGACAGTTTCAGTTCAGTAACTTTGGCCGGTGAAAACATTTTGGTTCCACTGGAAACGTCTTTTCACAAATACAAAAAGCTCTACCTCATACGGTGTAATAGTTATGGGCAAGGTTAAATTCGACAACAGACACACAAACAGACAACACAGAAACCATTTGCCCCCGATCTTTTGATCCGGGGGGCATAAAAAACTTGACCAATCTCAAACTTCTATACTCCTTTGACGATTACAAAGGAGCGACACTCAACTTAAAATCCAGTTCAAAACGTTATACAAACACGAGATTGGTTTGTTATACATAAAAATATCAAACTAGTCTTCTCATCTTATCCACAAGTGCCCTGGAGTGTTTTAGGGGTGCAGAACGACATTAACCCCTGGAATATCGAGGATGGGGAATCACATACCTTACCATTATGGATGGTCATTAATGTGTTTTATAGTATGATATTTATGAATATTTTAAAATAATGAATAAAAATGGAAGTGCTTTTGATATTTTCTATTATTTTTAACCGATTTGTTCATGAAGATTTTCCAACGTTGGTATTAAGTTCTGAACGATTAGGTGCGATATTGCATGCAAGCAGGCCAGGGTGAAAGCGTGGATTTGAAAAGTCGAGAGTTTGAGTAGTACACTTATACCACATAATCTGATTGAACATCGAGAAGGAATACAAATTCGCCAATGGTCAGAAGGTTTTGTCTATCTCCTATTTGCCAACGTTTTGAAGATTTCCACGTGAGAGATTTTTCGTGCACAAAAGTAAAACGTCAATGTGGTGTTTTGATGTCACTGTAACGGACATCACTGATGTTCTGATATCACTAAACAAACGTCAATGTGTTGTTTTGATGTCACTCTAGCGGACGTCAATGTGTTGTTCTGGTGTCACTCTAGCGGACGTTAATGTGTTGTTCTGATGTCACTCTAGCGGACGTCAATGTGTTGTTCTGATGTCACTCTAGCGGACGATAATGTGTTGTTCTGATGTCACTCTAGCGGACGTCAATGTGTTGTTCTGGTGTCACTCTAGCGGACGTTAATGTGTTGTTCTGATGTCACTCTAGCGGACGTCAATGTGTTGTTCTGGTGTCACTCAAGCGGACGTCAATGTGTTGTTCTGATGTCACTAAACAAACGTTAATGTGTTGTTCTGATGTCACTAAACAAGGTCTATGCGATATTCTGATGTCACTCTAGCGGACGTCAATGTGTTGTTCTGGTGTCACTCTAGCGGACGATAATGTGTTGTTCTGATGTCACTCTAGCGGACGTCAGTGTCTTGTTCTGGTGTCACTCTAGCGGACGTCAATGTGTTGTTCTGGTGTCACTCTAGCGGACGTCAATGTGTTGTTCTGATGTCACTAAACAAACGTTCATGTGTTGTTCTGATGTCACTAAACAAAGGTCTATGCGATATTCTGATGTCACTCTAGCGGACGTCAATGTGTTGTTCTGATGTCACTCTAGCGGACGTTAATGTGTTGTTCTGATGTCCCTGAACAAAGGTCTATGTGATATTCTGATGTCTCACTAGCGGACGTCAATGTGTTGTTCTGATGTCATTCTAGCGGACGTTAATGTGTTGTTTTGATGTCACTCTAGCGGACGTCAATGTGTTGTTCTGATGTCACTCTAGCGGACGTCAATGTGTTGTTCTGATGTCACTCTAGCGGACGTCAATGTGTTGTTCTGATGTCACTCTAGCGGACGTAAATGTGTTGTTCTGATGTCACTTTAGCGGACGTCAATGGTTTTGTTGTTCTGGTGTCACTCTAGCGGACGTTAATGTGTTCTGATGTCACTAGCGGACGTTAATGTGTTGTTCTGATGTCACTGAACAAACTGAACAAACGTCTATGTGCTATTCTGATGTCACTATAAGCAAAGAATGTTGTGTTCTGTTGCTACTATAAACAGACGTCTATGTGGTGTTCTGATGTCAATGTGACGGACGTCAATGTGGTGTTATGATAACAGATCTGAGAATAAATGATTGATAGTTATGTGAAATTCGAACAAAACGGAGTTATCAGTCGTTAGCGGACGTCAATGTGTTGTTCTGATGTCACTCTAGCGGACGTCAATGTGTTGTTCTGATGTCACTCTAGCGGACGTCAATGGTTTTGTTGTTCTGATGTCACTCTAGCGGACGTCAATGTGTTCTGATGTCACTAGCGGACGTTAATGTGTTGTTCTGATGTCCCTGAACAAAGGTCTATGTGATATTCTGATGTCTCACTAGCGGACGTCAATGTGTTGTTCTGATGTCATTCTAGCGGACGTTAATGTGTTGTTTTGATGTCACTCTAGCGGACGTCAATGTGTTGTTCTGATGTCACTCTAGCGGACGTCAATGTGTTGTTCTGATGTCACTCTAGCGGACGTAAATGTGTTGTTCTGATGTCACTTTAGCGGACGTCAATGGTTTTGTTGTTCTGGTGTCACTCTAGCGGACGTCAATGTGTTCTGATGTCACTAGCGGACGTTAATGTGTTGTTCTGATGTCACTGAACAAACTGAACAAACGTCTATGTGCTATTCTGATGTCACTATAAGCAAAGAATGTTGTGTTCTGTTGCTACTATAAACAGACGTCTATGTGGTGTTCTGATGTCAATGTGACGGACGTCAATGTGGTGTTATGATAACAAATCTGAGAATAAATGATTGATAGTTATGTGAAATTCGAACAAAACGGATTTATCAGTCGTTAGCGGACGTCAATGTGTTGTTCTGATGTCACTCTAGCGGACGTCAATGTGTTGTTCTGATGTCACTCTAGCGGACGTAAATGTGTTGTTCTGATGTCACTTTAGCGGACGTCAATGGTTTTGTTGTTCTGGTGTCACTCTAGCGGACGTCAATGTGTTCTGATGTCACTAGCGGACGTTAATGTGTTGTTCTGATGTCACTGAACAAACTGAACAAACGTCTATGTGCTATTCTGATGTCACTATAAGCAAAGAATGTTGTGTTCTGTTGCTACTATAAACAGACGTCTATGTGGTGTTCTGATGTCAATGTGACGGACGTCAATGGTTTTGTTGTTCTGGTGTCACTCTAGCGGACGTCAATGTGTTCTGATGTCACTAGCGGACGTTAATGTGTTGTTCTGATGTCACTGAACAAACTGAACAAACGTCTATGTGCTATTCTGATGTCACTATAAGCAAAGAATGTTGTGTTCTGTTGCTACTATAAACAGACGTCTATGTGGTGTTCTGATGTCAATGTGACTGACGTCAATATGGTGTTATGATAACAGATCTGAGAATAAATGATTGATAGTTATGTGAAATTCGAACAAAACGGGAGTTATCAGTCGTTATATTGTCACGAAACAATTTTATTTTATTGTTACAAGTTATTAATAACTTTCAGAATGAGAGAAAATCTGTTCTTATTTAGCGATAATCTGATGGTGTGTGAACACTATCTGACAATAACATCAGATGAACCCCGTGACGGTCCGTCACCGGTGCTCCGTGTATTAGTGTTGAGACAAACAACTCAACACAAAGCGCTGTAAGCTTAAGTGAGGAATATAATTGTAGAGATAAGCATTGAATATTTACCAGGACATACATACGCCCATGATATTAATAGGCAGAGGGTCATATAAAGATTTCATATAATTTAATGATATTTATTTCAATTTGTCTGTAACGCCTTTTTGAATTTACATAGAAATACTGTCTACCTTCATACAAAAAGCTAACCATGCGTCTCTAACGTCGGGTCAAACGATAACAAAGTTCACGCAGATATAGAAATAACAAAGCGAGAGTCGACACTCGTACCGGATGTAGTAGTGTTTTTGAGGTGATGTTTCGTTTGTGATCCGATGCGGTTCCTATAACGGTATACAGACTAAACTGGAACACAAATGGAAGTTCAAACCTCCTCGTGATATAAAATGGCTGACGTAACGTGACGAGATATACGCAACAGATTACATTGCCAGAAGTAGTACCCCGAGGAGCCATGCTGAAGTCGGAAGACTTTTCTGATACATCCCCCCTCTTGGAAAACGACGATGACCAGAGAGTCGGGGAAGGGGAAGGACAGAGGAGGGTATCCCGCAGGACTTCATACTTCATCGTAGGTCTCTTGTTTGTGGTCAATCTTATCAACTACATGGACCGCTATACCCTTGCAGGTTAGTGAACCGAGTCAACACTATCTAGTTTCAGTAGGTATATTATGAGACGTATAATGCTACGACATTTCCCTAGCCGATTACACTATTTACACGATAATATTTAAGTACAAACGCACTCCTTTTGTCAACATGAACGTACGAACGTCTTTAGGTCTTACCAAGTAGTATATGGTTGGGTGGTGCGCTTGCATGCAGACGGAGGCGTTTCTCTACACAAATTTTATTCTGAGTGGTATAAATAAGTTTTACCCAATAAAACCGTCACTGATTGATAGATATATATATATATTGTTTTATCTAATAATTATACCGGTAATTAAGATGTAAATGATAGTTTTACCCAATAAAGCTATCGGTAATTAAGATGTAAATGGTAGTTTTACCCAATAAAGCTATCGGTGATTGAAATGTAAATGGTAGTTTTACCCAATAAAGCTATCGGTGATTGAGGTGTAAATGGTAGTTTTACCCAATAAAGCTGTCGGTGATTGAAATGTAAATGGTAGTTTTACCCAATAAAGCTATCGGTGATTGATATGTAAATGGTAGTTTTACCCAATAAAGCTATCGGTGATTGAGATGTAGATTATAGTTTTACCCAATAAAGCTATCGGTGATTGAGATGTAAATTATAGTTTTACCCAATAAAGCTATCGGTGATTAAGGTGTAAATGATAGTTTTACCCAATAAAGCAATCGGTGATTGAGATGTAGATGATAGTTTTACCCAATAAAGCTATCGGTAATTGATATGTAAATTATAGTTTTACCCAATAAAGCTATCGGTGATTGAGATGTAAATTATAGTTTTACCCAATAAAGCTATCGGTGTTTGAGATGTAAATGGTAGTTTTACCCAGTAAAGCTATCGGTGATTGAGGTATAAATGGTAGTTTTACCCAATAAAGCTATCGTTGATTGAGATGTAAATTATAGTTTTACCCAATAAAGCTATCGGTAATTGAGATGTAAATGGTAGTTTTACCCAATAAAGCTATCGTTGATTGAGATGTAAATTATAGTTTTACCCAATAAAGCTATCGGTAATTGAGATGTAAATGGTAGTTTTACCCAATAAAGCTATCGGTGATTGAGGTGTAAATGGTAGTTTTACCCAATAAAGCTATCGTTGATTGAGGTGTAAATGGTAGTTTTACCCAATAAAGCTATCGTTGATTGAGATGTAAATGGTAGTTTTACCCAATAAAGCTATCGTTGATTGAGATGTAAATGGCAGTTTTACCCAATAAAGCTATCGTTGATTGAGGTGTAAATGGTAGTTTTACCCAATAAAGCTATCGTTGATTGAGATGTAGATGATAGTTTTACCCAATAAAGCTATCGTTGATTGAGATGTAGATGATAGTTTTACCCAATAAAGCTATCGGTAATTAAGATGTAAATGGTAGTTTTACCCAATAAAGCTATCGGTAATTAAGATGTAAATGGTAGTTTTACCCAATAAAGCTATCGGTGATTGAGATGTAGATGATAGTTTTACCCAATAAAGCTATCGTTGATTGAGATGTAGATGATAGTTTTACCCAATAAAGCTATCGTTGATTGAGATGTAAATGGTAGTTTTACCCAATAAAGCTATCGGTGATTGAGATGTAAATGGTAATTTTACCCAATAAAGCTATCGTTGATTGAGATGTAAATGACAGTTTTACCCAATAAAGCTATCGGTAATTGATATGTAAATTATAGTTTTACCCAATAAAGCTATCGGTGATTGAGATGTAAATTATAGTTTTACCCAATAAAGCTATCGGTAATTGAGGTGTAAATGGTAGTTTTACCCAATAAAGCTATCGTTGATTGAGATGTAAATGGCAGTTTTACCCAATAAAGCTATCGTTGATTGAGATGTAAATGGTAGTTTTACCCAATAAAGCTATCGGTGATTGAGATGTAAATTATAGTTTTACCCAATAAAGCTATCGTTGATTGAGATGTAAATTATAGTTTTACCCAATAAAGCTATCGTTGATTGAGATGTAAATGGTAGTTTTACCCAATAAAGCTATCGGTGATTGAGATGTAAATGGTAGTTTTACCCAATAAAGCTATCGGTGATTGAGGTGTAAATGGTAGTTTTACCCAATAAAGCTGTCGTTGATTGAGATGTAAATGACAGTTTTACCCAATAAAGCTATCGGTAATTGATATGTAAATTATAGTTTTACCCAATAAAGCTATCGTTGATTGAGATGTAGATGATAGTTTTACCCAATAAAGCTATCGGTGATTGAGGTGTAAATGGTAGTTTTACCCAATAAAGCTATCGGTGATTGAGATGTAAATGGTAGTTTTACCCAATAAAGCTATCGGTGATTGAGATGTAAATGGTAGTTTTACCCAATAAAGCTATCGTTGATTGAGATGTAAATGGTAGTTTTACCCAATAAAGCTATCGGTGATTGAGATGTAAATGGTAGTTTTACCCAATAAAGCTATCGTTGATTGAGATGTAGATGATAGTTTTACCCAATAAAGCTATCGGTGATTGAGGTGTAAATTATAGTTTTACCCAATAAAGCTATCGTTGATTGAGATGTAAATGGTAGTTTTACCCAATAAAGCTATCGGTAATTGAGGTGTAAATGGTAGTTTTACCCAATAAAGCTATCGTTGATTGAGATGTAAATGGTAGTTTTACCCAATAAAGCTATCGGTGATTGAGATGTAAATGGTAGTTTTACCCAATAAAGCTATCGGTGATTGAGGTGTAAATGGTAGTTTTACCCAATAAAGCTATCGGTGATTGATATGTAAATGGTAGTTTTACCCAATAAAGTTATTAGTGTTTGAGATGTAAATGGTAGTTTTACCCAATAAAGCTGTCGTTGATTGAGATGTAAATTATAGTTTTACCCAATAAAGCTATCGGTAATTGAGATGTAAATGGTAGTTTTACCCAATAAAGCTATCGGTGATTGAGATGTAAATGGTAGTTTTACCCAATCAAGCTATCGGTGATTGAGATGTAAATGGTAGTTTTACCCAATAAAGCTATCGGTGATTGAGGTATAAATGGTAGTTTTACCCAATAAAGCTATCGGTGATTGAAATGTAAATGGTAGTTTTACCCAATAAAGATTGAGATGTAAATGGTAGTTTTACCCAATTGATAGAGATGTAAATGGTAGTTTTACCCAATAAAGCTATCGGTAATGGAGGTGTAAATGGTAGTTTTACCCAATAAAGCTATCGTTGATTGAGATGTAAATGGTAGTTTTACCCAATCAAGCTATCGGTGTTTGAGATGTAAATTATAGTTTTACCCAATAAAGCTATCGGTGATTGAGGTGTAAATGGTAGTTTTACCCAATAAAGCTATCGGTGATTGATATGTAAATGGTAGTTTTACCCAATAAAGTTATTAGTGTTTGAGATGTAAATGGTTGTTTTACCCAATAAAGCTCTCGTTGATTGAGATGTAAATGACAGTTTTACCCAATAAAGCTATCGGTAATGGAGGTGTAAATGGTAGTTTTACCCAATAAAGCTATCGGTAATGGAGGTGTAAATGGTAGTTTTACCCAATAAAGCTATTAGTGTTTGAGATGTAAATGGTTGTTTTACCCAATAAAGCTGTCGTTGATTGAGATGTAAATGACAGTTTTACCCAATAAAGCTATCGGTGATTGAGGTGTAAATGGTAGTTTTACCCAATAAAGCTATCGGTGATTGAGATGTAAATTATAGTTTTACCCAATGAAGCTATCGGTGATTGATATGTAAATGGTAGTTTTACCCAATAAAGTTATTAGTGTTTGAGATGTAAATGGTAGTTTTACCCAATAAAGCTGTCGTTGATTGAGATGTAAATGACAGTTTTACCCAATAAAGCTATCGGTAATGGAGGTGTAAATGGTAGTTTTACCCAATAAAGCTATCGGTAATGGAGGTGTAAATGGTAGTTTTACCCAATAAAGCTATCCGTGTTTGAGGTGTAAATGGTAGTTTTACCCAATAAAGCTATTAGTGCTTGAGATGTAAATGGTTGTTTTACCCAATAAAGCTCTCGTTGATTGAGATGTAAATGACAGTTTTACCCAATAAAGTTATTAGTGTTTGAGATGTAAATGGTTGTTTTACCCAATAAAGCTGTCGTTGATTGAGATGTAAATGACAGTTTTACCCAATAAAGCTATCGGTAATGGAGGTGTAAATGGTAGTTTTACCCAATAAAGCTATCGGTAATGGAGGTGTAAATGGTAGTTTTACCCAATAAAGCTATTAGTGTTTGAGATGTAAACGGTTGTTTTACCCAATAAAGCTCTCGTTGATTGAGATGTAAATGACAGTTTTACCCAATAAAGCTATCGTTGATTGAGGTGTAAATGGTAGTTTTACCCAATAAAGCTATCGTTGATTGAGATGTAAATGGTAGTTTTACCCAATAAAGCTATCGGTAATGGAGGTGTAAATGGTAGTTTTACCCAATAAAGCTCTCGGTAATGGAGGTGTAAATGACAGTTTTACCCAATAAAGCTATCGTTGATTGAGATGTAAATGGTAGTTTTACCCAATAAAGCTATCGTTGATTGAGATGTAAATGGCAGTTTTACCCAATAAAGCTATCGTTGATTGAGATGTAAATGGTAGTTTTACCCAATAAAGCTATCGGTGATTGAGATGTAAATGGTAGTTTTACCCAATAAAGCTATCGGTAATTGAGGTGTAAATGACAGTTTTACCCAATAAAGCTAACGCAAATAAATGTTGATTATCAGGAAAACTTTTAGCCATACAAATAAGGATAATATTAATGATAAAAATGTCAGTGTGACAAAATTAATCTGTTCACATTGAACACGGAAGCAACATCCAGAGGTCATTCCGAAAAGATTACGCAATGCCCACTGTTGAATAAGCTTAAGGAAATTGCATTCAAAGTTATTATCGTGTCCAAAGATGTATGACCAAGATAGCAGTATGTAGTCTAAATGCGTATTAATTGTATAATAACACTCAAAAATCTTAACATGAATATTTTTACACAGTGTACAGACAAAAAGAATGTTGTGCATATCAGACATATCGGCGGTCGGTAGGTCGAGCTACCACTGTGGCAACTAGTATAGTATCACCTCCCTTATTTTTTTTTTAAATTTTAAACTCACTTTCTACATTTATCGCACTTTTAATTTAATCGCTACGTGTACTTTCGTTCCTGGCACCGTTTATTAATTCTACTCCAGCAGTAGATTTTTCTGTGAGCAAGTTGACGAATTTTGGGCCTATTCGACCATAGTTTTTTTTATAGTGGGCTTTAGCGACATCGCGGGTAAATAGGAGAGTTTTTGAACGGATATATAAAGGATTTGAAAACATTAGATATATGAACGGACTGCAACAAGACTGGCACTTTTAACACTAGTAGTTGTTTTGTTTCAGTGTGTTACAGTATTTTCAAACACGTCAACTCAGTCTCGCCAAATGTTTGGTGGTCGGCACATGTGTATCAAAAACGTATTTTCTTTTCTTTAAACACATAGCTTTACATGAATCACTTGTTACATGATTAATTCATAGTCTGATAAATATATACATGCTTGATGACATTATCACCTCACACCGGTTCTAAATAACAAATTCGTATTTGTTCAGGTGTTTTGGATCAGGTTCAAACGTACTATGGTTTGGACAATTCCCAAGACGGACTGCTACAAACTGTATTTGTCGTTACCTATATGATTTTCTCTCCGGTTTTCGGTTACCTTGGCGACCGATACCCCCGGAAGTACCTCATGGCAGGAGGCATCCTTTTCTGGTCTGGTGTCACGCTTACTGGTTCTTTCATTGATAAAAACGTAAGTTAAGTGTAATCATTTTTGTCTGCATATTTTATTATATAAAATTATATTTCATAATTGATAACTTGTGATTTATTCAAAGCCGAATTCCGTTATATCTGTATAAGAAATGTATCTGTTGAAAATGAAAATTACAAATTATACGAAACGAATTGGAAATCTTGCACTTCGATATTTTGTTTTCATATGTCCCTGATACCTTTCAATTCGTGAATAATTTTCATAGAATATCATTTATCAATTTTCTACAGCACTTCTGGGTTTTTCTGATGCTGCGCGCCCTGGTAGGTGTAGGAGAGGCTAGCTATGTCACAGTCTCAACTACCATAATTGGTGACCTTTTCCATGACAGAATGCGTACAAAAATGCTTATCGTATTCAATGTGGCTGTTCCATGTGGAAGGTAAATTGCAACAAGATGGAAAATACGTTAAAGGAAAAAGCATTGAAAAGGATAAAGAAGAAAGTTCAAAAGGCGTTTTAGCAAATATAGATTTTTTTCAAACTGTGTCCTTTTGTACAATTAAGTCCAAGTATTTCACTTAGAAAATCATGGGTGGTCGTTAAGGATAATGTGATTATCTATCAATACCAAAAACGTAGTCTTCTACTAAATTTCCCTACCGTGATTAATAAGCTTTATAAATTCTCATTATAATATGCTGTTTCAGTGGACTTGGATATATTGTCGGGTCTAATGTAGCCAAGTTGTTCGGCGCCTGGCAGTGGGCATTACGGGTAAGTCGAAAACATTCTAATGTACAGTCTTTGTTCAAAAAAGAATAACCCTAGATGGACTTGACCTTTGACATTTATTGTCTTGTAGGTGACCCCAGGGTTTGGCGTTATCTGTGTCATACTGATACTAATTCTCCCCGAGCCCACTCGCGGGTCAGCAGACGGAGGGACCAATCTCAGCAACACGTCTTTCCTTCGTGACCTTAAAGAACTATTGACAAAGTGAGATTTTTTTGTATCTGTATTGCTGCTGTAAATACGTAAAGGTTTGTTAAATTGTTCTTTGAAATGTGTTGTTAGAATAGATTTCTCTAAATATATTTTGACAACTTTTCGTTATTTGTATTGATAGCATTACATTTCGGCCATCACAGTTAACACCCAGGGTTTCCATCATGATAAGAATGATTGTTTATCACTTGATTTCAAAATACATTTTTTACATGTATGAAATGCGGGATGTGATGATTAGCAAATCGTTGTTCCTAGGTTCGTTCTCCTTACAGATATTAACCTGCAGTTTCACAAACTGATTTCAATTAATTATGGATATGTTCCAGCTGGTATTTTACAACACTCAGACGTAATTAATGACAAAAAGTAACATGTTATAAGTAATACAGGTTGGGATGAAACTATAATCATACTTGTGAACCGTTTATCAATTTTTCTAACTTATCCATTAAAAGTGTGACATAGTTTGGATACGATAAGGTCAGTTACTTGAAAATATTATGTAATTTGATAACAAAAGTTTCACATATTTGAAAGCAAGATATTTAAATTAGTTGGTACGACAATCACAGGTCATAGGGTGTTGCGTCTTTGTGCTAGTAACAAGTGATTTTGTTCTGTAGATTTGCAATCTCTCACAAGTTTGTGCAGTGTTCCGGGGGCGAAATGCATTCTAGGGGAGGAATCGCTGTATATTGTAGTATATGACGTCATTGATTTGTGTGTATATGTTATGTTTTATAGTAAGACGTTAGTTCTGTCATCCTTTGGGTTTACCTGTGTGGCCTTCGTGACCGGGACACTGGCTCTGTGGTCCCCAATTTTTATCCTTGACTCCATCAAAGTCCAGGGGAGAGAAGGGGATCAATCTAGGTATGATATCATAACTGTTGAATTTTAGTATATAAGTAGAGAAGACCTGATGTAGTGTTACCCGTTTTGGGAATCGATTAAACATAACGGACATGACTCTCACTGGCACAAGTCAGTGTTGTACTGTTTCATGAAGTATTGGACAAGTTAACCCTTGACCCTAGATAATTAACGATTTCGTTGTGGTAACTGACTGCTGCAAAGTATTTATTGATGAGAATACTTTCAAATTGGTCTTAATCGGAACATGCAGAAGTTTGCCTTTTGTCAGGAATATCTCTTAAAAACTACATTTTGTTTGGTATACAGTGTTAGTCTGATATTCGGTGTACTCACGGTTGTTGCGGGCCTGACAGGCGTGGCTATAGGTGGGGAAACCTCCCGGAGACTTAAGGGCAGGTACCCCCGGGCCGACCCCATCATATGTGCCGTTGGAATGCTAGTTGGAACACCATTTCTCTTCTTCGCCCTCTACGTGTCGCCTTACAGCACGACTATCGCCTGGGTATACTGTTCATCACTTACTTCAGATTTAATCCTGGTGTTTTTTTTTTAATTCTAATTCCAGCCATAATTTTCTAATATCGAATTCTTTTTACGAAGGGTTTATACCTTCAAAATTATCCCGAGGCTTTACCGATTACCAACAAACTGATTATCAAAAATACTGTCATTCTGAATATGGACACACGAAGTTTACAGAGAAATAATCCCAAACATGAGATGGACTCTGAACTTGTTTTATACAATAGAGAGAGCATTTCATGGTAAATGTTTGTGTAAGCCAAAGTATAAATTTAAACCCCTAGTGCTGATATGAGGACAATCCTGATAAGATAAGCGGTATTGTGTATTGTTGACTTGGGCATTTACTGGTGTTGATGTTCTGTGTATTTGGTTTTATTTTGAAGGTCCTCATCTTCCTTGGAGAGACAGCAGTATGCATTAATTGGTCAATTGTCAATGATATACTACTGGTAAGTTAGCCAGAAATATACTTCCTGGTCAATCCTAGCTGCATAACGATCTTCTTTATTTTGTAGATGTCTTTGAGAATTTCAAAGCATAAAATAATGTTCCAGTATTTCTGTGCCGATTGTAAGTTCCTGTTAGTGTCTGCCTATCCTGGATACTCCAGGGATTACGCTCACCATCGCTCCCCAGGAAAGTGTCATGGCAAGATTGAAGGTTTCATGTGGGACACCATGTGAACAAGACTAGTTTGATCTTTTGGTGTACATCAAACGAATCTCGAGGTCTCGTAGCGGTATGTTGTAACGGCTTTGTTGTTGGGTGACGGTATCAGCCTGTGATTGGTCAGTTTTTTTCTCCCGGATCCCGCTCTTTACAATTCAGATTACCGATACTTCGTTTAAGCATTCAGCTTTGCCATGACATGTTGCAGGGGTGCAGAGAGCGATAGTGAGCGTAACCCTTTGAGTATCGAGGATGGTGTGTGTCGTATTTGTTCCATATTCAATATTCTTTCCAGATTTGTAATTGTTTATTCTGGTCATAGAACACACAAGCAACATACATTCCACATATTCTCTATGCCAGGCCGTTAGATAATATACTCATTGTTTAGAATGTATTGATTCTTAACTTCATCTCTTTGTGATGTATTGTACCTCGTCGACCATATTTTGTATTCAGTTTCTTCGAGTACTTGTTCATAAAAGTGTATTTTTCTTGTACTCTCTTCATGAAAGAGCGTGTCATCTACGATATTGGTTTGCAGATCCTACCAGTGCATTGCAACCCGCGGTGGGAACTTACTATTTTCATTGAATAGCTTATATATATATTTATATATATCAAGTTTTTTGTTTTCCTTGTTTATAAGTTACCCTATAAATATTTGTTTCCCCAGTACGTTGTGATCCCAACTAGACGTGCGCTGGCCGCAGCTGGTCAGATTTTCCTCTGCCACGCCCTCGGGGACGCAGGAAGTCCTTACATCATCGGTCTGGTACGTATCAGCAGTTGGTCTTGGTGAATTGACTTGTTCATTATCATTGTCTGGAATAACCTTTTCATGTAAATATTTAGGCGTCATGCTTGGACCACAATTGTTTGTTACATTCAAGATATAACTATCCGTTTATTAAGCAAAAGATTACGATGAGATTGTATAAGGAAATGATTACTAGTATTTGTTTGGATTTTACGTCCTCGCAACAGCTAGAGTCATATATAGACGGTGTCAAGGGTGACACCAACAGCTAGAGTCATATATAGACGGTGTCAAGGGTGACACCAACAGCTAGTCATATATAGACGGTGTCTAGGGTGACACCGACAGCTAGTCATATATAGACGGTGTCTAGGGTGACACCGACAGCTAGTCATATATAGACGGTGTCTAGGGTGACACCGACAGCTAGTCATATATAGACGGTGTCGAGGGTGACACCGACAGCTACAGTCATATATAGACGGTGTCGAGGGTGACACCGACAGCTAGAGTCATATGTAGACGGTGTCTAGGGTGACACCAACAGCTAGAGTCATATGTAGACGGTGTCTAGGGTGACACCAACAGCTAGAATCATATATAGACGGTGTCGAGGGTGACATTGATAGCTAGAATCATATAAGGACAGGTATCTAGGGGGACACTGACAAGGAAGAAAGACACTGCAAGGTACAATGCATAGTTGGCAGGCATAGCAATAAAAAGAAAAGATCCCAAGTGTTGTAATGAGGACAGCAGATCATTCTTTACCAATTCTCGGAGTCCCCTTAGAAGAAGTTAATGAGAAAACCTGCCGATTCTGTAAGGTACCACAAAAATGTTTCCCGGTTCATGTACGTATGGGTTGGCTGGCGATGATGTTGATGTCGTTGAAATGCTGGTCCGATGTTTAGAGGCGACTGCACAATTTTGGAGATCTTTTCATATTGTAGTCTCTCTTGGTTAATAAATCGGTAAATCGTAACGTACGTCTTTGTAGGGCACTGCTTGATATGGTTTTTTTATTGATCTACTGTATGTTATATTTATTTCCTGAATTTTCGTTTTGAATGAACACAATTACATGATGTATAAACACACCTTTAACTTATTTGTGATATACTTATGTCTGTTGCAAGGTATCTGACGCCCTGGCCAAAGGTTACAGCCACCCGGCCACCACACCGTCTGTTCAGTTTGCTACCCTACAGGTGGCGTTGTACGTCACTCCCTTCGTTAGTGTGTTAGGAGGCAGTTTCTTTCTGGCCGCTTCACTGTTCGTGGTACAGGATCGCGAGACTGCCAAACATATCACAGGTAAGTATCGGTAATTGTATTAACCAAACTTACTTACCCGGGATTAGGGTTCCATTGTCTTGAGTGATGAACGAATCCTCTTTTGTTTCAAGGTTTGATGATTACACTGCTGTAGAAAGTGTGTTTATTGATTCAGAATTTTAACAAAAAGTGTAAATAAATATAAAAAAATACGGATATGATGAACTAATGAACTTTCGCTTTCTCTTCTAATTTTATTTAAGAAGAATTTTTTTCTTGGTTTTATTCCTTTCTCGAAAAAAAAGTTGAAGTCAGAACGTCATGCATTATTTCAGGGGGTCACTAGCAATAGGGTTTACAGACTACAGAACAATATATATGTCATCATCATTGTAGTAGTAACGACAGTACGGACAAGTGAATTGTCAAATTAGGGGCAGATTGTCTCGAAAATTTGACAATTCACTTACTCTCGTTATTACTTCATTGATCATATATCTGTTGCCAGTAATACGCATCCAACGAACATTTATTTGTTATGATCCAGTACCAATATTTCACCTTACCGTCGATACTACTTACTAGATTATATATATATTTAATGTTATGCATTGTGTATATGTATATACATATGTAAAAGCACGCAGACGCAGAGGTACACTTAAGCTATCTCTGAGTAGGTAATTTATAGGATTTGAACAACTGGTATATTTTATTGTAAAGAATTAACATCTTTATATGAATATTTCGGTTTACAATCGTAACTAGGTTCCCCACTTCATTTTCTCACAATACTCAATTTTTGGCTCGCTGGGTACCTATAGCCTATCGGTTAATCAAACATTGCTGCAGTATTCAAATATGAAACTACAGATGTTTAAATTAGCGAAGTGAGAATAAATCATGAAGACGATAATAAAGAAACAAGTTTCGATTTTCAAAATATTTAAATGGCCATGTGACAAGCGAACCGTATTACAAAGACCGGTGCTAAGTTCTAGATGATTTAATTCAATTTCTCGACACGGTGTTCTCGTCATGTTTCTTTGATTGTACTTCAGACATCTCTTCCATTGGGATCAGGTTAGTTAAGCCTGTACTTAGTCCCGCTGCTTTAGTGTGGCTTGTATGTTATACAAAACAATATTTAACGGATGATAGTTGTGATGTCAGAGTAAAATAGACGTGAATACCTTTATCTACTGGCACAATGCTTTTTCAACTAGAAAATTGAATGGCTTTGACTACCATTCTTCCGACATAAATGAGCTTGTTCCTTCTGTTTGGATGCTTCAAACATCTTAATATTATCTCTGCATCACATTTGTTTTCTTTGAAGGCTTTTAGGTTTTCTGTCATATTCCATGAGTGCAGTTGTACTTATTATAAACATGCTTGTTTGTGTATCCCTCATCTACTGTATATAGTCATATACGATTTCTTTGTTGCTTTTGCCTGTAGGTCATAGTATACTAAATTGTAGTATGTGAGACTGTATAGTTCTGTCTATGTAGGAATACATGTAAAACAAAACGGGCCGCCAGTCACTCTAACTTAGTTGTGAGACTAAAATAAGAGGACTTGAAATAAAGAAAACTGATCAACATATAACTTGTAATTTGACGAAGCTCTGGAATTTTGATAGAAGAAATTGATTGTTATACAAGTAATTTGTCAAAAAATCTTTATTAGCACTATGACATAATAGATTCTCAGTTTACCAGCGTACTTCTGGACGTGGATCCGACAGTTATGTAGATACACAACATGATCACGTCGACCACTTTAGTGTTGTTGAGAGTCAATTTTCATTAGATAACAACAGGAAATTTGTGGTAAAACTACTTCATAAGATTAACATTAATGATAACATACGGAACTATATTATTTCGGCTCTTTGACCACTCCGCCTTCATTACAGAGTCTGGGGATCGGCCTATCTTCAGTGTCGTTGACGGTGTAAACAAAACCTTCCGTATTTTACACCGTTGAGATTAGATAACTTTAAAAATATATTCAAAATGTTCTAAATATTTCCGTAGTGTAATATTTTGTGATTCTGTTGTTTTAATTTGACCTACCTATATGTTTTAACAGAACAGGCGAATGCGCAGTCGGAAGTAGATGATGACCGTGTGGAGCCAACAGACAACGACTTCCTGTCTGCTGATTTATCCTATTCTGTTAATTGAAATAATGATAATAATAATAATAAAAACAAACGTTATAATACATCAAAAGGTAAAGCTATGACTTGTAACGAACCTGAAGTTAACTGGACTCTAATAATGATATGAGCTAGCAGTGTACCAGAATATACAGTTCTGGAAACCAGGCTCCTCGAGTCCGATGCTTCAATATCTACTTAATCCAGTTCGGACTTAGACACTACCTGACCTAATGTGATAAGGGAAAATGAAATTGTGATTATATTGCATATTGATACGGGTTTTTCTAATTTTGTTACAGCCTTTAATTAATATTTTTGTTATCAATAATATTTGTACAGAATCGCGTGATTTATATCGCTTTATTACATTTATATAACATTAAGTCAAATCCAACCGTAGAATGGCCAGCCCAGGCAGCTTTGTGAAAGAGAGTTGAAAGATGACAGCGCATAGTAAAGTCAAAATGCACTAGAGACAGGCTAAAGTGGCCTCATGTATGTTATATGAGAATAATATGAGCGGCTGATGAAGAGAGATGAATTCTTCGTATCAGGGTCTAAAATAATGGACGAAAGATTGAAAGAAAGATCGAGAATAAGGTATTATAGGTGTTTGGAGGAAAGATCGTGAATTAGATATAGGTGTTTGGAGGAAAGATCGTGAATTAGATATTATAGGTGTTTGGAGGAAAGATCGTGAATTAGATATTATAGGTGTTTGGAGGAAAGATCGATAATAAGATATTACAGGTGTTTGGAGGAAAGATCGAGAATAAGATATTATAGGTGTTTGGAGGAAAGATCGAGAATAAGATATTATAGGTGTTTGGAGGAAAGATCGAGAATAAGATATTATAGATGTTTGGAGGAAAGATCGTGAATTAGATATAGGTGTTTGGAGGAAAGGTCGAGAATAAGATATTATAGGTGTTTGGAGGAAAGATCGAGAATAAGATATTATAGGTGTTTGGAGGAAAGATCGAGAATAAGATATTATAGATGGAGGAAAGATTAAGATAGATGTTTGGAGGAAAGATCGAGAATAAGATATTATAGGTGTTTGGAGGAAAGATCGTGAATTAGATATTATAGGTGTTTGGAGGAAAGATCGAGAATAAGATATTATAGGTGTTTGGAGGAAAGATCGAGAATAAGATATTATAGGTGTTTGGAGGAAAGATCGATAATAAGATATTATAGGTGTTTGGAGGAAAGATCGAGAATAAGATATTATAGATGTTTGGAGGAAAGATCGATAATAAGATATTATAGGTGTTTGGAGGAAAGATCGAGAATAAGATATTATAGGTGTTTGGAGGAAAGATCGATAATAAGATATTATAGATGTTTGGAGGAAAGATCGATAATAAGATATTATAGGTGTTTGGAGGAAAGATCGAGAATAAGATATTATAGGTGTTTGGAGGAAAGATCGATAATAAGATATTATAGGTGTTTGGAGGAAAGATCGGGAATAAGATATTATAGGTGTTTGGAGGAAAGATCGGGAATAAGATATTATAGGTGTTTGGAGGAAAGATCGAGAATAAGATATTATAGGTGTTTGGAGGAAAGATCGAGAATAAGATATTATAGGTGTTTGGAGGAAAGATCGAGAATAAGATAGTATGGGTGTTTGGAGGAAAGATCGAGAATAAGATATTATAGCTGTTTGGAGGAAAGATCGAGAATAAGATAGTATGGGTGTTTGGAGGAAAGATCGATAATAAGATATTATAGGTGTTTGTTTGGTGTGTGAGGCAATTGCCTTTACGTTATGAGAGAAACTTCATGATGCCAAAAATAGAAATAAATTCATTTACTCTGTTGATGTTGTTAATGAAATGGTCATGTTGTACATTTTTTCAAATTCTTAAGATATTTTGGATGTTTTTGAATTCTAATTTGAAATTGCCATCCAGATATATATTTCAAAAGATTGATTTTATCAAAGAATTGTGGAATAAAAACAGTTGGTAAGATTTTATGCAATTTTGGCAAAGTTATGTTCCAGTATCAAATCATTTTTTCATGAAAAGCCATTGTTGAATAAACTTTCTCAGGAAGTGCGTTGGAAGTTTAACATTCATTTTTTAAACTTCAGTTCTCTTTATTTAATAGAAATGATCATGGTGGAAATTCCTGCATTTTGAAAGAATCGGACACTTGGGGGTGGGTCGTTTTCAAAATGAAAGCTTTACCATTGGAATTGATTTATTAAAATTTACATGAAAACGTGATACAATTAGATACAATTACGTCGAAACCAAGAACACGTGCCCTTAAACATAAAGACAATGTTGCATTGTTACAGAATAAGGTCACAGTCGCTGAGTGGCATGTACATACTATACTTCAATACATGCTATTCTAAGCCAGTATTGAAACATTTGATACTGATTGATTTTATATGTCGTCTTAAATTGCAAAAAGCCAATAATTCAGACATTTGAATTTTATAGCAATATCCAAGGTGCAATGCTTTTCAATGCTATATTTCGGGTTGATTTTTTATCGCTAATCTGTATTGCCCTGCGATACTGTTAATTTCCTATATCCAGTTTTAGCCCGAAGGGGTATATATATTTTCTAATTATGATTATAATACAAGTGAGAAATGAAGAAATAAATTTAACTGACTGGCGTTCACTTGATGTAGAACGCAGGTTAAAGGGGAATAACTCTAAGTTAATATGATCACTGATAAGCGGGATGAAACGCCACGACGAATATGAAGAAAATATTGTTGGTGGTTAACGCTGATGATTTCGGCTACAGCGACGAGAGAGACACTGGGATCGTGGAGTGTTATCGGAACGGTTATATCAGTAGCGTATCGCTATTGGTTAATGGCGTCCATGCTGAGGGTGCGGTCAAACTAGCCAAACGATACAACATCGCATCAGGTGACCTTTGAACTCTTCTCCCACATCAAGATGGAGAATACATTATAACCTAGATATTGATTTAATAGCTAGCTGCCTGGAGTGTAATTTTATGCTTAAGATTCATTGATGTCTATTAATTTGCAGCGATAAAATGATAAATCATAATATGTATACGAGCAAAAAAACTAAAAACAAAATATTGCAATTTGAATATTTGGATAGAGCAACGCGGGGCCAACGGTTCCTGTCCTTATTTATAAGGAATCTTTAGGGGATATTACCCGGTGACGATCCTATGGGATTGTCAGTTGAAAAAAAAAACTCGTGCTGTACGGTCGTCTTCACAATTTATTACTGACATTTTGAAATTAAGTATTAAATTCTATTTTGCAATGGGTTTTTTTTTTCTTAGACTTTTAAACTTGTAATGATGGAATCTAGTGTACATAAATAATATCAAGTTTTCTTGTGTGTGTATGCGTACTTAGGTCTGCACGTGAACCTGACGGAAGGCCATGCCATAGGGCAGGGGTACACCACACTGACTCGGAACGGATGTCTCCTAGGAAAATTCGGTTTCCGGAAGGCAGTCAAGGAGAGGACGCTTGACATCGCAGAGGTTCACATGTAGCAGGCTACATAACGCCCTATTGTCTCTTTAACATAACGCCCTATGATCTCTTTGTTGTAATGCATATAACGTATAGGCAGTTTAAATGCATGGGTCTCGGACAGTGTCGAATTTCTTCCCAGTTCAGTAAACAACACTCCCGAGGCACCATACAGGAGTAGATCAAGACATGATTTTCAAATAATCAGACTGTTTTTTTCCATGCCAGTTGAATTGAAAATTCCTAGTTTTTGCATGCTTCCATCGCAATGTTGTAACTTGTCTGCATATTGGATACAAGAATTATTACAAGGACAAGTACATCCCACTCAGATGTTTTATGACATAAGATATGGGGAATGCTGATATAGCCTCTGTCGACCTCCAGCGTGTAAATGATAAAGTAAATATTTCAACTTTAGGCCGAAACGAAATCGAGATTAAAACGTCCGTTACTGTTAGGTATTTCAAAGATATTACTTCGTCCAAGTTAACTGAATGAACGAGACTGAAATACGAGATTTGTAATTCTGCCAAAACTGACACGTGTAATGAACCGTTTGCTCGACAGGTTCGGCGTGAGATCCAGGTTCAGATAGATAGGTACCGGGAGCTGACGGGAGAAATACCCTACCATGCAGACGGACACCAGCATATACATGTGATACCCGGTAATATTACATATTTACATTCAGACGAACACACAAATACATACTCTTATCAGCACTAGCAAGGCAATGTTTTAAACCCGAAGTTAGAAACCACAGTTATGTACCACTATTAAATGTAAAACAACAGAACAGCCGGGGAGGATTCAGTAATATTCGAGGGACTTTTTAATTATCTGTATCGATATAATTATAGGTTCTCTATCTAATTAAGAAACTGAAGCTCTAATACGCTGTTCCTTACGCAGAAAGCGTTTGTTTCTAATCAATAAAATGGTTTTCCCTTTTATTTCGATGTCGCGAAAAAGGATGAAGTTTTTTTCTTGTTCGGGTTGTAATTTAATAAAAGAAGTCTAGGATTACACAACTACAGCACGTGCATGAATTCATAGCCAAAGTCACTCGTAAAGGTCATATGTCAAACTTCTCGTCGTTGGTCCGACCTTGGCCTTTTGTATTGCCAAAGACTTAACGTTCATATATCTATATTTTCCTATCATGATTAATTAATATGTGGTTTGAGTTTACAGGTGTCGCGGAGACATTCGCGGCAGTTTTAAGTGAGAACGGCGTGAAAGTAACCCGTCTACCAAAGGAAAGTGGCGTGGTCGCAGAGGTCTGGGCCACGCCCGAACAGGCCGAATTCATGAAAGAGGTTGTAATTCATGCCGAATCTGCCAGCAAGGTGTTCACCACACACAAATTGTGGTACGTCGATATTGACTCGACGCCTGTTGTCCCGGACTCTCTTTTTAAGCCCATTGGATAAATCTATGTCTGATACAATAGTCAAAGCATATTGAGAGTAAAATACAGTTTTTGAT